AGGCTAACCCCTTGCAATGTTTTCAATTTTGGCCAAAAAATGTAATTGCTCCAAACAGTTTCTGGAAAGAGGCCTAAGGGAGCCTAGAACGCATTTCAACTCGATTTCTGGAGAAAATTGCCTTTGAAAAGAAGTAATGCGTCGATATTTTCAGGAAAAATCAGTCACAATTAATAATGTTTTCTTCAAAATTGATTGTTTTTGCCCAAATCTACGAAAATTCACTGAAACAATGGTCCCGACATTTGGGTTTCGGTTTTTTGGGACTCACCCTTTATAAGTTGATTTTTTGGCCAAATCTGCGCAATGTTGGGTGTTTGAATATTGATTGATGTTGCTCCTGCTTCTAAAGGAATATCTGGGTTGTTTGGAGAAAAGCTGGCCGATTGGTGGATACAATCTGAAGACTGTGCAGAACAACTGAGGGTCCTTCTATGCTGTCTTCTTAATGAAGACAAAAAGGTTCAAAGATCATCCTGAAAGCAACGTGAGCACCTAGCTAATTGCCCACTCCGCGGGATAAGTGGTAATCAATTTCAGATGGAAGGACCGTAAACTCCAAATTTAATGGGGGAAATAATGACAGTTAACTGGAACTATATAGCCTTGAGTTGATTGATTTTCTCCGACAGCGTGTGCAACTCAGACTTGTAAGGAGGTTATCAAGGTGTTGGCTTTGCCCTTTTCAATACAAACCTCGGTTTCGTTGCGGGTTCGGCCCCAAATGATTGTGTGACCTTTTAACTAATGTGATTTTTTAAATAAATAAATGTACATGTCAGTGCGAATGAAGTTTCAGCAAACATGCGCCAATATACCATATTTGCCCGACTCTCCCAAGTCGAAGCCGCAATCGGAATGAACCCGAGGTTTGGTAAACGTTATGGTTTCTACTTCGAATTAATGCATTGCTGGAATGAGTTTGTCCTCTCTGATTTGACATCAAATAGGCCTAATTTTGTTTCTTTTTTCTTTGAGATCTTCTTTATCGTTTTGTATGGGACCAGAAATGTGCAGTGAACGTGTAAGGTACTGCATTGTGGGACATTTTCAGTGTACAAAATATGAATGCTCAGCGCCATATATCCCACAATGCAGTACATTATATCTCTTCACTTCACACTTCCGGTGTTATTCGCAAAATGGGTCTTTTCTTATTTACCCAAGATGGGACGTAAGTAGAGTAAACGGAGTAATTTTCCAAGACCGTGACGTTGAGCCTCTAATTTTGCTCCAAATCGTCAGACCTCTGACGCGCCTAATTTAATCTATCGTGGAGTGGTAAAATCGGAAACATTCAATTCTTCAGACGTCATTTTCTGCTGTGTCTAAAGTGCTTCAAAGCACGGAGTTTAAAAAAAAGGGGCTTCGCCATTAGAATTGCATCCAATAAAACCCGACGGAGGCAAGATTGACAATGACCCTTCCGTCGTGAGACCTACTTCCAGCATGCAAGACTCATCCTGTAAGGCCGGGGAACAGAGACTTTATATAAACGTTGCAAACTCAGGGATAACCTGATTAGAGCTTGAACTTGCAAAATTGATTTTTTATTTTCACGACCTTAATCATTTTCAAAGAGACACCTTCGATTTATTGTGCCCCTTGCAGCACTTTGAAATTACATTAATTTAAGGAAGGCATCAAACCATGCTCTATAGGGTTACCAATTTTCTGAAGGACGTTTTAGGGCCAAAAAATTAAAGTTATTTCATTTATCGACAAATTTTGTTTCCACGAAGTGCTTATTCCTGGGTTGAAATGCTTTACGGACTAGGTCTAAATAGAAGTATTTTATGTTTTGTGTGGTTGTTTTTATGCGATTCGAAGCATTTTAGTAGTGAAAACAAAATTATCCAAAGCAAACTATTCTTCCAGATAATAAAACTATAATATATAAAGGCATGTTGGATGTGAGAAATGTCCCTTTCCCCCCAAACAAATTACTGTCAAGAAGACAAATTGTCCGGGAGATATATTAGAAGGCCTATGTCTTTGAAAACGCTACCGCCGTCTTTGCAACAGCGGGATCTTTGATTGATTGCTCATTTTCTCTAACCAGGAAACTCTTAATCGTCAAATCCTCTGGAATTGAAGTATGCCCTTGTAATTTCCCCCGAAGCATTTCGTCTGCCGAATTACCGAGTCAAACATGCACTCGGAAGCATACAGCATTTGCCTCAGCCCATGCACGCTTTTCCAGCAGTAAAAACACAACCGTCAAAATACTGCTTCTCTTGTCAGTGCTGATTTCACTACACCAAACACGGAGCAATTTTGTTATTTCTTTGTCAGCTATAACAGTGGCTTGAAATGCGACTAGCGAACACGCTAGACTAATTTCCCGTCGTCAACACTCGAACCGTAATCTGTCTGAAAAACTGCCGGCAATTTCAAACGGAAGCTCGTTCAGTTAAAATTTATCGTTTTTGAGCAGATTTCTGGCATGTGAGTACTTACTAGGCGAGATTTCGGCTGCAGTAGCCTAAGGGGTAGGTGTTAAATACATCGAGTTTGTGGCGTTGATGTTTGTTCACCAGCAAAATAGCGAAGGGAACCATTATTAATAACATTACAGGGCGAGTCAAAAAGAAAGCGACCTGTATTTACTTATTTTGTTCCCTTAAATAGCAATCAAATTTGATACAACCTTGCCGTGTATATTAAACGAGTATGCTCTTCCACTCATCTGAGAAAAGGACTGAAATTGATCCATGCTATCATAAGTTATGCATGTTTTACTAAAAGAACCTATTTTATAGCTGCCAAGGAATGCCATTGAAAGCTATTGAGCTGAGTGAGAATTACAGATTACACACAGGCATTCAAATACAAATGAGATATTAATCAGTGAGTCAAGACTCAAACATTGTTTTTACTATCAGATTTTGTGTTTCGAATATGAGGAACAAGTCAACTCTTTTTTTCCCCCTGAAATATTGATGCCGATTTTTGTCTGTCTTCCTCTGCAAGTTTTCGTTCATTCATGGAGGTGGGAAAACGTCCATGTGTCGTTGTATTTAATAGGTATTCATCAGTTCGGTGAATGATCAGTGGTACGGGCCAGCTAAATGTTGTCATCTTTTTTTCAATATTAAAATAGAACATTTCATAGTACGACTCATAACATGTAGTTTATCCCTATGTTATTCTTATGAAATGGAGCGAGCCACATATTTTAGAAAAAAAATCTGTCTAATTCGGTCATTTTCTTTTTGACTCATCCCGAATAAGGCGGGCTATGTGGAAACTGGTGCTAAAAACGAACACAAAAAACCTCAAAGACAGAAATTCAGTTATCTGGCCCTAGAAGCAGACCATCTGTGTCAACACGGTCATAGTCGTCGAGTTTACACCTATCAAAGCACTGGTCAAATTGCATTAGCATGATGTCATTATGACGCACATGCAAAACGGTTTGATGTGCAGGTCTGTTGACACATTCGGACAAAGGAAAATTTTGCTGTCCTGAAGTCCCCCTCCCCCCCCCCCCCAAAAAAAAGGGGCGGGGTCACATCATGCAGACTATTATCGACCCACGGTGTTTTTCTCTTTAAACACGAATTTTCCACAGTGTTTGTAAAGGATGTAAATGTCCATGTAGAGTGATTTTTTTTATATATATCTGAGCTTAAATTCACAGAACTCAGGAAATGTATTGTTAAGCAAACTTCAGCTAAGAACCAGGTACAAGCATCATACATGGCATTTTCGATGGCAACCACTTTCTGCTAAGCAACATATTTGTACTTGACACCCTCTTCAAATTGACATCCGAAAAATAACTGAACGCCGATTTTGAGGCACAAGAAATATGTCATTTTTTTGTTATGACGAAGCGTGCCTTCGATCTCACAGTTAACATTCAGGGGAAAAAATAAACAAACAAATATCGATTCTCGTTGACTGATACCGACTAGCCGAAACCGTCACAATGCCGGTGTTATGTGAAATTTGGACTCTATAAAATACAGACTCCGGTTTGGTTGTATTGCGCGTGCCTATAGCGATCATCAGACAGTGACAGGTCACGTGTGAGGATTAGAATCCACATAATGTAAATGACATCAGATTTCATAGGAGTCCAAATTTCATATGCCACCGGCACTTTTCATTGGCGGAACGATTGCAGTATGTAATGTAATATGCGCGTGGTTCGCGATCGTAAACTAGGCGATAAATCTTTGTGGAGTTAGCAGAACGAATGATATCGGGATGGGCTGGCGGGCTGGCTGGCACGGCTGAGTGGCAATGTAGGCCGCGGTAAAATGAGCGTAGCCAAGATTCCGAAATAGGAAATTAAAAAAATCAAGGGGCATGTTTGCTTTGTATCCGCATACAGCCACTGTTGTGGACTACTAATTGCTTCAAATCGTTCTTGAAGATTGAAGAATCGACACAGCTTGATTTTTTTTCTCTCTGTCGAGGCTAGTCTTCGTGATGCGGGACATGACTTCAGTATTACAGGGAGACAGAACATACAGCTGAAGAGAGATGCATGCACCCACTGCATCCAACTTCGTGAGCTCTAAAACCGGCCAGGGTGAGCAGTGATGTAACAAAGAAAAACAGACAGTTTTAAAGATACCTTGAGATCCATCCACGCCAGGTAAGTTCTCTGTAATGATTAAGAACTTTGTAGAATCAATGGGAGTGCAGGAGATATGCAATATAATGACTCGGAAAAATATCGATTACGTCACACATTTCTTACTACCACCCATCCGCTTTAGTATCCATGATATAACCTGGCGCTGAGGATATTAACCAGTAATTAAAAATGTGTCCCGCAAAATTATAATCTGTTCTCTTATCAAATATCCATAAATAATCATACCGGAAAATGTTTGCTTTTTCAACACGATGGTCGGTTCAGAACACTATAGCGACACATATGTTCGCAGCAGTCCTTCATTTAAATGTATCGTTATCATCGTGGACCGACCGAGTATTAGATATATTGTTAATTATTCACACAGAACCAATCATAAAGTGGAAGTCGTTGCAGCAGCTGACAGCTAAAGCTTTTGTCCGGATCAATCTATCATTCCACGGGTTGTGAGGACCGTGACTCGACTAGTGTGACATACCGTAGGGAGGTGAGGATCGTCGGTATAGGTGCCTCGTGCCTGATGCGGTCAAGTTGGAAGCTGACCGTGGACCTCATCAACTGATTGAGTGCAAAGCCTCAAGAGTGTGTTGGCAGGGCGTCATGGGCGATTACACGGGATCTACCGGCTCGAACCTCACCACACCGGGGCTCGATCTTCCCGGCACCACGGAGATTTACATTCCTATGGAGTTTGACCTGACGCTGGAAATGCAAAGCATCTTCGTCCCCGTGATAGTCATCACGCTGTGTATTGGACTCCTAGCCAACTTTCTTGCGGTCTTCATTACGTTCAAATGCGCGAAGGAGAACCGAGAACACAAAGTGACTATCCCTGGGATCCTGGTGAGAGCCTTGCTTGCTATAGACACCAGCGCTGCAATGTTCTTCATGGTCCGAGGCTGCTGTCTGTTCATCTACCAGAAGACGTGGATACAGTGCGACTTGGACCTCGCCAGCAACCTCATTTTCTCCTGGGCCTCCGGACTGGTCAACATGTTGATGAGCTGTGACAGGTGCCTGGCCCTCGGCGCGCCGTTCTTCTATCACGCGCACGCCACACGCGCCAGGACGTACCTCACGCTGGTCCTGTCCATTCTGGCGTCGGCAGCCTTGAGTATGCTGCCCGTCTTCGGATTCGGAGCCTACAAGGTTTACGTCGGTGGCGAGTATCACTGCCTGGCTCCCGGGGACCTCAGGGCCGAAGCCACGGACTTTGACTTCAGTTTCAACGTCATGTTCTTCACTCTAGGCTTGGGCGTGCTGGTTATCACCTACATCGCCAACGCGGTGGTGCTGAGGCAGATCTTGAAGCTGAGGCGGCGACTTGTGGTCGTCATCGACTCGGAAATGTCAAGAGCGCAAAACTCCACGGAGGGTGAGGCGAATCGGGGAGGCGGAACCTCACGAACCTCACCGAGAACCATCCCCGGGAATAACACCCTCATCCCTCGCATAGACCCCAAAGAGAAAGCGCACGGAACAACCAACCACCAAGCCGGGAACAACATCAGTACGGTGGATTTGGGGGATGAGGCGCGAACCTCACGCTCACTGAGCACCTCACGCGAGAGGACCTCATCGTGTCCGAAGCAACCTGACGCGGGAAGGACTGAGATGAGGTTCGGTATCATGATCCTCGTCTTCTCCATGGTCTTTACGCTGTCCTGGCTGCCGTTCTATGTAAGTAGACTTTGAATCTTTTTTTTTTGTAGTTGCCATTTTGGTGTTGCTGCTTGCACCCATGATCAGTTCTATCATCTGTCATTTTTAAGGAGAAAACATCAAACTATCTAACTACAAAGAACTAGAATATCAACATTTCTGTTAAATTTACTCAAATGTTCACTAAACTGGAAATGTCTACCACGCATGCCAATGCAGAGGTTTTCTTTTTTAATTTGTTGGGATGAGTTTTAAGTAAAGCAAATAACTATTGCTAGCTCGTAAAAATATCACTTAATTTGCCCTTTTCTGTTCTCACTCCGAACAAAGGGAAAATAGTAGCTTCCGTTTTAACCACCGCAAAATAACGTCACTTAAAACGACATGTGTATTAAATCAAGAGCGCTCTTTTGCTTTACAAAATTAATGAGGGGGTTTCTTTTCTACTTGAAATTATTATTTTTTGAAACCGGCATGAAAGTTAAAAAAGCAATGGTGTTTCCCAGCAAGTTGCAAGTTCTAAATCCGATCCGAAGAGCCAGCGAATGCTTTGTCGAATCTCTTTCAGGGTTTGGTGTATATAGGGCTAACAAGAAAAGATTCATGGCGCCTTTCAAAATATAAATATAGTACAGTAACATAACTGCTTTGGATCAGTTTGATTTAAAAAAGTCTCATTCGTTAAATTTCCAAGGCTAATTTCATGTTGGGTAATATTATTAAGCGCAGACCGCTTAATTCAATATCCTCGTTCTGTGCTATTCCACTAATTTCAGAGCATGCAGTTATCAATCAATAAAGTAAGTAATTAAACTAATGTAGAATTTTATTTCATATATCGGAGACATGGCTAAGCCGAGTGCGAGTAAAACGCAGATATAAAATTCAATTCCTAACGCTTACTTGAAACCCACTCTAGATTAACCACGTCATTTTCAATTAGGAAGATCATATATATACAAGTAACTGAACAATCCCGAGTATATGCGAGGTATCATATCCGTGGAGTGCTCCCCAGGGTGACTGGAGTGTTATTGAGAAGCGCGCAAAAAGCGGACTCATCGTCTAAGTGCGGTCGTGATGCATAGGCACTCATCAACGCCAACATTGTCCATTTTAGGCGTCGGTTGCGAAAAACCTTCGAATAGTGGCGGGCGATTAATAGCCCCGTCCCCGGACACGATAAATCACTTGCAATAATCACAACTGTATACACTACGTGTTACAAAGCACATTTATCTGAAAGGCACTGTGTAAAAATTCTTAATGGTTGTTTTTCGTTTACAGTTACGGGTAAGTGTATTTTCTAATATAACGCCGGCGCAAACAAAATTATACCAATATCACCGTTTGTACAAAACACGACTGCTGCTATGGGGCGCATACAACAAACATCGTGGCCCCGATACAAACACGGGTCTCATCCGTGTCAACACTATATATCAAACAATAAGCTGATTTCCCTCGTTTCTTCGGAGGAAAAAGAAAGAAATGTCCAGGCCAATTTCACAGGAGGTGCACTCGGGATTAACGCACGTACGCACTTCGGTCTTGCCTGGCGAGTTTACCTTTCCCGCGCGAACTCGCCTTCCCGCCAAAAATAAAATACCAAATCAGCAACGGTCCAATCTCCACACGCGACCCTCATCCATCCTCTTATTCCATTAGCTCATAAAACCAGGGACTTTGTGGCGAGATATTGCATCCCGTATCGTCTTACAGCATCCCCGGAGCTAAATTAAGAAACCCTTTTTATAGCCATCTCAGTTTGGCGCAAACACTGTTTGGGATCAACACTTAAAGCCGCGCGCAGCTAGCGCTACTCGCATCTTTCTGAAGACCAGTATGAATGTCAAGGCAATCGTCGCGTACGTATCTGACCGGATCTAATTATTTGGTCCAGGTTTCCCGTGAGACCTGTAAATTGGCGAGCCAGCTGCATCGATCAAACACGATGTAATTTTTTTTGTATCCAAGCCCACTCACTCGATTGTTTTTGATTCCGAAAACTATATAGACTAACTTCTTATGCAAGTTGTGCCTATATACTCTTTGGCGGGGTACATATTAATCTCTCCCGTGTACATGAACAAACAAGACTCGAATTTGCATATAACATCTGCTAGTTTACTTTCCAGTGCACAAACTTTTTCATATCAAAAGAACACTCGATTGTTTTTGATTCCGAAAACTATACAGACTTACTTCTTATGCAAGTTGTGCATATATACTCTCTGGCGGGGTACATATTAATCTCTCCCGTGTACATGAACAAACAAGACTCGAATTTGCTATATAACATCTGCTAGTTTACTTTCCAGTGCACAAACTTTTTCATATCAAAAGAACACTCGATTGTTTTTGATTCCGAAAACTATACAGACTTACTTCTTATGCAAGTTGTGCATATATACTCTCTGGCGGGGTACATATTAATTTCTCCCGTGTACATGAACAAACAAGACTCGAATTTGCATATAACATCTGCTAGTTTACTTTCCAGTGCACAAACTTTAAAATCGGTTTGTCTGTCCTGTCAAACCACACCTTTTGGCTATCAAAATAAAAAATCTTGTTAGAATAGTTAAGCTTGAAAAGACGTCAAACATCTATAGCCATTGATATCATTGCTGACCCACGGCGTAAACGGCACCATACCAATTCAGAGCACGGCAGTGGCTGCCGTGATGCGTAAAACTGATGAAGATTTCTGTCGTGTTAAAATAAATTGAACGGATTGGTTTCAATTGCTTCTCTGATAAGATTGTGTTATCTTGACAGGATCGAGATACTCCGTCATCCTGCATCAGGATGATGGCGAAATGTCAGCCCAGTCCTGTCAATTTAGACCGACTCTGAATTATTTATCTCAGGAAGGGCAAGGTTTTGTTTAATTCACAGTCTGTATACAAGCTTGTCTCATGATCCGGTTTTTTTTAAATGGCAAGCAATTACACTTGATGTCGGCTCATATTATATATGGAGTACCGAAGTGAATACGTCACGCGCACAAAATGTGTGTGAAAGACATTAGCGCCCTATATTCAGCCTGTGAACCAACACGCGCGCGCGCTCCATTCGTTTGCGCTACACTTTCTGGTTCTAACTGACGTCACACTTCGGTACTCATTTTATTAGGTCAAGGCTTGGAAAAAAACAAACTAGATTTGCACTGTGACGAGTATCAAGAATTCATGTATAACACAGCATGTCATTCAAATCGTGACATGTAATCTATTTGCATGGCCAACGTGATCGCCCTGAACATTTCTAAATTAAAGTGGTGTTGGAGCACCGCCAGCGAAGAATCAGTGTTCGTCTAAAGATCACTTTTCTTCCGTACTCCCAGGCCACTGAAAAACAAAACCGCTTGCCTGGCCTGCGAGCTGCGAGCACAAGACCAATTTCATCGAGGCTTCGAAATTTCTTGCCAATTCAGATTTCTCGGGTTTACGTACGTATAGATAGTAGCGTAATTGCCCATGTTAAATGAATATGAACCCATTGGCGAGAACATCGGAGAAATGGAACGCATGGAACCCTGCATCCAACACGAGTAAACGCTGCGGATTGGACCCACGTGCACCAGACCAATTGGCGTCGGTGGTTTTTTGCATGGTGCATTCTCGAGATACAAAATTTCCTCGCGAAACATTTATAATACATCGCACAATATTCGGCGTATGCCTTCCCTTCATGTAGAGACATTGATCTGTTGTTTCCTTGTACAAATTTCAAAGTTCAGACAATGCCATTTCAGACACACACAAAATCGATGCGGAGCGACATTTTGATGAAGGTATTTTGAAGGAGGTCGCAATGTACATCACACGTGCAAACAGCATACATGAGACGCGTTTAATTAACTTACTATTGCGCTGTACTGTTTGCAGTGAAAACATTAAGACAAATCATGAAATACATTGCCGCTTTTTTTCTTGAGATCTTCAGGCCGGATCTTGAGAGCGAAACAATGTTGACATTTCACGCTGGAGTCGTGAATATTTGATCTTATCATAATCATGTAGACTGAAATGTTGGATTTCTTTTTTTCTTCTTCTCAAACTCTCCGCCACGCAGTTTTGAAATCGTTTCTCCCCTGCCCAAATGGCCTCAATAACGAAAGATGCGTTTTAATACAGACAGCTCCGGGCGCGTGATTAATGTACACTGTACGAGGCCAACGGAGAAACCATTGTGCACGCTAATGTACAAAGCAACTGCCCTGTGACGTTTTATTTGAACAATAGCTAACACAATGCTTTCGCCATTGAAGGGGGCCTTCGTGATATTTTTGCGCAGCGTGCCGGGATTGGACTATAAGCACAAGGTTCTACATCGATTTCTTAAAGGGACCATTACATGAATTTTACTAAGGAACATTATTTTGTGCAACTTTCTACACCTAAATGTATTAAACTACTTCACATCCCCATGTCGTATTTTGTTTTTAAAGTGCACTTCTTTAAGTTTAAACAGTAAACATTGTCCATGTTTTTCCTGACAAATGAGGGCGCTGTTGCTGTGATGTCATTTCAGGAAGACACTGTTCAGTTTAGGGGGTTTTCTGTACAAATTGTGAATCAAAAAGTTGCTCATTGAAAATATTTGCGAGAAAACTTTGCTCACTGGCCTATGTCATGTACTAAAACAACAACGAATCAAAAAAGAAAAGAAAATTTATGACAGCAAAATATCCAAAATTGTGGTAAACATTGATGCAGAAATAGCTGTAACATTAAGGTTTCTACCTGAAATGACATCACACTTTTGCTCATGAGTACACACGTTTTCATTGGCATAAAAACCAATAAGGTACCAAAATGCCCTTCAAATGGCAACATGAAAATTGACAATAAGGTTAAATGGGACACAAAAAGGTGCATTTTCAAGGATTTCATTAAAATAAATTACATTACATTGGCCCTTTAACTGCTACACTATAGTCTTGTTACTCTAAAACAAGAAACATTATAAGACACCGACGCATCCATCACATTATGTCAAAAGCTATGCAATCCAAGGGCGAGCATGTTTCCGTGTTTCTGTGCGCCAAGTGCCTGAATATCAATACAACAATGTAGTTCGATTTTGTGGCGGTTCAAGGAGCTTCCACGCGCGCGCCATTAGGAACCCGCAGTTGTCCGCATTAACTGGATCAAAATGTTCGGACAAAGACATGCAGCAACTGTGATCAAATCACTTTTTTCAGGATCCCCTTTTTGCCGTTTTTTTTTACTACGACATGTGCTTCCTTGCAAACAATGTCAGTTGCGCCGTCTGTTGTTAAGATAAATGGACAATTTAAAAATTATTCCTATTTTGGGCGCGGAGGCCCGAAGGGACGGGGCAAGTATATAAATTATTTCCCTAGCAGGGGGATCGAAAAATGTCCTCCCCACTTTGTCATGGCGATTGCAAAGTGCATATTGTCGTTGTGTTGTCCACCTACACGTTTGTATAGGTTGGTTTCTATTAGTCATGTCTATCTATTTTGAACATGGATCTACATTCGAAAGAGACATACCAACAACACATTGATATATGGGCCAAATGTTACAGCTGGCCCAATAGCGTGACCGGGTTTACGTATATAGCTGCAAGATCACGTGACAGCGGACAAATTCAATGCTGGAAGCACGAACTGGGATTTTTTTGGGGTGAGCTGGGTGAGAAAGTTCCTTTTGACATTTCGCGAAGGAAACAACGCATGCACTTGAAAAGAACTCATGTATTGAGCCACAAAATGTTTGTCAATTATGCAACGGTACCTAGCGCTTCCCCTGTCACCTTGCCGTGTGGCAGATTAGGCGCAATTATTCAATTTCACGGAACATTCTAAAACATGGTCATGGCACTGGAAAAAAAAGGTCATGGCAAAAAACCCCAAACAAACAAAGACGCATCACGCATTACAAAAAAACATTTTGTGATCACGTGACCCTGATTTTACCCGCAAAAAAAGCAAAATGCTCTATTCTCAATCATTTTTTTATGAATGGGTTTAAAAATCAACATCGCACTGTCGATGTTGGGAAATACGTAAGACAGATGCTAGGGTGGATGGTCTGCCTACCGGCAACTACTTGACGTCACAGGTGATGTTTCTCGGGTGAAGTGTCAAAGGTTACAATGAATAATTAGCAGTAACCACGTGATCACTGAATAGCTGGGTTTTGAATCTGATGGTTTTCGCATAAGGGCGTCCCTTTTTATTTCTAAGGTTCTCATATTTTTGGGGGCTTTGAAATAAGATCGATCGGTCGAAAAACAAAATAAAATCAAACAGTTGGGCCTTGGTCTGACATCTTGCCGGTTCAAATCCGCCTATGACAAAACCAAAGAGCAACATGTTTTTGTGAAAGATTCAGTAGAGATATTTCTCAAAATTATGGGAATGATTGGGCTCAGACATAATGATACAAGAACAAAAAGTCGTTAACCGTTATTTTTTAACGGTTTTTTTTTGAGCAGGATGGTGCACCAATTCATCGGAAAATCCGCAATCACCACAAATAACCGGCATTCCTTGAAATTCTCGAGCCCCACCAATTAACCTGGTTGCGTCCTGGGTGTTCCCGGTCGGCATTGAAGTTCAGTTCCGCTGGCAAAGTTGCAATGTGGCAGTACATGTACAGTGGATGGTTTACCACTCCTTTTAAGCTTCCTCGGTACCAAGAAGTGAACTATTTTCGATGAACTTGTAAATCGACTATGTTTCCTTCTTGGAACTGCATGAGGCTTCGCAATTAACGTCGAGGGAAAAATAGGTCATCCGTGCAACTTTCCAAAATTCGCCGGCCACACACAGTCACGTCAACATTATCATCGGCAAAAAAGTATACTACTGTTTCTTGCTTAGCTATGAAATAAAAAAGTATCCGTATTAAAAACAAACCACCTTAAATCTGCCACGTTCATTTTTGGCTCAAAATCTAACAGCCGTCTGATGCCTGGAAAGAGTTAAAGGCTGAAAACATTCAATTTTCTGTTAAAATTGGGCCAGAATAAAAAGCCGATTTAAGCTCTTCGTGAAGTAACGGGACCTTATTGTGTGTTCATGCAAAAACATCGTATCTCGACAAGTTACGACAGTTTGACAAAATTATACACAGCGCGTCGTCTCAAGCAAAAACGTTGTATATGTTGATTTCATTAATGAGGTCGTTACATCACGCGGGATAACAAAATATTCAACATACTGAACATGACTTCCTGAATAAATGATTTTCTTGAGGTTACTTTATCTTTTTATTTAATGGAAACAAAACAAAGAATGAGCCGACACAAAACGTATTTATGCGTTAATCTAATAAAAAACGACTAAAAACTGAGCTTTTACGACGTTTTTGCACTGACGCGACGCCGAGTATGTTCGGGGATTAATTATTGAAACATTACGATGACTTGTGAAAAAACGAGTGATGGATGGTGGCGTTACCAAACAGCAATCTCCAACAAACGCAGCAAATAGAAGCGTAGTTACCCATGGATCCAATGTGCTACTTGGCCTGTATCAACAATGTGTCGGGTGAAGAAGCCCACACGATCCCTTTTAACGAATTCCTTGAAAACTGAAAGCCAAGATTGATTGGTGTCTAGGGAAGGTGTACTTTTCTTTTGGCGGTAGACCATTTAGCCGTTGATCACTGCCGAATGAATTGTGATTAGTTCACGGTACCGGTATAGAGAAAGACGCAGGCGGCCCGTTTTAATTGGAAGGTAGAGACGTGACTCGTGAGAATAATTGTGAATTAATGAAAAACAAAGGCTGAAGCAAGACAGTAGCGTGACAAAATCTCAATTTAATTTCTGAATTGTGGACTGAGCGCAACAATAACTGACTAAGCTTTTCTCAGCACTGGCATTTTTAATTGATGAATGTTTCTTGTTTGTTGGCTTTTCCGCCATCAATGGCGGGAAAGCCACATATTTTCTTCCAATTTTTTTCTTCTTTCTTCTTGTTCTATCCCAAATCCAAAAGACTTTGTAAACGAGTTTTCATGTTCAAATCTTGATCAAACTTTAGACAATAAATGACCATATAGCAAAGAAGGTCCGAACATGTCCATTTTGCACCTTTGACGTTTACCAGATTCAGCGACTCGTCAAGGCTATCACCGGCTTCAGCACTCAGACCACCCTATTAATTGTCATCTACCTGCTGACGTTGAACCACGTGATCGACCCGTTCGTCTACGTCCTCATGAAGCCCCAGTACCGCAAGAAGTTTAACCAACTCTGCCGTAGGTGGCGCTCTATCTTCTGCAAGCGTTGCCATAGCAACGAAGGGACCACGTCATCGGCAACTGGCGGGGAGGTTGTCGTCAGGAGCGTTTCTAGCGCTAATCTCTACGGCAACCGCCGAAACAGCCTCGGAAGTAAGTCTGATCAGGTAATTCATGATTTATCATCGCATTAAATGGAAAGAAGTCACAAAATTGTCAGTTTTTGTATTAATAATGTAGTTTTTGGAACAAATGATAGGACGTCAGGGCATATCCAACGCACTACAACCACCAAACCCAGTTAATCATCTCCGCCACGGAGGTTATGTTTTCATCGGCGTTAGTTTGTTTGTTGGTTGGTTGGTTCATCAGTTAAAAAGATAACTCCAAAAATTGTGGACGGATTTTCATGACATTTTGTATCGGTGGTCCTTGGTATAAGTACATATCCATTGAATTTACCTTATTAATGCTTGCTATTTAACCTCTGTGAACAATTTCGGTTTCATGAAATTTAATCCGAAATTCAAAAACGGTAGCTTCCGGAAATTGGGCACAAATTGGCGGAGTGTTCCCTAACGTGGCGCACTTGAATAAACCTCAGAAAATTCCAAATTGACATTTAAGAATTCCTGTAAAGTTGATAAATTCTGATAAATAATTATTATCTCTACTTACATACCCAACCAGACATTTGTCAGAATTTTTTTCTCTTATTTTTCGGGACATTTTTAAAGGGTTCACTTTGCACTTCAAAATAAAACCGGAAATTTCAGTTCAAACTTTTGCTCTAGCTAGGCGCTACAAGCGAAAAATCAAAGTGCGCCACGTTGGGGGCCGCGCCACGTTAGGGCACATCAACAATATTTCTTTTGGGTGTACTGACAATATGGTGGGGAATTGTGTAGCCGTTGTGTAGTAGAGTTTGCGCTCTCTGAGTGCTTTCTAGTTACAACCATGCAATCTAGGCGAGTAACCTCGCCTTCAATGGTACACATTGATTCCCCAATAAAAAAACAAACACTTAAACAGCGCGCGAACCTGCGATAACAAATTCCCTTATGTGACGCTGACGTGTCCCACACGCACCGAGCACGACAAAATTGGCCTAGACGGATAGTAATTGAACTTGTCACAATGGCGTACATATTTTGTACCATTTTTATTGACGTACGGTCACGTACCAATAAAATAATTAAATTTACACTATGATAAGGTCTGCCAAATGAATGCAAAACTTAATAAATACAATAGTTTACACTTTTACAGCTCAATATAAATTCTACATTTCTTGCAATGAATACGAAATAATTACAGACTAAACTTAATCTAAATGTACATGTAGGCTATTTCTTGCATCCTTTTATTTTTCAAAATGGCGTATACACGTGCTTGTGTACTCATTAACAGAACTGGACTATAAATTCATTCCATTTTTATTTTCCACAGGCGCCCCAAATCAGTCACTAACACAACTTTGTGCTGGTACCGGAGAGCCAGCGTAGAGTCCTCTTCGTACCTATCCCACTGACTGACTGACTCCCTGACCGACTGACTCCCCGTCACTTGTTACTCTTCTGGTAGCGTCAATGAATGAGCTACATCTAGCCCATTGGGTAGACAGATGAGATGCATTAAGACTTCCAGTGAATAGCCATTCTGAGCAATTGAATAGAATTTTGCGTACTTTAATAAGCTTTGCCCTTTTCCCTCCTCTCTTCTTGATCCAGCAACGCTCATCACTTCATGTACCATGACTGCAGGACATGGCTACGGCACAAATGCATGGCTGGGGCTCACCCAACCCCATGCTCCTATGATACAAGTCACAGCGGCTACCCCTAGCCTAGCCAGCGAGCCCAGCCGTCGGGCCTCGTCGACTGACGCTGCTCTCGATGAGATCGTCTCCCTGGACTCGAGCTGTACGGATTCCAGTGCTGGTAATCCTGGGATTTATCTGCTTGGGGATTACCAGACTGCGGATCATCAGCCTGGAGGTAGTCAGCCTATGGATTACCAGGCCAGAGTTTAACAACGTTTGGATTAAGATCCCTGATACGACAAGCCAGTGGATTAGCAGCCTGTGGATTAGCTTTGGGATAATCCAAGAGATTAACCAGCTGCATGGTTATTGAGCCTTGGGACTTTTGGCCTGAGAACTAGCAGCATGGAGATTATCAACCCAGAGATTAAGAACCTGATTAAGAACATTGGATTACCAAGCCTGTGGATTAGCATCCTTGGGAATGGTTTATCCTGTGGATTAGCATGCTTGGGAATGGTTTATCCTGTGGATTAGCATCCTTGGGAATGGTTTATCTCCCAAGAGATGAACGAACTGGAGATTGAGATGAAGACTGAAAGCCTGTAAATTGCCAGCCTGCAAACTGCGAGCCTCATGTGGGGATTATCAGCCTAGGATTATCTGTCCAGAGTTTAACAACCATGGATTAACAGCCCTTCTACAACACACCTGAGGGATTACTGCCTTTGACCAGCCTGAAGAAAACTTGTTCTAAGGGATTATCAGCCGTAAAACAGATTGAGGTTAATATCCTGAAGATTGCAAGCATATAAATTATCAGCATGTAAAATTGTCAGCCTGCGGATTGCCAGCTGGGGACGGATTACCACCTCCTAGAAAGGATTATCTGGCCAGAGTTTACCCTCATTCATATTAATAACCCTTTTACAACAAACCTGTGGACCATCAGCCTGTTGACTATCAAGCTTGTTGACAATCAGCTTTTGGATTACAAGTCTATGGATTACCATCCGGGGAAAAATTATCCAGGGGATTATCTGCCAAAAGATTAACCACCGGGATATTACAAATCCTGAATTTTGTCTTGCAGTCATATAGGAGAAATTCCATGACTTTCCGTACCTTTTCCATGAATGCCCGTTCGAGCATTTGTTCAGCTTAAATGGTCATTACCTTGCTTAATGCATAATACATGTTTACAAGTACTGTTAACAATTTTTTTGTCGGCACCAAAATAAAATATTTTGCATATTTATAACTAAACAATGTAGCTTCATTCGAGTTACATAATAAGGCTTTCAAATTCTTTCCAAACCATAGCACAAAATTTACAAATATTACCTGCATAAAATGAATTTTGAATTCATAATTTATAACTTTGGAATTTACACGTAAACATGATAACATTATTCTAATTTAATACCGGTACGCTTCAGAAGAAAAAAAAACACCTTATCAACTCATTAAAAGAGAACTCCATGGAATTATTTGTGTACACAAGATAATGGTTGTTTTAAATGCATGATAAATCCATGAAATGAAAACAAAAATTGCGACAATTTTGATTAAACAGCTGTTACGCATTCTCCCAACCTTTGATATAATGTATTTTGTGTGAATAAATATCAAATTATTTCATTAATTCTTCAAAAAAAAAAAGTCTTGCCATTTAAACCTTAAGCCCACTAATGATACACCAATGTACGTCAATTTTTGGCAGAGTTTGGAAAATTGGGTAACAGTTTTTGTTACCAGTATCAATAACAAATCAAGGAATGAGAAATTGACAAAAATATCATCGCACGTTTACAGTGACTATAACCAATAAAATTATTATGTGATCCTGACCAAAAACCTTCACATCTTTCTCACCGGGTTTAACTTAAATACGCCTGAATAAATTGCCGTTTTAAGTATCTTTGATAAGTTCTCCACGCTTACCTAAAAGGCTTCAACTGCACGTATTATTGTCTTTTCTCCTCCATCAAACTGCTACGAGATGTTTTTCCTCGGTATGTGAACCACAAGCGGGACATTCATGAAACTCCTGCAGAAAAAAAAATAGGAAAATATCAGAAATAATCCAGTCCTGGTCTCACTAACTACAGGTAAATAAATCCTTAAAAACCCCAACTCCCTACTTAGTTTTACTAACTTGAAGACCAAGTCCGTCACGATCCATCACTCACTCGGCTTCACATAATGCTTCAGGAGCAAATCCATTGAAATCCACCACCGGTGCTGATGGATTTTGATGGATTGGTACACATGGCTTATCTGCCAAAATCCCCCAAATTGGGGGATGGATTTTGATGGAGTTGGCAAGGTTAGGTTAAAAAAAAAAAATAAACCAACCCACACATCGCTTCTTTCGTCTTTTGATTCTGTCATGATGAACTGTTAGCTGAATAGCGAACACTGACTGAAAATTGACTGTCCAATATTTTCAATATCTTGATCAGGGAGGTCGCTGGCAAGTTAAACGAACAAATTAAACCAGCGGTTGGTTAACTTGAAGTTGAAGCCCGAGGCACACAATAAAAACCTCACAGAACCCCAAAGTAAACCTCCAGTTACCGCCTCTTTAATTTCCCCTAAAAGGATCCATTTCTTACCCTGATGTATGCCTGCCAGCATGTCTGACAGGATACATGACCGCAGGGACCTCGGTAGGCTGGCCAGGCAGTCTTCTTGCATAAAGCACAGTCTCCTGTTTATCAAAAAAAAAATTACAGCTTCAAACGTTTATTTTTGAGTGGAGGTATATCTCTTAATAAGTATTAAGCATACAGTCGAACCCTGATAAGAAGAGCGTGTATAATACAACATCCTGCTTATAATAAGGAAAATGTTAGGCCCCAAGTCTTTGTTTTTCTTTGTTTTCCATTACTGATAATACAAGGTACCTGTTACAATAAGGTAATTTGTACAGTCACAGGGACCTTGTTAGAAAGGTGTTTGACTGTATTTCTTAAAGCTATAGTCCATCATTTGCAGCCATCCGAAAAGTAACTGGCGTAATTATTGTTGAAAAACAAACTTGGTTGAAAGATAGTAAGGGAACTAAACTCCCTGTGAAATTATTCTTTCTGGGAAGCTGTCATTTTGTAGTAATCAACAAAAGAAGGCATTTCCAACGGTGATTCTTAAGAAGAACCGTAGGAAAATTTAAATTAGTTGTTCGTTTTGTTATTCAGCGCAGCGCGCGCAAGTGTTGGAACGACGCACACGCGCGCGCGGTTGTTATAATTCGTCGGATCAGTGCGCGACGTCGCGTATAGCTTCAATTCAAAACATGATTCAGTAACTTTTGATTTGAAATTGAGATCTTAGAATGTTGTTTTTCTCGGAATGTACAGCTGAAGCCTAGCTGAAACTTCATCAGGTTAGTTGCTCAGTATCCTTTATTAGATTTTGAACTCTGTTGTTGCTTCAAACGAACAAAATGCACAATTTAAAAATGATGGACTATAGCTTTAAAAACAGAAAAAGTAAATTTCCTTAAATTGAGACTTTTCTTTACCATAGACTACTTTTTTATATTGTGGTTGCAATATATGTGCCTAAAAACTTGTCTTTGAAGCAAACTGTAACAAACCATCGGGTGCACTGAAAGAAACAGAATCCGTGCTCTGGTTGTTTATGGCAAGTAAAGCAGAAGTCTCACAACAGGTGGGAGATTTGAGACCCAAAAAGTCAAAAATGTTCGATAAAAAAATTCTGGGGTGGACACAGATCAAATTAAAACACACACCAGTTCTCTTGGAGTGACTTGAGCTCGCTGATTCCCCCAGGAAAGACTCTTTGGACACCACTTTGCTGTTGTCTTCGACCTCTGCTGGACGCTTCTCTAGAGATTTCTCCTTGCTCTCTGCATCACTGTCGTAACGAGATGTTCTGCTTTGGGAGCCATTGGGTCCTTTCTGGACCTTCGTCGATGTCGCTGGAGTGTGCTTACTGTCCGAAGAATCAACCAACTTACTGCTCTTCTTTTTGTTGAGCTTTTCTTTCTTTGATTTTGGTGTCCCTGCTTGCCGCTGGAAATCCACCGACTGACTTGGAGAAGAGGTGGTACTTTTGCACTCCGAGTTTAATTTTGACAGCTTCTTTAATTTCTTGTGAGGGGTTCTCAGCTTTTTGCAATCTACATCTTCTTGGATACTTTCTTCTCCCTCCTTAGGATCCGAGTGTTCCTCATCAAAGTGCTCTGAAATTAGTTTCTTTGATTTTGTTTCATCTTCTTTAAGCTTTTTCTTGTGAGTGATTTCTGGACAGTTCTCAGCTTGTCTTTTCCTGCTCAGCTTTGAAGGACTTCTCTGGGAATTGATCTTTTTGCTTGACTTGGTCCTGGATGGTGACTTGAAGTCGTCCTGTGACCCGCTCAATTTCGTCTTGGAACTACTGCAGGATTTTATTTTCTTTCTATGTAGGGTACGATTTTCATTTTCTTTTGTTAAAGATTGCTCAGTCATGTCGCCTATTTTATGACTGTTTATCAACTTTTCTGAAATCTGTGAAACTATTTCTTGTGAATGATGCTTCTCCACATGAACACAGGTCTTGGAAGCTGTTTCTTTCCCAGTTATGGTCCGGTTTGCTTCTGGTTCAATTTCCCTGCTCTGTTTCTCAAGATGTGTTTCAGTTGATTCTGCCTGCTCATTCGACGATGACTTAATCCTTGCATCCTTCACTGGAGACGAGAAACAAGTATCAGTTTTCACACTGTGCATCTGTTTTTTCGGACTGCCAACATTACTGATGCTCCTTTTCACGTGATCAACCATCTTCTGAATTCTCAACCTGTTGGGTCCTTGTGTGACAGGTTGATCATGCCCTGGCTGATTGCATATCTTAACTGATTCTTTTTCTCCAAGCGAAGGGTTAGCATCCGTTCCTAAATTTGTCCTACTGGCTGTTTCATTCCCAAGAAGAACATCCGTTTTTCCTGTCACAGGGTCAGATGTATTAAAAGTATCATCGAAGAGCTCCTCACTCGCATTAAGGATGACGTCTTCATCCATGCTAGATTCTAAGGACATGGGTTCCTCTTCGTCTCCTAGAGAGTCTCTAAATTCATCCTTTGGCTCTTCAGAATAACAAGGATCATCCTTGTGTAGTGTTTGTTCTGGTTTGCTTCTTGATGAATCTGTATGTGTTACTGGTTGGGGTTGCTCAGGACCATCCAAGGTCTGGGAAGACAGCTTTATGGTGGCAGCAGTGGGATTGCTAGTAGATGAGTGAGGATTGAATGCGGCAGCGGCCTGAGACTGTGAGCTTGTGACTTCACAATCTCTGTTGGAGCTCTTGCGGGAATCCAAACTGTCACTCCTCTTCCTAACCTGGCTGCCAAGTCCCTTTTCCCCTGAGTATTCTTCTGGACAAGGTCTTCTCTCAGAGATGCTAACAGCTTTAGAGGGTGCTCTGTCAGAGCTCTTGGTTACACTCTTATCATCTCCAAGCATCTCCTCCTTTGCTCGACCGTCACATGATTTTTCTTCTTGACACCTTGTTTTGCTTGACCTTTCCTCTTGACGTGAAGACATCGGTTTGTTTTCAAGTGGTTTCTTGAAGGTACACACCAGCGCACCAGTTCTCACCGACTCTCCATCGACAGCGGGGCCAACATTCTCCAGGACATCATCTGAGTTGACAGTGCTCTTGTCTGCTTCAAGCTGTGAGGCACTGCTCCGTTCAGCATCCATTTGAATACTTCTTGAGTCTTTCTTGGACAAAATAGCAGATTTGACCAGGCTCTGAACTGGACCCTTTGCAGCTGGCTTGTCTGGGTCAACTGAGGATTCTGCCGTGACTCCACGTTTTGGATGAAGCTGGAAACTATGTGCTCCTGAAAGGGAACCATCTCTAAGTAAACCCTTCCTTGGCATAGTTTCTGTCTGGAGCTCAGAATGGTGAGATTCAGCTCTGTCTTTTTCGGCTGAAGTTTTGTCGAGGTCGAGGCTATCAGGCTTGTGTCTCTTTGTAGGGTTACCGGCTTTTCCGGTGGTCATGCCTTGGCAAGAGATTGGCCCATTCTGCTGAAAAGTTTTCTCTGGTAGACTGGATTTGCTTTTATCTGCTGGAAAGCAAAACAAGTGAATTTGTCAGACAAATTAAACAAAATAAGCAAATTAAAATTAGAGATATTTCCGAATATTTGCCATTATACTAAAGTTTTCATTCGAGTGCGTGAATATTGTCTGCTGACCTCCAAAAAATTGCAAAAACTTGACAATACTTTTGACAAAATACCTTGAAATCTGTGGTTTGATGTTATTAGCAACCATCATAAAACCAAATGTCAGGATTTACTCTTACTTGATGAGATCAGGTTGGTAGGTTTTTGTTTCTCCATCTTCTTTTGGGGGATGCTGTGCTCTGGTTTGTAGCCGCATCCTTGGCCGGTGAGACTTAGGCAGAGAGAGTGGAACTGCTTCTTGTGATGAGGACGAGCAAACGTGTAGAAATCTGAGAGGAGATGGTAGCAAGATTAGGATCAAGAGTGTTCTCAAGTTGGGACAAGCATGTTCACCCTTTAGTCCTTGTACTGCCCCAAAACCACCCTGCCTGTTACTCTCTGTACTGTCCAGAGTTGCCCTGCCTGTATTTCCCTGTACTGCCCCAAACCACCCTGCCTGCTACTCTCTTTACTGCCCCAAACCAGCCTGCCTGTTACTCCCTGTACTGCCCCAAGCCACCTTGCCTGTTACTCCCTGTACTGCCCCAAACTACCCTGCCTGTTACTCCCTGTACTGCCCCAAACTGCCCTGCCTGTTACTCCCTGTACCTCCCCAAACCACACTGCCTGGTACTCCCTGTACTGCCCCAAACTACCCTGCCAGTTACTCCATGTACTGCCCCAAACAACCCTGCCTGTGACTCCCTGTACTGCCCCAAACTACCCTGCCTGTGACTCCCTGTACTGCCCCAAACTATCCTGCCTGGTACTCCCTGTACTGCCCCAAACCACCCTGCCTGTTACTCCCTGTACTGCCCCAAAATACACTGCCTGTTACTCCCTGTACTGCCCCAAACTGCCCTATCTGTTGCTCCTTGCACTACCCCAAACCACCCTGCCTGTTACTCCCTGTACTGCCCCAAACTACCCTGCCTGTTACTCCCTGTACCGCCCAAAACCACCCTGCCTGTTACTCCCTGTACTGCCCCAAACCGCCCTGCGTGTTACTCCCTGTACTGCCCCAAACTGCCCTGCCTGTTACTCCCTGTACCTCCCCAAACCACACTGCCTGGTACTCCCTGTACTGCCCCAAACTACCCTGCCTGTTACTCCCTGTACTGCCCCAAACAAGCCTGCCTGTGACTCCCTGTACTGCCCCAAACTACCCTGCCTGTGACTCCCTGTACTGCCCCAAACTATCCTGCCTGGTACTCCCTGTACTGCCCCAAACCACCCTGCCTGTTACTCCCTGTACTGCCCCAAACTACACTGCCTGTTACTCCCTGTACTGCCCCAAACTGCCCTATCTGTTGCTCCTTGCACTACCCCAAACCACCCTGCCTGTTACTCCCTGTACTGCCCCAAACTACCCTGCCTGTTACTCCCTGTACCGCCCAAAACCACCCTGCCTGTTACTCCCTGTACTGCCCCAAACCACCCTGCGTGTTACTCCCTGTACTGCCCTGCTTGTTACTCCCTGTACTGCCGCTAACCACCCTGCCTGCTACTCCCTGTACTGCCCCAAACAACCCTGCCTGTGACTCCCTGTACTTCTCTAAACCACCTTGCCTGTTACTCCCTGTACTGCCCCAAACTACCCTGCCTGTTACTCCCTGTACTGCCCCAAACTACCAAGGATTCATTGGGTAAAGTTAATTTCATTCATTTACGTCTTAGAACTCACTTCTGAAGAGGGGGTATTTGGACTCATCTTCCGTGAAGAGGTCAGCGATGCCTGCCACCATCTCTGAAAAGTTGTCAGTCTGTTGAGGACAATTTTGTTGAGGAAAATTATAATAGCCCAAGAAATCAGCAAAATGGAATCCCATGAGCACGAGTAAAACTTGGACAAAATGTAGTGCATAGGAACCCAAGTTATGTGATGAACAAAAAAGAAACATTTACTCCAGTGTTCAATCAATAAGATCGGCAATTTACATCAATCTTACCTTTTTATACTTCTGCATGATGCCGGAAAACGTCTTGTACGAATCCTGACTCAGTGTCTTCTTTACCTGGACATGCACAAATCAAAATGAAAGGTTCCTGGATCTGGTCAAGGGAAATTTCATTGCAGCCTTCGGAGAAAGACACTTCAAGAAGACTTGGCAAAATGCAAAGCTGAAAATTGAGTTGTTTGTTTTGTGTAAAGCTGTGCAATTTCTCATTGTCGGGGGGGGGGGGGGGGGGGGGGGGGATGGCGGGAGGGGGGGGGGATGGCGGGAGAGGGGGGGGGGGGGGTGAGAGGGATATTGTTCCTACCTGAGCAATGTAGTCCTGAGCAGATGCAAGGCTGACGTTGCCTTCTTTACCCTTGATCTCTGGTTTGCCAGCCACAGCTGGCTGGGGTGCTTCCAACGTCTTGTCAACTGAATCTAATCCATTTTGTTGTTTCTGTGAATTAAAAGCAGTCGAAGGACGACGAAAAAAAAAAAAAGAATTTGCAATACACTGGAGACATTTGTTTCAATCACTTCAACTAATAGTGAAAAATGTTGTTCTTACAATGACAATCTTCTTTTTCTTCTTCTGCTGATCGAGTCGTCTGATGAGCTTTGTTTGCTGGCTGTTGGACTGGCTGCTTCTCTGGGAAAGGAAGCCATCTTCTTCCTCTTCTGGGGTGTTCTGTGAAGGGATAGATAAATAAAAAGTGGACCAATTCCTTAACTTAGTCAAGGGGTACCAAATATCAACAATAATTTACCAGGAAAATGCACAAACCCAGTACAAGTTTTCTGTTTACCGTCTGACACTGATTCTATTATTCTGAGTTCTAATTTGTTTGCTTTTGTACTGCATTATAAGCAAGAAACTCAACCAGAACTTGTACCTTGTACCTGAGTGAATATTCCGAGTACGGAGGAAAAACCAACAGCACTTCTAACTCTTAAGTACACCAAAAAGTTACTGTTTTAAAAGCTGGTTAACATTTTATGCAACAAAAATAATTTGACCTGCTATCTGGCAATTTGCTATTTACAACAAGATGTGTTTTTTAGAAGGTTAAGCAGCCAACCTACGATGCCAACATCAAACCTCTCAATTTTGGGTGGTACTCCATAAGCATTTTGCTCAGCGAGTTTTCTTACTCGTAAGCAGTGCTAATAGATACGGCCCTAGTATGTTACATTTAGGGACCGTGACCATTCAGCCCTGGTATGAAAAGGGCCCCCCGGTACCTCGTCCGGTCCAGAGCCAGTCCGGTCTTCAGCCCAGTCTCGTCCGGTACATGGTCCTGTCTGACCAAAAGTTTTGAAGTCAGTCAGGCGCATCAATTTATTGCCCTACAGAGAACATCCAGAGCAGAACAATAGCAGACTTACCGGATTAAAGATAAAATCCTTCCATAACCCCTAGGTAATTTACGGTCCCATTGTGCGCGAAACCGCATGGCAGGGGTTTTGATCTGTGCCGACTAAAGTGTTCTATTGTTTCGCGCTGAGAGATGAAAACCACATGCGGGTTTCTTCTGGGATATATTACATGTGTCAATACTTGCAAACAATAGACCCCAGGATAGAGGAGTTCCTGATTAGCAACTGGACCAGCTCCTGGGCTGGTAGCTGGGACGGTACGAAAGGACTTCTTGGGAGGGGACGAGCTTACTGGGGGGCCCTTTTCATACCGGGGCTGAATGGTCACGGGCCCTTACCTACCTCCACACTGCTGAGTGCATTGAGTAGGCCTGCACTCTTCTTGGCCGGCTTGGGGCGTGAGTCTTCATACATGATCTTCAACTGTGCCTCCGAAACGTGACCTGCAATGACAAGCAAGATATGCAGCTTAGTAGATGTCTGAGCTTACCAGACTTGTATGACTCGTGACTCGGACTCGGACTTGAGTCCGACTCGAGTCACATTTTTAATGACTCGGACTCGGACTCGAGTCACTTTGACTTACGACTCGGACTCGGACTCGGGGCTACGGACTCGGACTTGGACTCGAACTGACTTGTGACTCGACGGAAATTACCGTACTGCACACGCACACATACATAGAAGTCTAACAAAAGATATTTGAAACACCTGAACTTTAAATGCATAAGTTAGGCCAATACCAGTTTTGTCATGAATACAAAACTTCAAACTGTACTCACTCCCATCTCGATTCCTCTTGAGACTCGGGACGTGTGTGTCGATGTATTTAGCTTTAGTCGGAGGAGCAGAAGATGACGATGACGTTGCGATATATTGCTGTCCGCACTGGGCTTGATCGATACGAACAGGGGCTGAGGAACGGGCTTGCTTGGGCTGAGGTTTGGGCATCTGGGATTAAAATTTGAAATCAAAATTTTTTCCAATTTAGTCTTTTTTGTGACATCAACAAAAAAAGACATCCTTTGTACTTAAACTTACACAGGGTATCAAGTCCTACATTAAGAATAGGTCAGGGTTATATGTCTCTGAGAGATTTCCAAATTTTCTTGAAAAATATTTTCACTTTAAGAAGTTGCTGGTTGTTATTGCCTGGAGAGGTGTGTAATATTCGCACTGCATAAACACTAAAAAAAAAAGGCGACCATGGCCAATCAGTCAATGAACACAACTTGGACTCATGGCAAAGACACACATACGCCACACTGGTGACAATATTTCATTTTTGGGGTCACTGTCTTATTCCCCGATTTTTGCCGGAATCTGGGTATTTCCTCCAAAATTCCCCCAGTTTTCCCTGACTGGAAAATGGAAACTCATCTTCAAGGGTTTTTTCTTGATCTAAAATTGAAGGTTAAATTTAATTGATAATGAAACTCCGGAATTTACCGTTCTTTCTGTCTCCTTGAAGAAGTTTGTCAAGTCTTTCACGCCTTTCCCAAACTGGTCGTAGACATTGACGTAGGGGCGTACCCAGGAAGGAAGCTGGTTCCTGGCTTCACGGTTGGAAAACCTGTCAACAATTGACCCATTAAGTTTATAAATATCGCGACTAGCGAGACAAACAAGCAACAAGGTACACAAAAACCTATTCAGAAATACAGCTGCATGAGTGATAATACTTCTTTCTTGTTCTCTCTTAATGATTTATTGTAAACTCAGCTTTAGACGACCTCAGCAAGTCAATTTAGAAATGTATTAATATTTTTCAATTTTCCAGCAAAATTTGAGGTCATTGAAGATTTCTTCAAATAAAGCACAAAGGGAAATTGACTAGGTAAATTATATAATAATTTTAAAATTGTCATTGTGAAAAAAAAGGATATCTTTAAACTGAATCTTAAACCCATCTGCACTTAATTGGTGGACAAAAGGGATAAATTGACAAAAAATATGAATTTGCTATTCGGACTTCAGCAATGAGAAAGATGAAGATAACCTCGTGTCGCAGAGAAGGATGGCACCGAAGTCTTCCTTGTGTCGAATGACCCGGCCTATGGCCTGATTGACAGCTCGTGAGGCTTGCTGACGATACCAGTCCTGGCCACTCAGAGACTGCACAAAAATGGCAACAAAGTCATCAAGTGTATGTTCTGAAGGGGTTTTCATATTTCCCGTCTTTTTGTTCAGTTGCACTGTTTACGGCTACTTTGCCGACATACGGTAACATCATAGTTTCACTTCTATTTTTTTTTTTTTTTTTTGAAATTTCGGTATTTTTGCAGTTGTTGTCAAAACGTTTGTCTCTTTTGAACATGGCTGCAGGGTCCGAGATCAGTCAACTTTGCAGGGAATTAAAAAAAAAATTATTAGGTGAATTAATGAAGATTTGAAGTGGAGCAAACACAAAAATGACACAGATGTATAAATTGAAATAAGAAACAAGAATGATATAAAAAATTAAGAACTAACGCTATGATTTCTTCTTCTGGTCTCGTCCAGATACTGCATCTTCAGGACGATCTTCGGATCCATTCTTGGTGGGAATGGGAGGCCGGTGATGACCACCGCTCTACCATTGATGTCCGCAAAATCTAAACCCTCAGATACCTGTTTTTGTTTCAGGGGAGGGGGGGGGGGGGGAAAGATAAATTTCAAGAAGTTATTACGATGAAAAAAGCTGATGGTTCAGCTGCTACTACTGTTTAGTATACGATGGTCCAGTGGTTACAGTGTTTGACTCGTGTACGATGGTGCGTGGGTTCGAACCCTGCCAGGAACATGGTGTTTGTGCCCTTGGGCAAGACACTTAACTACAATTGCCTCTCTCCACCCAGGAGTATCAATGGGTACCTGTTAGTGTAGAGGACCAACTGTGCGCTGATAGCGGCTGCCACGTGGTCTCGTGGCCTGATAAACGGGGGAATAATTGTAAGCACTTTAATATTGTTGATATGATGAAAAGCGCTATAAGCATTACAATTATTTTATTTGTATTTAGTATGATGAAAACATCAAGCTACTATTTGTTCAAAAATTGAGTTTTTTAAGAGGATGGTGAAGCCGAACTCTTATTAAGAATTTCTGTTTGCAGAAACTACCATGTTACATGGCTCCAACTTTAGTATTAAAATAAGTTCACATGTTGTTTTTAAAAAGAAAATCCCCTTATTACATGCGTGAATAAAAAACAAATATCAGCAAAGTTGACTGAAGATATCGACAGAAAATTCCAAAATTAAGAAAATCAAATTTTGGGGTCCACCTTTCCTCTGCAAACGGCAAAGAAGCAGGCTCCATTCAGCTTGGGATCGTTTATCTTCTCATAGAAAGATTCAATCGTCTGAAGAAAAAAAAAGGCACAAAATCATACAACGGATCAGTCGTTTTTGTCATAATCAGAATTAAACAATATTTAATGATTACATACTATTAGTTGATTTTTTTCAATTTTTGGAAAGATACTGTATTGACGAAGTAGAATTGGACTTTAAAAGTATTTTTAAATAATTTGGAAGTGAATAATTTGCCGTCCTTGACAAGTTTATTTGTCTGCTTGCTGATGCAAGTAGGGTGTAGAAAAATAATTAACATAATAATGAGACATGATAAAAAAAAATTGGGGGGGGGAGGGGTTAGGGGTGGGGTTTGGCAATTAAACCTACCGCTATGAAGTTCACTTTCCCCTTCGGTTCCACAAAGACTTCCTTGTACTGAGTGATGCGATGCTGGATCCCTGATTCCTGTTAATAAGCAACAAGAAAAAGTAGTTATATTTAAGGAAAATCGCACTCATATTGTTAAAACAAGCAACAGATTACTCAGAAGAATAAGCAACAAGAAAAAGGAGTTATATTTAAGAAAAATTGCACTTATATTTGTAAAAACAAGCAATAGATTACTCAGAAGAAGAAAAATATCAGCACAAGTAAAAGACTAGAACAGATGTTACTTTTTTCACACTTTTGTTTAGAATTTTTAATATCAGAGAATATTACCTGCCATTGATCAAGAGCATGGTTCATCACGGGATAGGAGGGGAAAAACACAAGGAGCCCATTGGGTACCAGACGGGAAAAGTTCACTGGAAATTAAACAGGAAAAAAGTGGTTGTTAACCTCAGAGTTCAAATTAAATTTAAAAAATAATTATATAATTTTTTTTTTTTTAATTTCTCACCGATTGCATTTCCTAGTGACATGACATAGTCTCGGTTGAACCTCGTGTTGTAGGAGGAATTAAGTACTGTGCCGTCGGGCCCTTTGGTCATGACGGCCACGGTCATCTGGTTTCTGGAGATTACGTGAGGGTTCTCCAACTGGATCGGGAAATCACTGGAGGGACGAAATACAACGATCGGTCACTATGGGGAAGCCAGATTATTTTAGATGTACACTAAATACAAACACCGGAAAGAATGCAGTATCCAGATGCCACTTCTTTGGTTATATTGAGACTCGAGTGCATTTTCAAAGTATTTTCTTGCAAAAATTGGAAATGTTTCTCAGTCCCAGATTCATGTCTTTTCAACATTTTTGTAAAGACTGACCTTCACTGAGATAATATATGATGAAAAAGTGGCGTCAGGACGCGACAATCTTTCACAAACACCACTCAAAAACCAAAGACGCACGTTTTTAAACCTAACAAGTTGCGGTTTCAGCTCAGTAGATATAACACTTTTTGTGAAAACAGTGAAAAACCATGCACAAATTTTTGATCACAAAACATGATTTTTTTTTCATATCACTCTTCATTTCCAAAGATCAGTCAATTGACTGATCGTTGGAAATCACCTACATTTCTTGATTTCTTCTAAATGTCAGCAAGCCAGACGGAGTAATTTTACGGGGTGTTCAGTATCAGTACGATCTTATATTCGTAAGTTTTCTGATAATACATCGGTAGGTTACTTTTTGAGATACATGCAAAACATCCCACATGCCTTTAACACTAACAATATTGTGAATTTGCCCTGGATGGTATGCCAGTCCACTATAGGTTTCCTCCCAAATTAATGTCAGTACCCATTTATACTCCTGTGTGAAGAGTGGCAAGTTGGGGCAAAGTGGCTTGCCCAAGGACACAGCATATGGCCAGCTGACCCTGACCCTCTGATCATGAGTCAGTAAATGTACCCACTGGGCCGCACTCCCCCTCTGTACTCCTCTATCTGCTGTTCAGTAAAATATTTGTAAAAAAAAAATAAAAAAATCATGGCAAAATAAAGGAGACTCACATTTGGAGCTCCGACTTGAACGAGTTGAGAGGCGACAGGGTGCCGCTGGTCAAGATGATGCTCCGAACTCCCTGAGACACTAGATCCTTCATGCTGAAACCAGGACTGAAACACCAGTAGCTTAAAGTGTAGCCTAAGAGAGAGACGGGATGAAAATGATTCAGAGGTGCAGCATTTTAAGGAGAAGACAAGAGATAAATTGTGCCACACGGACCCAAGAAATTCAGAGCATCTTTCAGGTGTGCTGTATTCAAGCTAATGCATGTGCATGAGGTTTAATCAGCCTTGGGTCCCAGTACCAAAGCTCCCAAGATATGATTCATCTTGTTGATAGCGCCCTCGCCTGCTGGGTGGCTTGACCGTGCTTGCCAGGAATCAACAGGCTGCATTAGGGCAACAAAATTAAAATAAAGTCTTGAACAAAGACTACCAAAGTGCGACATAGCTGGTATAAGTTTGCAGGACTTGCTTTCAATGGAACATTTGGAGGGAAAACAGACATTTTTTCTAAGAGAAAAATTTTACCTTGTTTCTTGGCTTTTGCCGGGTTGTTGCTTGTCCACAAATCCGTGCGTCCCGATTTCTTCTGAGGGGCAGAGGCTCTGACGTGGACCTTAGAGACAAAGATAATCTTTAGTTTAACAAAGGAATTAACTAATGTGGGACTCGAACCTGGAACTGCCAGATCACTGCACTAGACCTCAATCGACCGAGCTATTTGACAATGGTGCTGGTGTCCCTCCAACCTATGATCTGTCCTGTTTCAAGAGGAATGTTAATTCCTTCCTTCAGTTTTCCTGAGTACCTATTCCTCTTTGAATTTCTCTCGTAGCCCATACCTTAAGTGGTTTTTAGCCTTGTTCATGGCAAATATGCATAAATAAAAACTTGTCAGAGACACTGATACTTGAAAACTGAGTAAAGGCACGGCACACTTTACATAATGAAATTATACCTGTTATAAGGAGTTGGTTCTATTCTTAATTTTGTTCTTTGAATGAAATGTAGTTTTGTCTCGGAAACATACCTTGTAGCACCTACTTGCTTCGGACACCGATCCCGAAGGAGTGTCTTTGTTGAAAACAATCTGCCGGAAAATATGAAAGCAATGTAGACAATTTCATTGCTCTCATTGAAGAGAATTTTCTAATGTGTTTGAATTTTTGAACACATTAGGAAAAGGAATTAATGTGAATATATAACGAATGCAATGGATGGAAGACTTCTATGTCTTTTATGAATGAATTTTAATACTCACATTAATGACGTCACAGAATTTTTGGAGACCTGCTGCTTTGTTGTGGAATGCAGTTGAACCTGTTTGGAAATTAAAAAAAACAAAAAACACAGACAGTCAACCTACAAAATCCATTCACAGAAAAGCCCCAAAAAGTAGTTCAGCCTGCTATTTGTAATTAGCAGGTCCTGTTAATATTTTGAATGACTAAATCATAATAAAAACAGCTCAGTCGTAATAGTTTCCAAAAATCCCAACAAATTTCCACCAAATTTTCAAGTTGAGGAAAGTGCATTTTCGCAGTTCAAATTTCATAACACACTGCCCCACTGAAGACACTTTTTGGCGGAGTCAGTGAAAGAAAGCACTTTTTGTAAAATATTGTTTAACAACCCCAAATTATTTGTGGCTAACTTGTGGTTAGATGCGAGACGATCTTCTCCAGGAGCTGCAGAAGTTCCACTTTGGTGTCGAAGGTGATGCGCACCTTGGCAAACAACTCGTAGATGAAACTGCCGACAGAAAAAAAAAGAATAATTTAATAAAATCTCAGATTAAGGCAAAAAAAAAAAATAAGTCGGTCTCTGGTCAGCACGCGCGTCGATTTTAATCATGCGCGTCGATCTTTTTTTTTCCCAAAATGTTCTGCGGTAGCTCCAACAGCGCCCTCTATTTCCGCACCTCCTCAATTTTTTTTACCAAAGAGCACCAAGGAATCGGAAATTGCACCAAGGCAAATGATCGAAAGCACCAAGGCAAATTATGGAGGACACCAATGCGCATGAGGACACTAAAAAAGCAAAATAGTACCCACCTTGTCTGTACAATCCAAGCTTGAAGAAAAAAAAAAAAAAGGAGAGAAAAAAAAAAAAAGCCGCGTGGCCGCGTCAATTCCGGAACTTTGGTCTGACCAGAGACCGAATATTTTTTTTTTTGGCCTAACATTCAGAACTTCTTGGATCAAATGAAAGAAATTTAAGAAAATCAAACTAGTCGGATTTTTTTGGGGGGTGGGGGGGGGGGGGTGGGGGCGGCTGTTGAGATAATTGAACCTACCTTCCTGGCTTAGTGATGCCTGCTTCGGGTGGGTTCATACTGTTGATTTCATTCTCAAGATCTAGGAACAATTCTGAAAGAAAAAGAAATTCAAAGATTGAAGTGAGAGTTGATGAAGGTGCAGCCACAAAGAAAAATACACAAACACCTTGACAGAATTTATACTAGGTGGCCAATAATTTTTTCTACTTACTCTTCAAAGTAGCTAGTGCAGATGCATCAAATTCACCCTCTGAAAGAGAAAGATGGAAACGGTCATCCATTATCGTCTTTTAAAATCATCTGGCAATGGATTTGGAAAAAAAAGCTGCTATTTGCCCAAATTTATAGAACATTTTATGCCTTGTTAGGTTCAAATGACATACAGAAGATTTAAATGAGATTAGCTTTTGTTGTAGGATCTGATCTGTCTCAGTAGTTGATTCAACAGTTGCTGCCACAATTTTTAACAGAACACAAACAAAATAAGTCCCATTTTGGCCAAAAACAATGGTTTGACAAATATTTTAATAACGTTTTTACGTGAACTATAAGCAGTGACTTTGCTTAGAAAAATCAACCACTAAATCCAGGTTTGCAAGGGTCAAAAGGCCAGTTTTACATTCTTTTCCAAAGCTTGACTGCAACATTGCTATGTCTTAAGACCCTTTACATTTGAAATTGTGTCTTTATTGTTGTACCTCCACCAGCATCAGCCGCTCTGAATTGCTGGTTGCACATCTCCACTTCCACGGTCTTCTTCAGTAGGTGATCCGTCTCCTCCACGCAGGAGGCCAGGTCAAACGAGGTCAGGTCAAAAGACGCGCTCTCCTCACACATCCTCTCCTGTCGTACAACAATGGAAAAATGCGTTCTTTAATTCGGGGATAATAGTGTGATGCAGCAGTTATACATATGTGGTTTAAAAACCAGATAGGGACCTGGTCCGAGCCGACAGACGTTTTAAACACCGGCGTCAAACATCGCGGACGGGTGTTTAAATTGTGGTTTAAGACCACCGGCATGGCGGGTTCTCAACCAACAGGAATGGGTAAACTGTCTCAGATATTTCTGAATTTGTTAATATGTTAAAATCAGTTACACTGGTAGGGTAAATCAAAAGTTTATGCTTACGACATTGTGTGCCTCATCAAAGATGACGACGTTGCCCTGCAGCTCGACACCATGGATGCGTCGCGCCTTGGAATCTAGGAGGTAGTTATAAGGCATGAATACGATGTCCGCGTTGGTCTTCAACTCACGCGCCATGTAGTAAGGACATACTCTAGAAAGATACAAAAAAGCAGACATTTCAAAAGAAAGAAAAAAACAGTTTCAAGTCCGAGTATTAATTTTGAATGTTTTATAAAGCTACTATGCACAAAATTTGGATGCTGTGGTGGAACTGCAGGGGGGGGGGGGGCAATTATTGTTTAAAGCTGCATAACATTTGGATCTGTTTTACTATAGAAACCTCATACTTCATGCTCTTAAAGAGGTTGTGGAATGCTCGAAAACATTTCCGTCATTTTTTGGGTATATGTAGCCTAAGGTGTGATGAAATAAAAACGACTATTGTTTCTGTCATGAAATGAGTACAAAGGGTACTTTTGAGAGTTATTTTTCAGGTCCTGTTTCGACCCGAACGTGCAATTTGTGTAAAAGTCGTCGTTGCAGGCAGCAAGCAAAACACAGTAAATCGTGACGTAATAAACAGGACTCGTATATATGCTACTCTGCATCGGGAGTCCTGTTTATTACGCCACGATTTACTGTGTTTTGTTTGCTGCCCGCAACGACGACTTTTACACAAATTGCACGCTGGGTCGAAACAGGCATGACAGGACTTGAAAAACAGCTCTCAAAAGTACCTTTTGTACTCATTTTATGACAGAAACAATAGTCGTTTTTATTTCATCACACCTTAAGCTACATATATCCGAAGAATGACGGAAATGTCTTCGAGCATTCCACAACCTCTTTAACTTACTTGTGAGTGTTTCCGAGTTTCACAAGGTCTTCGATGTCCAGGATATTGTCTGTAAATGCCTTGTCGGCTTTTTTCTCTGAAACAAGAAGAGAATTTTCATAACACGTTCAGTAAGTGAAGAATGAGTTAGGTTTTATTTTGTTTTAAAGTTTGATGACAAGTTTTGTTTACAAATGAACAACAGTAAATTACTCACGGTCGAGACTATTGTAGAAGTGGCACATTCTACTGTCGACTTTGGCCCTGCACATGTGAACCTGAAAAAGTAAGGAAAACAGAAAAACTAGATTAACATAAGGCCCCCCAAAAAAATTACTCGGTCTCTGGTCAGCGCGCGCGTCTATTTTAATCATGCGCGTCAACCTTTTTTTTCTTCAAATCAACACGGAAGCTACAACAGCACCCTCTATTGCCGCACCTCCTCAAATTTTTGTACCAAGGAGCACCAAGGAATGGGGAAATTGCACCAAGGCAAATGATAAAGGGCACCAAGGCATATTATGGAGGACACCAATGTATAATGAGGACACAAAAAAGCAAAATAATACCCACCTTGTCTGTACAATTCAAGCTTGAAAAAAAAAAAAGCCAGCCCCCCCCCCCCCCCCAAAAATGCGTCGCCGCATAAATTCCGGAACTTCGGTCTGACCAGAGACCGACTATTTTTTGTTGTTGGCCTAATACCAAGTAACATGTTTGCTTAAATTTTAACAACTTTAACAGTATAAATGCCCACATGAAGTATGGTTTTGAATCAAGCAATATGTACAATTCTGTATCCCCCATTGGTACTGTAATAGCGCCCTCTATCGATCAGCAGCAAATCCAATAGTACCTTTACTGAGTTGCTTTCTGCCTTCTGCACATCTGGGTGAATACACAGCTGTTCTCTTGACCCAATGACCGCCACTCGTGGCCTGAAAAAAAAAAAAAAAAAAACAATCTGCGAAATGTTCAAAACATTAAAACTTGTTTTATCAATATGGCTTAGGCCAAAAAAAAATATTCGGTCTCTGGTCAGACCGAAGTTACGGAATTGACACGGGGATGCGTCTTTTTTTTTTTTTTCTCCTTCAAGCTTGGATTGTACAGACAAGATGGGGTACTTTTGCTGTTTTGGTGTCCTCATGTACATTGGTGTCCTCCATAATTTGCCTTGGTGCTCTCGATCATTTGCCTTGGTGCAATTTCCCATTCCTTGGTGCTCTTTGGTAAAAAAAAATTGAGGAGGTGCGGAAATAGAGGTCGCTGTTGGAGCTACTGCGGATCATTTTTGAAAAAAAAAAGATCGACGCGCATGATTAAAATCGACGCACGCGCTGACCAGAGACCGACTTATTTTTTTTTTGGGCCTAATAGGTAATATGACTTATTTCATAAACTTATTTTTATAACTCAACCACAATAATGCTGTGCAATGCTGATACAAATCTTTCGGATGATAGGCTGTTTATAGCTCCATATACCTGTATGCTGTATCCTTCAATTGATCAACGGCCTGCGATAGCTGGGAGTGAGTCCTGGAGGCGTAGATTATCCTGGGACGATCAACAAACATTCCTGAACCCAAGAGAAAGTAAACATTTATAAAATATAGATTAAATATCAGATTTCTATTTCAAAAAAGCTGTTTTGTTCAACTTCACAGCACCTGGTGTGCTGTCATTTTCAAGAAAAGTGGAAATTTTGTATCACTTTCCAAGATGGTCTGCATTGAAGACTGCCCCAATTGACCACACCCACCTTCTTGTCCATCGGCCCAGGTCCCTGCTCCTTCCTTCAGCTCGGCAGCCAGTTTCTGCCTGAAGCCCCCTCCGTCCCCCTGTCCCCCACCCCCTCCGTCCCCCTGCAGGCATCGGCCCAACTCTTGCTGGGAGATGTAGGTGTTCCTCCAGGCCAGAGCAGAGCACAGGAGGCACAGGGTCTTGCCTGTACCCGTGGGGCTCTCCAGAATGCCATTCTTACCCTACGACAGGGGGATAGTTGGGTAGGAGACAGTTAAATCAGTGAACAAAAAGCATGGCCGACAAAAAAGTAAACCCCTAAAAATACAGGAACTAACAAACAAAATGAAACAAATTATTGGGAAAAAAATGTTGCAACCTGACGCCACTTTTTTTCTTAATATATCATCTCAATGAAGGTCATTCATTGCAAAAATGAAAATAAGACATGAAGCTGGGACTGAGAAATATTTGCAATTCTGTTAGTAAATACTTGACTCTCCATAGACTTTGTACACAATCACAGAAGTGGTGTCAGGTTGCAACATTTGTTCCAATTATTGAAATGAATCTAAGGGAAAAATGCAGTACCAGTAGGCAGTAGACAAAAATCTTTGGAATAGTGACACAAACAATTGACAATTTTCAATACACAGAAAACTCAGACAAAAGAGAGACTGTTATTAATATTAATGTTGATGCGAAGTTGCAAAAAATGGACTTACGGATTGCAGACATTCCACAACCTTGTTCATGTAATCTTGCTGGCAGTCATAGGGGTCAAAGGGGAACTCGATACTGACCCCTTTACATTTGATCACTGGCATTCTTGTGTTGAAGGCAGACTGGCAGGCTTAGTTTTTGCTAGAAAAGTAAATGAAAAAGATCAACTGTTGAACATGCGACAATGACAATACATTATTACATACCACTTACTTACACAGCAAACCGAACATTGCAATGACTCACTTAGTAAAGAGAGTTTGCGCAGAGCGCCCTCACTAGGGACAGGTCTATACCAGTATACGCAATGCGCACGAGTACAGTACCCAGTACTTAAAACTAATCCACGATTAACTTTATTCTTTCACAACTATTCGCAGGTTAAGTAAAACAAAACTAAATGATCCTCTTAGTTTCACCAAATAAAAGAGCGAGCTTCAATTTCTTTTAAAAAAATGATTAAAAACAGAAACTGTTTCACTTACTTCGCTTCGTCACGTCTGCACTTGTTTTTCGTGCCAGAACATGTTTTCGCGGGTTTCCTGCGCTGTTGTCGCCGGTATAGTTTGAGATACTGTTTACCAGCGCGCTATGCTTTCAGCTTCCGGTTGTGTTTTACCAGTAGAGGTCGCCCTTCAAAATTAACGGTAAGGCGCGTCCAGCTCGCCAAGCTACGAAAACTGAGTGAATTTCAAAACGGTTTACTTATTTCGGATGTGATACATGATGGATTTTCTACATTGTTCAAGGTTCGTTCCTTCAACAACCTGGGCTTAAAAGCTTGGTCGGGTGGAGAGGGCGGGGTGGGATGGGGGGGGGGGGGGGGGGGAAAGAGATGTCGGGGAGGGGGGGGGGGGGGGGGGGGGGTGGATGCATCTATTACCCCCCCCCCCTGCCCCCCGGATTTTCAGATAACGGAACTACATCTGCATATTGTGTGTGACTTCAAGGCCTTCAGCAATTGCAAGATCGTCAGTTTTGAGTGATGTCGAGAGTCACAAGAAAAAGAGGGCTAAAACTCTCATCTGACGCACAAAAGTTAGATTGACAACGGATAACAAAGAAAATGCATGTATATCTTGTATGTCATTTCATTCGTCTTAAATTTATTTGTCCGTATATACTCCCATTGTTTGTTTTAATAATCGAATAGCCATAAATCACCTGATGCATGAAAGTCATAATATTTATTGTTCATATTTTTTCAAACACAAAATATTTTTGTGTGCATTTTCCACAACCAATAATAAATACCCTTTAGATAAAATGTCCAATCATATAAAATCACACTTGATCTTTCGAAACAAACTTTAAACACATACAATCACCATCTTAATTTTTTAAAGCAGACGATACAGACGTTTTTACAATTACGGTTAATGGTAATAATCCATTTCTACAAAATATTCTAATCGATCTATATAAAAATGACAAAATATGTAAAAACCTATCACATAATGAAATATGAAACACACCATCTCTAAAAAGCCCGAAAATTTCAGTCCATTATATATTTCCAAAATATACATACAACCGGGAACAAAAGTTTGGTGAATCAGTGGAAAAATTGAAGCTCCCGCATTTGAACGAGAGGTACGATTTCTTTCTTCAAAATGTCCATAGAAAAAAATTCTTGAAAACATTTAGAATTGTTCTGGCTCTCACAAATTGCTGAGCCTAAACTAATAAATTCATTCGTGGCTCACAAATTGCTGAGCCTAAACTAATAAATTCATTCGTTCGGGGAAAAAAAGTTTGATCGTTTGACTGCTAATCTGGTTAAGCCATAACTTAGTTTAGTAGCCTGATCAATGGGTTGATACCGGTAACAGTTTCTTGAAATTTGCCCCATATTATGCCTGGCAACTTATTTATTAAAAAGTTATTAAAAAGTATTAGACCTAAATGATTTTTGCTGCCTCTGCTATAACTTATTGATTTAGCTCTGGGCCCCAAGGACGGCAGAATAAGGAAGTCATTTAATCTTTTACATTCTTCTTTACAATAATGTAAAGTTTACTAATTAATGATTATTTTACTCAAGCTACATCTTCTATGGTTACACATCCGTGCATATACAGTGCTTTAGGCAGAAACCCTACCAATGTAGTCCACGTGTTCGTCCGCAGATCGTAGTACTCGGCGCAATTTCTGGACTCCTCGCCGATCTTCCCGCCAAAAACCCAGAGTCTGTCGCCCGCTACGGTGACCCCGGGAAAGGTTCGCTGCTCATTGGACGGTTCATGAGGGCACTCGTCGCCGGTCTCCACCGAGATTTCCGAAACCTCGCGAGGTTTCCGCCCGCCCAGGACGAAGATCCGCCCGTCGTGCGCAGTGGCGACGCGCAGGGTCTTCCGGGAGAATTCCAAATCGGGCAGCAACGACCACACGTCCGTGATTGGGTCGTAGCACTGGATGTGCGAGCATGCGCACTCATCCTGTGTGGCTCCACCAATCACGTACAGCCTTCCGTGGTAGCCAACCACCGATGGAACGCTGACGGCGATTGGCAGAGGAGCAAGCGGTTTCCACTCGTCGGCGAATGGATTGTAGCATTCAACAGAATCAAGCCGGGTGTTTTGGAAGGAGGTTTTGCCGCCCACGACGTAGAAGCGACCGTTGAGCGAGGCAGAGCCGTGGGAGTGACGGGCGTCTAGCAGGCTTGCTACGGGCTTCCATCGATTGCGAGAGAAGGAATACCGCCACACGAGGCGAGATGATTGCTCACACACCGTGTCGTAACCACCGGTGACAAAAATATCAGAGCCTGCATCAATAACAAAAGAGGAACGAGAACTTAAACATAGGATCAAAATATAGAGCCTTACAAGGTGCGCCCTATAGGGCAGTCTCTGTTGCAGAGTCAAAGTTATAGGTGTCACCATAGAGCTATATATACATGTAGGTCCATACGGTGTTATTGAAGAGTGTCACAGAAGCTGTCCTCAGATGTGACGTCATTGTGCAAGGAGTCTCAAGTACACTCTTGCTCCTTGAGAGTAATTTGTCAGTCAGAATAATAATCATACCTTCAACATGGACTGTATTGGATGTGTTGCCTAACCATTTCCAAAAGGTGTGATTTGGAGATTAATTTATTATTAGAAAATCATATAGCTTGAGACTCCTTGAGGAATGGGACTGATCACCCTTCTGGTAATGTCCATGCCATGTATAAAGTAGGTAATCTCAAATCGAATGTAATAATAATAATAATAATGAAAATTTATATAGCGCCGGTATCCGCCGCTAGCGGCGCTCATGGCGCTGCACTGCACAACAACCAGAAAACAATAAGAATAAAGAAGCACCTGGTTGACTCGACCCTCCACCTGTCAAGATGCATCGTCACGCTAACAAGACGGCAACGTCAAGCAAACAGGTAGAACACCAAAGTCAACCAAATGCTTCCCTATGCAGGTAGGATTTTAAACTGTTCTTGAATGTGCCAAGTGAATTTGAAAGTCGCACAGTTCCAGGTAGGGAATTCCAAAGTCTTGGTGCAGCAGTTTGAAAGCTTCTCTCCCCCATCGATGATTAGCAATGTTTTCCTTAAGGAGTTTTTGTTGTGAGGATCGTAAGCCCCGATCGTAGACTTATCTTATCTAGGAGGTTGTACGAAGTAGGATGATGGTGTGAGCAGAGTGTACTTACCCAGTGCTGCGACACTGTATTTCCTCTTCATGTGGTGTGGCATCCGGGCAAGAGGGTACCATCTTGGATACGAGGACCTGACAGCCTCGTGAGCATCCATGCAGTACACCTCATCACTGTAGATGTACTCCCCATCTCGACCTTTCTGATGACCTCCCACCAGGACGATAACCTCTGACCTTCGACCTGGGCTCCGGGGTGAGGTCCCTGGGCCGAGCACGCGGTAGCCCCGCTTCATCAACCACTGACAGCACTTGGCTTCCTTCAGGACGTCGGCGCAGTGTCTGGACTTTGAGAGATAGTCTTCGTCTCGCCCGGACAACATCTCACTCAGGATGTCCTCTTCGATGAGGGGAAGACGGATCGAACGGAGTAGCTCTGGACGGAAGAGGGCGCGCTCCTCTGAGTTTGATCTGATCCATCTCAGGACAGCATCATACACGACCTTCTCCGATTGGACAGCAAGCTCGTCATGACGGATGTACGCCACCAGTTGGTCAAATCTCAGATCCAGGAATTCGCTTCCCTGTGAGACCTCCTCGAAGTGCTCCAGGACGAATCTCTCCGCGTCCCTCTGCAGCGGCAAACATCGGTAAGTCTCGGCGAATCTCGCGAGACTGAGGCAGTTCCCGGCGCTGATGTTGCGCTGGAGGAACTCCTCGCATGATTTAGCCACTTGCTCGAACTGGAGAAAGTTGGCGGTGATGTACAGTTCCTCGGCGTTGTCTTCCGTGATGAGGACGCGAGATTTGTAGGCAAACTCGATCAGGTGACCCACCATCCGGGGGCAAAGGTCATGGAGGGAGATCCGGCTCTCGTAGCTTTCTCTCAAGTCGCCAGTGAACATTGCCCTGAAGTACGGGCTGGCAGCAGCCAGCAGGGCGCGGTGACAGCTGAACTCCCGTGAGCCGACGCAGAGAACGGTATCCGTACACTCAGCCGCTAGTCTCATCTCGTTCAGGATGGACATGATGTTGCTCGGAAGCAAGGCATCAAAGAAGACGTAGCTTGGGTCTGGCTGGTCACCGGATGCAGCGGACGAAGGCGAGGCCGAGCCTCGGTTTGGGGAGCCACACAAACCTCGCGAAATCTCGCAGCCGTAGGATGATCTCACGGAGGAGAGCGAGACCTCTCCCTTGTAATCGAACTGAGACGACATCTTGAAAACTCGAATCACAGTTCACCCTGCTGACTGAGAAATTGAAAGAAAACCCCAAGTATTAGATGTTGCTGTATGAAATATACGAAATAAACTTGCCAGTACACGTCTAGTTGCTAATGCATAGTCAGGACAACAGCACAGGCGAAAGTTTCCGTTTTGCATACCACTACTACGTCATCCCATACCCTTGTGCGCATGTGCAAGTGAATACCAAACGTACGCATGGACACTTTATAGCGGATTTCGAGATAATAATTATATCCGGTCTGTCTACAGCAAGTCGAGCCTTGCCCATCGTATGAAACTTACAGAAAGAACCCCGTATTAATGACTATAATTGCTTTTTTCCCAGTTCCATTTTGAATATTTTTTATTTACCTGATGTATAGAGGATGTGGCGATTTTGTTGCTGAACATCAGCTGCGTTCAATTTGCATTCCGGTCTATATTTGTATGGATTCAGCGCGTGCATAAATTAAATCTTTTTCAATCGTTACGTATGTTTCATGCGATAGTAAAGGCACCTTCGAGGTAACATACATAGGTTTCACAGTTTGGACATTATTTTTTCACAGTTTGTTTTTGTCTTTTGCTAAATGAAATTATCGATGTTTCCCAACTCTTTTGTCTTTTGAGCGGCAAGTAAAACAATAATGACAGATGTGCTGGTATTATGTCGACTCGGGCCATCTGTTTTGTCTTATCGATTGACCAATGAGGACGCGCGTTGAACAATAAAAAAGATGAATAAATTAACCAATCGACCAATCGGATCGCCTCATGGATCATTAACGATTATTTGTATACATGTGTTTGGGAGATAAGGGGATTGCATCGACTGAAATTTATTTATGAATGGACAGATTTTGCTGGTACGGTTGAAATGCGAAGCCGCATTCAATTATCGCCAGCATAAAACGACACTGTGGCAGGTTGTTTTTTTCACAAAACAAAATTTGTGTTGCGATAAAGTTTTCGATGAACAATGGGATTGTTTCGGGGTGTCATATTTGCATGGCAACTGAAACTATCCTTTTACTCGAAAGCTGTCGATGCTAAGCCATTATAAAGCTATAGTATTTATATTGGGACCTTTTTTTTGTTTTAAATTCTCGCTATGCAAAAACGATTAAGGCATTTTGACGACGATGCTAATTTGAAATTTGTCAATTAGTTTTGAAGATCAATTTCTCAATCAGTTTTCAGATAGGAGTATACAGCCCTATGTTACAACTACGTTAGTAGGCCTAAATACACTTATTAAATATGTGTATTTCTAAACCCAAAACAAAGGGTGGGGCAAAAAGAAGGAACCCCACTTTTGACAAGAATTTTAACCTTAACTTTAACTTAACTTGTTTTTTTAAAATAAATTTAGTGAAGTATAGCTCTTCAAGTACGTGATGAAAAAACTCTTTAAAAAATCGCAAGAATAGTGTTATTATGCTAATTTGAAAACAAGTCGCCAAAATCACTGTTGTCCACGTGTAAGTCTAGTGTAATGTTTTTGTCTTCAAATCAAGCTCCGGAGCTCAGTCAAGCGGATGGAATAAAGCCGCCCGTGGACAAACAGGTTTGGCACATGGAATTTTTAAACTACCATGTCTCACAGACAAAATATGCATTTGCAATAATTTTGTCGTTACTTATGTTTAAAGATAAATATTTTAGTACTATTAAATTGAATTTTTGAAATAATGCTCAATAAGTAGGTGAAAATTGCTGTCAAAAGTGGGCACCCTTGTTTTTGCATCACCCTGTAGATCCCATGCTTCTTGTGGCGTGGTAAGTTCTGCAGTGAAGCCGATATTGTCTCCCATTTTTGTAAACAAGCCATGACTTGCCCGTGGAATCAAAGTCTGGGGTTCCTTAAATCCTACGTTGCCATTTTGCATGCCTAGAGTACCCCGTGCCCAGATTGCGCCAAGTGTACCGCGCATGCGTGCACATGTGCATTGGTATCGAGGACACTGTTCTTGAAACATTCAGAGCACTGCGGGTAAATTTATCACGCTGCACCGCAATGTGGACAAAGGAAGGAAGTCATTAATGTAATAAGGAAGCTGCTGGGTAATTTTAAAGAGTCAATATTGATTATGGAGAGACACAAGTAAGAATCGGTTTTGCTTAAAGTGGCGATTGAAGGACCATTATAAACTGCATGTTTAAACATATTATGAAAGTTTTCAGTTTTGAGTTCCTTAAAATGTTAAGCCCGTATTTATTTATCTAAACGCGCGAATTTCAATTTGAGAATACCTAAGATTCAGGAAGTGATACAAAACTGTTTGGGTTTCAGTTTTTGCAATGACCAATTTTGCGGAAATAATTACACACACGACAATGTTTTAAATTATAATTTCTTGTCTCGATGATAGGGTTTAAGCAAACAGCGAATGCAAATCATTTATTTTTATTTCCATAATCCTTGATGATTAGATATGCCGACATTTATTGCGGGTAGGTTTTTGTACGTGGATTGAAGTGTTTTAAGGCAATATAATGCGCGCCCTAAACATGTAGGTAGAGAAGCCGTGTGTTTATTTTAGGACCGTCAGCAACGGCATAGACAGGGTCAACGCATAATGGCATACACTGAAAATAGAATAATAAATAAGTGAATTTCAATATAAAACCTGGAGTTTATAAATGTTTGAAGTTGGTTCTAGTTTTTAACGGAAATCTTAAAGGATCAATATTTTCTATTTTTACCTAGACTATTTTAAAGAATATATTTGTTTAAAAACGAGGATCGCTGTTTGAGTCGAGCACTAAGATTCGCTATAAAAGGCATCCTTGTTTTTTTTTCGCCATTATTTTTTTTTCATTTCGCATCTAGCAGATTTCTTCAGCAGTATTTCCGAGCTCCATTCCGCCGTGTGGAGCTACAAATTCCCCCGGGGCAGCTAGCCTAGACCACGGTCAAATAATCTAAAGCCCTCGTATATTCTGTATAGGACATGGGTCGGTTCCTGCATTGATTTTGTGATTGAATTCTTAGACCACAAATGAACTCAATTATATTCACTGTAATTCGGTACTCGGTCACTCTGTGCATGTAACTCTGTGCAGACATAATATTATGACAACAATATGATGCAAAATAATATTATGGATGCTTAATTTTAATGAAAACCTTCTGTTGTCCTATATAAGTAATTTCAGACCATTTTTGCAATGCACATTTTGCATGCACGAATACAATCTTCATGCTGTACGTATAACGAACCGTAATGTATAATATTATGGCGTCCATGACAAACGAATCCAAAATGTAAATCGTGCATTCCAATTAACATTCCAATTTCAAATGTTCATTTAAAACAAGAACGGCTATAAATACGGACATCAGCTATTGCATGTAGCATGCATAACATAAAACAAAAGGGCACGATGCGCACAGAATAATCGTCTAAAAATAAAAATATGTTAAATAGGTGTGGACTTACCGTGTATACGCTGTGTCCTACATCGCCGAGTCTGGCTGTCAAAATGAGATTCTATCTCGCTAGGGCACTGTGGGCTTGGCACTCGACACGTACTTACATGTCAACATAGAGGACATCAAATTCTACACGCAATCGAAATATTTCAGCGTGTGAGGACAGGGTATTCGAGGGGGAATGAGCAGCGAAACGCGGCGTGGTTATGGGGCGGCACACGCCTCCTTTGCACGGCTCGAGAGCTGGTCGCGTGTGCACACGGTCGGCACGCGAGCGGGTCATTAATTATTCATGAACCGGAGATGCGCTCGTGACACGGTGCGTCGGTGCGGGTGGCTTGTGAATAGAGAATAATAACACGGTCTATAATGTCGGTAGTATATCGGTTGTGGCATTAATAGTTTCAATATTTAATCGCAATGATCGTTAACTGTTTGCGATATTTTGGTAAGGCGTCGCAAATAAAATGGGTTGGGAAATGAATATTCATAGCTGTTTAGATAAGTATGAGCCTAGACCAATAGAATGACATTCCGGTGATTTTGTTCTAATTTAAGAAAAAAAAAAGAAGATACGCGACAATTTGTTATTTCTATAGTAGATTCAGCCTACACATAACAGTTTCTTATAATTAAATTACAAGATACAAGTTGCCTCTCGTTATTACAAACTCGACTGGACCTAGCAAAATTGTTTGTTATATCCGAATTTCGTATTAAGTGGAGTGCCGGTTCATTCATTGTGCACGTCAGGACCAAGGTTTTATGTTCACTATAACCAGAATTTGTAAAATGTATAAACAGAGTCGACAATCGACTGTATTAGAAAGATGTAATTATATTGCAATAATTCGAAAGCGCCCTCGCAGTGAGGTTATTTTACTTTTATCTGGAATGCCACAGATCATAGTCGAATGGACCGATCCAGTAAGCACCGCCCCATGGTGTTCTGACCAATCACAGCCGTGATTTATGTCCGACGTGCGTGCACAAAAGTCCGACGTGCGTGCACGCGCGTATGATGCGCGCGGCAGGAAAATGCAGTGTGGCATTGGAGAGGAGCACGTGTTATTTTGTCCAGTGCGCAGTGGGCGGGGCTTACTGGATCGGTCCATTGCATGATGGGTACATGTGAAATTCAAAGACACACGAGACAGGTAATTTTCACTTCTTCAAGGGATTTTAATGGTTCCAACCGCCTTCCACACTAGACTAGATTTCACCGTCCATCATTAAAACATTACAGTGGTTTAATAAGAATGGAATTCAGGCTATTGTCGGTAAAATCAAAATGTTTACCATGTACTAAAATGCGGAAGACTTGTTTGGGAAGACTATCCGTGTGTCTGTGTTTTCTGCCAGTGGTATCACTGATATTCGTCATGATTGGTTAGCTAAGTACAACATCAACCTGCAATTTGATCAATCAAAACAGCCGTTCTTACAGCTGCGGCAAATCATGAATCAATCCAGCTAATTGGACAAACTGTTTCAAAATGTGACATATAATTGTTTTGACTGTTACACATTACTATTTGGTTGCCTAATTTTGAAGATTCCAGATCAACATTTAGTCAATGTTATCTTATACAAAAAACATCAAACTGTATTATCATAACTGTATGATATTACGAAGCAAGTGATTTATTTAAAAATTTGATCAGAACATTAAAAGCTACAAGCGATAAAGCGAAATCGGAAACGAAGCCGAGCTTTGAAAAAGGGCCATCAATGTCGTCATGTTTATTTTTAGCCACGGAGGCTGCCTGACCTAAGATTCATCAGGAATAGTCAGAATCTTTTGGTATGGGAACCAGACTAAACATCACCCTCCAATTTGATCAATCAAAACGGCCGTTCTTACAGCTGCGGCAAATCATGAATCGATCCATCTAATTGGACAAACTGTTTCAAAATGTGACATATAATTGTTTTGACTGTTTAATGGTTTGCCAACAGTTTTTTTCCTTTTCTAGTAATGAAGAATTTAGTTACGTTTTGAAAACTTGTTTTGTCTGGATGCACTTTTACTCAAGAAATCAACTCCATATTAAATTATCTTTCATTTAGCGTGTTGGCAAATTTGTAACTTTTGTAAATCTTTTACCCAAACTACAACCAACTCAAATATTTTCCCGCCTGGCCGTTATTATCAGCGATACCAGTATGTCATATAAAATCAGGTCATGATGCATATTCATGAAGGAATGGCACGCGAAACATATAAAAAAGTTTATAAAATGTAACTATTAACACATACATTTGATAGTACCTCATAATTTTGTTCAAAAATATAATAGAAAGACAGCACTGTCTCTTACAGATCACATGTAAAAAAAATACAGTATAATCTTAAAAAGTCTTAAAAAGTTACAACAGCATGCAGTGGATTATAATATTTCTCTGTATAATTCTTCTGAAGAGTCTTAATTAAGATATCACGATAGTACGATTAACTATATAAAATTTAGTTAATAATGACCAGTGCTAGATCAGTTTAATTAATGATGACATGTATTCAATTTGCACATTCAAGGGCAACGCGGTAACGACCAAAACATTGTCACAAATGTTGTTCAAAAAGTGGGCCAATTTAACAACCGAGTTGCCGCAAGAGGGCGACAAAACAATAATGCAAGTCGAGCACTTTGAAAAGTGCCACTATGTGGAAAGTGAAAACAGGTACGTTAGAGATGATACCTCATGCTTTTCAAAATAATTTTGATGATTTTTTTTTCTCCTTACAATTTGTATGTTTTGTTTTAAGGTAAAATTAATTCTTTGTTCCAATTTTGGGTGTTTGCAACACTCTGAAAAAAGATTTCATTTTGTGCACGGATAACCGGCCCTACGACAGCCAAATTATTGTCTTGCAGCCAATAATTTGAATTTTGTGAAGAATTATTTCAATAACTAAACGTCGGTGTTTTTTTTGGTGTGTTCAATGTCTAATTCAAAAGTGTATCACTTTTATATTGCAAGGAAAATAGAAATGGAAACAAAAAATGTATTTATTTTTCGAGGTGAAGCCCGGAAAAAGTACGGGGAAAAGGACAGGGAATGCGTTTTGTTGGCCAACATTTTAGTTGTTGAGGTTCCTAGACGGTTAAAATGTCACCATACAGCATTGTTAAAAATGGTGTCAAATTATAGCATCAAATTGTTAAGACCATTTTATACAAATGCATAATTACTAAAACTGCATGCGGTATAAAAATTAAATCCATTAAGTCAATCAAATCTGAGTATACAATCAATCATGGCACATTGGCTAATGTCGAGATTACTACAAAATTGTCTTTTTTTTTTCAAAATAACTGCACCGCATTATGGGAAGGTCTCAAAGTCGGCAAATCCGCAGCAAAAAAAAATGATTGTAAAAGATTTCCAATTCAATAGATATATTTTCTCCCCTGAAATTTGGCTGTTTTTTCTCTCCAAAAAAATCTTCAGTTAACAGGTATAAGAAAACAATTATTAGAATGAGAAAACATCAGCTACAATTTTTTTCCCCATAAAAGAAAGGCATTTCTGACAGTGAATGTATAAGGTGTTTGGTGAAATCAATCACCATGACGAAATTCCCGTAAAGAATGTAGGGAAATTAATTTTTAAAATAGCCGAGAAAGATTTTAGGTAAGTAGCCACTGCTGCATGTGTGAAATAAATTTGGAAGAAAAATAAAGCACGCGTATGATTGTTCAGTTAGCTAGAAAAGGGGGGGGGGAACAATTGGAAAACAAGATTAAGCAACTATTGCAAGCTTGCTGTTTCAGAGCTTCACTTCGCAAATGCTTGTTTCAAGGAAAAAGTTTGGTCATGTTAGTAATTTTTTGAAGAGAGATTCAAATTTGATGAATTGCATAGCGCTGTCAATAGGAATGGTAATAGCTACATTTTAAAACTTTTTAGCAAGAAGAGTTGCCCATTTTTTTGTTTTACAGCGATGGAAACATAATTTGTTTTCTACCAATTTCTTAAAAACCATCTGTAATGCAATGTCTTCTCTAAATACTGCACATACTTGATGAAACCAATCTGGACTAGTTGTAAATTACTCCCCCAAGTATGACCTCCATTTGTAAACAAGAGGGGGCGCTATTCACTTTGCGCCAAGTGGTCCTTCTATTCAGTCACCCTTTCTTGTGTTCAACACTTGAGGGGGTACTTGTGCCACGCATTCATAAGAAACCCAATATGATCTTATGCTGGAAACTGAACCCAGCTGGATCTAGTTTGAACTGGTTCTCTTTAGCCGGTTCTGGCTGGAACCCACCAGAAACCAATGGTGTACTCTGCCATGGAACCAGTTCAATCCGGTCTGATTCTGGTCCAGTCCAGTTCAGTCCGGTTCCTCCTTGGAAGGGCTGGCACATCACTCTGTTCACACCAGTCTACCGTCCACGGATTAAAAAAAATCCACTTTCTTCTGTCAAACTTCCCGTTCCACGAAATTTCTCAAAAAAATGAGCCTGTTAATTTGCACACTACTTTTAATAAACAACTAAGCAACTAGGATTTGATGAAATAAAGAAAGCAACAGAACAGCTCAATAAGCTAAGCAAAAAAGCAAGGATGATGCAGATGATGCAAAGCTGTGAAGAAAAACTGTTAGTCAACAATTCCTATGAATGATTAAAAATCCACACAACTTTTGTCTTCCTGTGCCAGTTGCAGTCAATTAAAATTCAACTGAAAAATAATTCAACTGCAAGCGACACCCTCACAAAGAATTACGAAATGATCACCATTATGAAGTCAAAACCCATGAATACCTAGATATCCGAATGAAAACCAATCAGAATGAATGGAAACTATGGAAAATTTCCCACACACAACCCACAAATCTTTTCTACCTACTTTGAAATATGAGAAACAAAAACAAAAAACAGGCCACAGTTAAAGTTGAGAGACTCCCCAGTCGTGGCGTCGACTCACGCCGAAAATCCCAGGCTGCCAGAATGTGACACTTCTCGTGCCGACTTTGAGGCCCTCTCATCGAGGCCCAATGATGCTCTGGAGGGCGTCCTCCTCTCCTCTTAGCCACGGGCGAGGCGGTGCATCACTACGGCAGCCAGCATCAGCAGGAGCGAGGGCAGCAGACCTGCGGCCCCGCCAGGCCCCTTTGGCTCGCAGTAGATAGCCTCCGTGTCCTCCAGGTACTCCTTACTCAGGAATTTGTCGTAGCTGTTCGCGGTCTCGGTCAGCTGAACCGTGGAGTCCTTGAAGAGAAGATCGTCGCCGCCCACGCCATAGTCTGCTGAGTCGAACATCTTGAATCCAGCACCAGCGTCCGATTTGAATCGGTCCTGGTCAGACATTTCATAAAAAGTAGTAAAGTCAAGTCCGTCAAAAACCAATATGGCCCATCAGGCCAGGGTTTAACCCTGGTTTCCTTGGCATGAACCAACTGAGAATATATTTCTATTCCCCTAGATGGGATGCCAGTCCATCGCAGGTTATCCCCCAGCTAATGCTGGTATCCATTTATACTTGTTGGTGGAGAGAGGCAAGTGGGGGTGAAGTGGCTTGCCCAAGGACACAACATATGGCCAGCAGCCGGATTCGAACCCCTGACACAAACCTTCACAACAAGGCCACACTCCCCAACGGGCTAAAAAATGGTGAAGACGTTTGCAAAAGTTAGATGTCCAACTTGAGTCTAGCAAGCTTACAGATAATCACTGAATACATACAGCTTATATGTGTAATATGCGTTGGAAAAATACAATTTTTCTTGAAAATGTCAGCACACCAGGAGCCACGATTTTACAGGATGCTTTTAGACTGTCATTCCCTAACAATCCAATAAGGTTTTTCGTGATAATTTGATCATTTCGATTTTTGATGTATGCAAATGTTGTATCTTCCCTTTAAGTCAGCAGATGAAAAATCCCTTTTAAAGAGCGTTTGCAGACTGGCTAGTTCAAAGCAGCTGCAGACTCCCCCTTGGAGCTTTCTCAGAATAAGAGGGTGGGGAAGAGAACTACTCACCTGACCATTTTTCAGCAGAGTGACCATCTCTCGCCTCTGCGCGTCCGTCTTAGTCTGAGCGGTCACTACGGTGTGAGACGGCACCTTGGCCAAGTTGCAGTTTAGATAATCGTCGACCTCAGCTCGGCTGCCGTCTGGGCAGAGCAACTGGTAGTCTGCCTTTTGGACATCAGGGTTGGAGCCCACGGTGGTGTGCTTGACGAAGGCAACATCGCCGCTATCGGCGACCAAACACCTATTTCACGCGATTGAACAAGAGATCAGATGTACAGATATGGGAAAAATACTTGAATTTAGCAAGAACGTAACCACTAAGGGAGAGTTAGGTTTGTGGAGTGATACTTTTCTCGCTCTTCATCTTTGCGACCAGGTTCAAATCCCCAAGTCATCAATGGGGGGAAATACTTGAAGATATCAATGTGGGAAAATACTTGAAACTTATCCTGAACATAACCACAAAGGTTTAGGGGGAGTCAGGTTCGCGGAGTGATGTTTTCCTCGCCCTCCACCTCTGCGGCCGTGATTCAAATCCCCAAGTGATGACAAAGCGCAATCTACCATTCATGCACGGAGTCAATCGAAGGTGAGTTGCAGGTTTGGGAGGGGGGGGGGGAAGGGGTGGGGGGGGGGAGGGGGGAATACCCCAAATCAAGATTCCAACCACTAACCTGAATGCGCCAGCGTATCCACTGTACGGCTCGTTAGCGTTGCTTTTGCATTTATTATCGCCCTGGCCGCTACACAACTCGCACAGATTGTCTGGGTTAGTGCCGGAGGGGTTGTTGACAGGATCCAGGACTCCGGGAACACAGCTCTGGCTGAAGAACTCACCTAAAATGCCAAACCATATCAAGAATTACATTGTATTACATTGTATAAAAACATATTACATTGTATTACAATGTATGACATTGTACATTGTATAACAATGTATGACATTGTATAATAAGGGAATAAATGTGTGCTCTGGAGGTTTTTATCACTCTGTTTAAGACCACTTAGAGTCTGGGTGCTGATAATTACCCTCGCCTCCGACTCGGGTAATTATCAGCACCCAGACTCTAAGCGGTCTTAAACAGAGTGATAAATACCGACCGAGCACATATTTATTCCCATTCATAAATACTTTTCGGTAAAAAAAAATATCAAATAATTCGTTTAAAAAATCCCGATTTTGTTCAACAAGTTCACTTCATGCTTTTTGAAACATCCCTCTGGCAAAATAGTGGAGTGTTCACCTGGCGAGTAAGATGTAAACAACCCTTTTATGGAGGGGTGGGGGATGGGTTGTGGGAGGGGGGTAGAGGTTGGTAGAGGCGGTAAGGGGGTGGTATGGGGGGCCTGAGAGGAGGTAGTATGGGGGGGGGGGGGGTCGGGGAGGAGTGGTTTGGGGGGGGGGGGGGGGGGGGGGGGGGGGGGGGGGGGGGCGGGGCAGGGGGTGGAGAGGGGGTGGTGGGCCGGGGAAGGGCGTGGAGGTAGAGGTAGGGTGGGGTGGGGTGGAGGGGAGGGGATGGGGGAGGGGGTGGTGGCAAGTAATCTCACCAACTGCTTTGGGGATCTGGCATTTCTCATCACTGACGATATCACCACGGTTGAGCAGGAAACCAATGGCCACCAACCAGCCAGCAGTCCTCATGTAGCCAGTGTGACAAGACTTCTTCCCCTATTAAAAAAAAAATCAGAGACGTTTAACTACAAATCCACAACATTTTGGAGTGTGAATGGAAGCACTTGCTACAAAGTTCCACGCAGCAATTCCCACCTTGAGATCGTTAATGGTGAAGGTGGAGGTGCGTTTCACCACGACAACGGCCCAGTAGCTGGCATCGCCCGAGCCGTAGTCTTCCGCCATGATAGGTGCCACCCTGCCCTCCCGTCCGTGCTTGTACAACTTCCCACCGTCTAGCGAGACCAAGTCTGCTTCATTATCTGCTCACACACAAAAAAAGAAGAAAGACGGCAAAGTTTTACTTGACCTCTTAGAATCCGTAAACTAAAAAAATGTCACATTGCATTCATTAGCTGATGAATCTATATTCATAAATACCTCAGACAGTTTAGCTATTCCTATTGGTCGAGAGCCCGTCACGTGGCCGGTCTTAAACGGATGATAAAGACATGGCTAGCTGGTCTTAAACACTTTTCCAGTGTCACAATAAAATGTGGACTCCTAAAAATCCAGTGCCTCTTACCGTTTCATTGGCTCGGGTAATTATCAGCACCCAGACTCTAAGCGGTCTTAAACAGAGTGATAAAAACCTCCGGAGCACACATTTATTCCCTTATTAAGCCATACAGTGTTGGGTCTGTTTTGGGGCCAACATGGAATAATAGGCATGGCCGTCCTTCTCTATGGGCTCCGCGTGTGAGCATGGGCTCCGCGCGTGAGCAAAAGACATCCCTTTTTACCACTTTCCAGAGCCCTATGTACAGGGCACACAGCATGCATGTGCTGGTTGACGCGCGAATTGCGCGAAGCACGCATGGCTTATTTTAGTCTGCATGTGCACAAAGCCATAGCGTCTTCACGTGAGCGTCAGGCGTTGTCGGCAATGCGCTTGAATATCGCTCCCAGTGGTCTCCCCCCTACTCTCCGTTGAGGGGGTAGTTGTGCACGAAGCCCGTGCTAAAGTGATGCCCACAACCATTTATTCACGTCGGCTGGTAACGCCAAACTAACGTCGATACAGGGCTCTGATTTCCTCACAGATTTAATGTATTTCACAAATATGAATAAAAAAATATCAAGAAAAGAAAGGACTTCAACTTGAAGATTAATAAGCCTCTGTACTAATGACGTCGCACTTTGTTTACATGTGCACTTTCCTATGGAGCCAGTGGGGGCCCACGGTCCACTGAGCACCATAGGAAACACACACCTAAACAAAGTGTGTTGTCGTTAGTCCAGGGGCTTATTGTACCTGCAATTTCCATGGTGCAAAGGTCCGCAGACTCTGACTGGTAACAAGAGATCGGAGGCGTGAGATTAGCGCCTGTGAACGCCGCAGTCATCGCCTCGCACTTTGTCTTCTCCTGGGCAGAGGTCACACACCAACGCAGGCTGCCTTTGGGGCACTTCTCCAGACCTAAAGGGCAAAGGTCAGTTTGTGAGCCTGCACGAGCGTCATCACTAAGGGCAGGTCTTTAGAGATGTGGGGAAAATACTTCCCGCATGCTCACTAACAGGACGATAGTCACACTCATTTCAACTACAAGATCAAAACATCTACATCATTAAAAAAAAAAAGTGCCAACAATCTCAAAGTTGACAATTACATCATCTGCAAGGTCAATAATTTCTACATCATCTACAAGTAAAAAACAACAAAGACAGATGTACGATTAAACGTCTGCATCATTCCAAAAAAAAATCTTACAATCTTCAAGGTGGCATTGCATCATCTACGAGGTCAATAACATCTACATCATCTACAAATTCAAAACAACAAATCCATCACAAACAAACAAACAAAAACCCCAACCAACAAGCAATCACACAGACCAATAAAACCTTTCATGCACCTTTCACTGTTGCCATGTAGTCTGCGCCCAGAAACTCGTCGTAATCCGTTGTAACGTCAGCCAGAGACTCGGTCGAGTCCTTGAACAGCAGATCAGACCCGCCGTCGTAAAGGCTGGAATCGAACATGGAGAAACCGTTGGTGTTGGAATCCTGTCCAAACAGGTCCTATCAGGAAAAGGAAAAAATGCAACCAAAATAGTTGAGGAAAAGTTTTTCTGCAATATCAGGTATTTGTTGGGAATGCTGCAACCTGACACCACTTTTTTCTTCATATTTCATCTCAATAAAGGTCAGTCATTGCAAAATGTCCAAAAGACATCAACCTGGGACTGAGAAACATTTCCAATTTTGTTAGGAAATACTTTTGAACAAAATCTTGCCTGTCCATAGACTTTGCACACAACCGCTGAAGTAGCGTCTGGATACTACATTCTTTCCATTTGTTGTAGGGTTCTGAACAATTTCCACAAAATCTTCATACTATGAATTTATAAATTTGTAAACAATGCTAAAGTTATAAACACACCTTTGGTAAATTTCATACCTGTTGTTTTTTTCAGAACCATTCTCTTAGTCCGCAAACCTAGTTATTAGTGACTTCACCACGCAAAGCCTCAAATCTTACTTACATTTTCTCAGGTTAATAAAAAATGTTTATAACAGAGTAATAAACTGAATTCTAAGTCTTACTTTGACCCAGCACAACTATCCGAGACAATTTTCATAAAAATGGTACGTTGGAATTCAAGACATAGTGTTTTAAACTTCTCAAATCTTTAACAGATTTTGTTTGCTGGTACCTGTGCCTGCTTGAGAACAGTTCGGAAATCCTCCAGGACAGCAGTGTCGAAATTCTTTGAGGCCATGACGGCGTGGGAGGGCACCTGCATCAAATATAAGGAGATATTGTTACCTTGGTACTTTGGAATTTGTCACTCGAGTATCATTAACGGTAATATCACATTTGCTTTTGCTGTAATTTTCAGAAATGGATGGATTTGTATTATATAGCAAATATTGTTACACTGACCTATTTAAAGTTTTGTGTTCATAGATGTTGGGAAAACCTAGAAAAAAATAACGTTTTTCTTGTAGTCTGGTTCCCTGATTGTACTTCAGACAAAACGGAGCAATTTATAGACATTGGGGAATTGTTAGGTCAGGGAACAAGACTAGCTGGCTTGCAACCAATCATTGAAGTATAACCAAATACATGTACAAACAAAAATTTGTACTTCTTAATTTGGTAAACCGGGGGCAGTATTTGAAGGAAAAAAAAAAGTCCATTTTTTCCAAAAGATGGTCGGCTGACCATCGTTGGAAATGATTTTATAGGATGATTTTATAGGATGCTTTAGACTATCATTCACTTACAGTCAAGTAAGGTATTTCATAATAATTTGGTAGTTTTTTTTTACGTTTGCAAATGTTGTATAATACCTTTAAGAATCAGATGATATGATTTTTTTATTTGTTGGGTTTGTAGTTGGCTATTCATAATCACTCTTGGAGGACGACTGCATAAAGGAGTGCATCAGAATATAAAATCACATGTCAGATGCAACAGGGACAGGAAAGATAAGTAGACCAGTTATATTTTTAGGGAATAGTTTGGTTGGGCGCGACTCTATAGAATGCCATTCTCAAATGGGGGTCTAAAACTTTGCTTTGAATGCAGGACATTGCTGAGTTCAGGGAGTCTGTTATCTTACATAAGCAAGGTTGCACTGCATGTGCTGCCCGACGTCTGCCCTGCTACCATCTTTACAGAGGAGCTGGAAGTCAGTCGATTGCAGGCTGACGGCCCAACTCTCCTGGTTGTTCCTGTCCGTGTTCTCGTCGATCGTCTGGGGCTTGATGAACGCCACGTCCCCGTCCCCGACCGCCATGCATCTGTGGTCCAGAGAAAAAAAAAACACAAAAATGTAAAGGCTGTTTCAATGTCACAACCTACAATTTATCGAAGGCCATGTAACAGTAATCTTGGTCAAAAACTCGATTTTGATTTTATCCTTTTATGCAGCCAGTCTAGGCAAGTGTAGACTGGTCCCTGCCCCCATGAAATATGGGACCGGTAGCTAGTTCCCATTTAAGGCCACTGATCGGCCATTGTTCTTGGGCAAGCCACTTCACCCCAATTGCCTCTCCCAATCCAGGAGTACAAATGGGTACCGGCATTAGCTGGGGAGTAACCTGCGATGGACTGGCATCCCATCCAGGGGGAGTAGAAATATTCTCAGTCGTTTCATGCCACTGAAACTGGAGATAAACGCCGGCCTGATGGGCCACATTGCCTCGTGACAGACTTGACTTTTCACTTTTTACCTGAAGGCCCCAGCATAGTTGTAGTAGGGTTCGTTGGAGTTGCGAGGGCACTTGACAGGGCTGGTGGTCTTGCACAAGGCGCACAGGCTCTCTGGGTTGTCATTGTCGGGGTTGTAGGTTGATGACAAAGCACCTGAGAACGCAATATGAAAGGCAATACCTCAACTACGAACAAAACTCAGCTGTTATTTCTTTTTAACCTTAACTCCCTAGGCCTTTTTGCAAGGATGGATTGCCAGGATTTTGCAGGATTGAGGCTACTCAATCCTGCAAAATTCTCCAATTGGCCTCATGGAAAAATAGCACAAAGCCTCAATCCTGCAAATTCCTCCATTATTTCTTGAATATGGTCCGTGGAGAGGTGACCACTACCTAAATCCTGCAAAATCCTCCGGCTATGACTGTCAATATGTTGAGACATTGCCAGTGACATCCTGGAGCAGTTCAGAGGATTCCAAGTATAATAAAGGACTAAATTTATGTTAGGCTGAACATAAACAACACAAGGTCTGGCCCAAGACCTTGACACAGTGCGTCCTCCGAAATCAGCAATGCACTTTTGCCATGTAACTTCAATCCTGCAAATTCCTCCAAATTGCAAAAAAGGATTTTAAAGGATTTGGGATGGATAGGGTTAATGCCTGGATTAACCCTAACTCTCTAGGGTGATTTACTAGGAACCTTCCTCATCCTTGCAAATCCCAACACCATATGGTAAACTGTGCACATAAACAGTTGGACTCTGTTTATTTGTGGTATGCCTAACCCTATGTAAAGCACAGTCAGTTTACTAGTGTAGTACTCATCCTAACAGATTCCAACAAACCCTGGTGTTGGAGTTTGGCTGGTTGGGGTCGTTAGGGTTAAACATCAAAATTTTTACACAGTTTTTAGCATTTACAGATTTTGTCTCAAATTTGTCTTTTAAAAAAAAAGTTAGCTGGTGCAAAATACACGAAAGCAGATACCGTCTAGTGTGTCGGCAACAAGTACCTCCGGATTTGTTTATCTTAAAATCATGTTTTAAAGCTGGTATGGCATTTCAAGCAACAAAAGAATGAATCGAAAGTTCCAGTGTGAGTCACAACTATAACACCCTCAGCCAGACAAATAACATTGACTACCAGATTTCTTGACAATAACATGAGCAGACATCACGTACACGCTAGCAAACAGGCAGCCGATCATAGTCCGCAAACAAGCTCAATGTTGCTTTGGGACAATGAAACCAAGAAACTGGTAGGCTAGTACTGAACAGTCGAAGGTTATCGATCTAGACCTGTATTGAATAAAACCCCATTGAAGTCAACAGCCAGTACAGTCGGGGTTCTATTTCAATGTCTACTTGTACTTTAATCTCAGAGTAAACATGCATGTGCTATGACATTATGGAATTTATAATTATACCCTCTTTGTTAAACTTACGATATCTGCGTAGTTTGTGCAAAACTTTTAGTGAAAATATGGTTTCGTGCACAGTCTAAGCTTTATAAGAGTCAATTCCATCCTACGTCAGGCACAAGTCCGACACAAGTCAAATCATTAGTAAAGTCTTGAAAGTCACAAATAGCACAAGCTGCGTAACGAAAAAAGGGAAACATTTATTGCAAATCGTTTTGGTAGCTGGTTACACCCACTTAAATACAAAAGTACGTATCTCAATAGAGCATTGTTAGTTCGTAAATTATGCCACAGAAAAAAAAATAATACAACTTGAGTATATACCTGGGGCGCAACTTTGGTTGAAGAAGTTTCCGGCGGCGCGGATATCGTCTTGGCATTTGGCCGGGTTGATAAGGTCTGCCTGCAGGAGGTATCCGATGGGGACGTTCCAGCCGGCCGTCTTCCTGACGCCAGTGTGACAGGACTTCTTGCCTCGGAGAGTTCGAAGATCGAAACCAGGGTTGTCCCTACGCACCGCGGCAATGGCGTAGTAGCCCTTATCGTCTGACAAAATGTTTAAAAACAACAGAGAAGACATCGATTGCAGTCAGTGGAAACCGATAACTTGGGTCAACATTTTACACAGGGGCCAAATTTGATAGCCAGGGAAGGTTACCAGCCAAACCGTCATGTGATGTTAACTGCTTTAGACCGGTTCCCCACGTGGCAAGAAGGTTGCCAGCGTCGTATTTCTCTGCGCAGCAACTAAACAAAAATTGCGCCCAACGTAAGACGGAACCATTGAGCAGTTAAAAATTTGCTTAACGGTTACCAGCTATTCTGTCATAGGATCTACACTGCTCATGACTGGTTCACCACACATTTTTTTTTCTGTAATACAATTTGCCAATTAGACGGAATTTTCTGCTTATGAGCTGACTGCACGTTGGCTGTTTTTACTACATAATTATGTAAACTTTGACCAATGACAAAAGTGCATTGTACTCATTAATATGTACGAGAAATATACATAAGTCATGATACTTGTTGCATACTTGTTGCATCTAGCGTTACACTTACTGCCTGCGTAGACTTCTTGCATGATGGGTATCATGTTAAAGCGCATTCCGGCTGTGTAGACATCGCCGCCATCCAGCGTAATCAAATCAGCCTGGTTGGTGTTGATGAGTTCCATGCAGTGCTGAACGAAGAGGGAAAAGAGCAGGAAGCAGTCAAAGTCATATCCACAGGGAATTGGGGATAGGTATTTGATTGTTAAGTTTTCTATCAAAACTTAACAACAACAAAAAACCCAACTTATTGAATTCTTTGCCCGAGCAATAAGTAATAATAATAATAATGTAATAATAATTTGGGAGGCTATAATCATCCTTACTCGCAACTGGTATACTTGATTGCGAAGGACGCGGCTACAACGTGGTCGGGCTGCTGGCACGTAAAGTCGTCTGTGGCTGCTGGCCACATCGACCCATATATGACCACGTACGGAGCACAGCCAGAGATCGAAAGTGTTTGATTTTTCCACTGACGTCTTGGGCCAAGACGTCAGTGGCCAAGACGTCAGTGGAGTGAAAGTACATTTGATGATATAAAAGGATGAGATTTTTTTCAGTAAGTCCATCGCCATGCACCTCACTGACATGTAATTCTCTCAACCCTGTTTCTCTGGCTGGCAAATTCAACAAATACAACGCAGCCGCCAAAATATATCAAGTGACTGTTTTTAACAGTTGAGTGCTCCTTTCCCACACAAAGAAAGATTGACTGGTTGTGACTGTTTTTGAAAGTTGATACAGCAATGTTTTGACTGTGGAAGACTGATAAGCCTACCACTTGCCTGCTTTTGTCTGTTGATGAAATTTGACTGTCACAGTACCTACAAGAAATTAATATGATGTGAACTACTGCTGACTAGCCTGTGTAAAAGGCATTGCAAGGGAAGTGGATTGGAATTTTGACTGTCTGTGACTGATCAAACAAAACTAGGGTAATGTAATTACTATCTGAAGTAAGTTTTTACCGAAGCGCTTTCACCAGCAACACAGTTCAGTGTCTTGAGGGAGTTAGCGGCAAATGCTGTCTTCATGTCCACGCATTTCTGCTCCTCATGGCTGGAGGTGGTGCACCATCTCATGACAGACACTGTGAGGAGACAACAATAAGATGGGCAGGTGAACGGTGAAGTCAGGGTGCAAGACTCGGGCATGTCGCTTGGATATCATAGAGCAAGGAACAGCAGAAGCTTTCATCACAATAAGATGCGTACACATACAAAAACGTACATGAAGAGTTTGCTTGCTCTGCTGAAGAGAGTTTGCCATTTCCAATAGAAAAAAAATATGCAAAATTAATGAATGTTAACAGAATGTGAATCAAGAAGAGTCTTTAATGTTTGGCTTTGCACTTAATAATTTTTCATACATGTATGCTACAGACAAATCGTTTTCTTTTTCATATCAGTTCAAACAATCCTTCCTATGGAACCATGCATTCTGAGCCATGCTGTTACATGGGTCAATATTGGTCAAGTGACCCATTGGCTTGTTAAAAGTAAGCCAGGGAAAGTGGAAGGACATTTGTTTAACCATTTGTGACCTTTTATCAGCAGAAGTTCAATACATTTATGCAGATATTATGTATATGGGTGAAACCTAAGCATAATCCTTCAATTTTCAGCGTGATAGATACATTGAAATTTGTGAAATTGCCCACTATACAAAAGTAGCTGTTGTGACTCTGAAATTGTTTTGCTCGAGTTTTGGTCACTAATCTGAACAAAACTGCTTCTGAAGATAGTACTAGCTAGGTCCGAACCACAACCAAAAAAAAATAAATAAATACGAAAATAAGAAACAAGGAAAAGAAAAGTACAGTAGAAATGTAAGAATGTTCTGGGCCATTAAAAGGTCGTCCTTGGCTCACTGAGCATAGGTAATATTGATGATAAACTATGCCGTTATCATCAAAGCGTTCATTTTTTAAATTCATTATTTAATAAATTTCTTTCGAGAAAAATTCTGCCACACATGAACAATGTCTGGCAAGGTGCAAAGCCAATAGAAGACACATCAGATCACAGTTTACATGTAGTTCAGAGTTCAAAGTAAAGCCCACCGGGTTCGGACTGGTATTTTGGCGGTTTCCAGAAAGTTCTAAGCAAACATGCTCATAATACCCAGGATAAAGTACAGAGAGCAGTAGAATAAGGCTTTATTACGCAATCTTAATAAGTAACTTATTTTTCTTTTGTATTCATACCAGTAGGCCTATCAGTCGTAGATAATCAGTACACAAACTATCGTCTAGCGACAGCTGATGGTTTTTTGAGACCCAACCCACAATCCACAAAAGCGTCCCTATTGTAGCCGATTTAAAAATAACCAAAGACTCTTGAAATATGTAGAGAACTCTAAGGCTGAAAAAAAAACAAGTAGTTTTTTGCTTGGGCTTTTTGAAAAAAAATTAAAGGACGGGGCACTTTTTTTTTTTTTTTTAATGAGAGATGACAGATTTTCAAAGATGGCGGATGCATTCTTCCACTTTCTTGACTCTTTTGCTGATTCACATTTGCGTCCAAAGGATTTGTAACCCTTTCTGTAGCTACAATTTTGTTGGAAACGAATAAAAGGACAATGTATTGACAAGATATTTGCAAAATATATTGCAAATTTTTGTTTGAATTAATGGGGGGAAAAAAGAAGGAGAAACAAGGAGGCAGTTGTAAAAAAGGAAGCGGGCAGGAACGTGAAACTGGTTTATTATTTTACTTGACCAAGCCTACATGTAACTTTGAATACTCAACTTTAATTGAGCTTTTATTTTTTGGGGGGGGGGGGGGTAGGGACACACATAATACTGCCAAACCTAGAAACACAATACATTGACTGTGAATGCGCAATTGAAAAAAGTGAAACAGTTGTGTGTTGGTATGGCTCTTAAGTTTCTGTCTGACTTTACCCCATAGTGAGAGTCATGTGCAACTATGCAAGGTCCTTGCCCTTCTGGCACTATGAATGTTTTTTTTCCAGTTTCCTGCTAGAAAAGGAAGAACTATTACGAGAATGAAAAGCTTGAAATACAAAGTGGTTTGGGTCTACAGAAAAAAACAAACCAATACTATAACATGTTTCCGGGATGCAACTTCCGGTTATTGTATTCTTATTGTTTATTTCATTGATTTGGCATTTCAAATTGACTGAGTATTTATGATAAATCGGGCCATTAAGTGGAATCAATTCTGGCTTATATTAACATCTGCTCCGAGATATATCTGCTCCGAGATATATCTGCATATCAGCAATGAACATTTTTGCCCATGCGACCCCTCGCACAAGCCAATCGGAGTAGAAATTACAACTTCTTTTCGATCAGAAATGTGGACTAAGCTGTTGATTGGTCAATTTGGCTCAGTACATGTTTTTGGCTTACATCATTTGTCTGACAGTGACACTGAATGGTCAGAATCTTGAGGTCAAGACACAGTCTCGTTTTGCATACTTATTAATTAATCACCAAATCTGCTTGCTAATGGAAAAAAAAAATGCCTTGGGCTTTTTGTCTAAATTAATACATCTTTATCTGCTTTTCTCCTAAACAGTGATCTCTCAAGCCTGTTTTCCAGAATCAAGTTCCCATTTGTCTCATTTCATTCAAATTTCTTCAAGGTATCCCTCTAACTTTCAAGAGTGTTTTTACAAGTCAATGCAGCCTTATACAGTCACAGTCGACTTCCGTAAAACAACAGAATTGCAGAGGCTTGTCCTCGAGGTCAGCCAAACTTTTCGGGAATGGGGAAACCCCTCCATTCGTCCTTGCCATTGTTCACAGGGTCTGCAAGACTCATTAGAGATCAGGGGTCAAGGCTGGCATATCTTGGGGATCGTATGGCTCGTCAACATCCTCTGGGCGATCATGCCAACACGCCTATATAAAAAGCCAGCGGGAAAATAACCTAGAATTGTATTCGCGCTTGAGGTAGGAGCCTACTCCAAGATTTGGTTTTGAAATCTGGAAAAGTTATCTAACTGACAGAAACTGTCAGGTATTGCCAGAAGGTTTCTCTGGGAATTTTTTTATCACATAAAAGCCATTGAATGAGTTTATGGCGTACATTTCCATGATAACGCAGCATCATAAAACTAGCCCAAGCACTTAAATCCCTACGTTTAACTGGAGCCAGATGAGAACAAAAAGATTATATCTTCGTAATTTTTAGCCTTAGCGACAATTAAGCTCGTTTTTGAAGATTCTTATCCATTTCGCCTCTTTTATTAAAAAAATATTATGGGGCGTGCATGATATGATCACAATCCCTGGCTCCAAGAATGCAATGGTATCTGTAAAGAACCCGACCGCTGATGTCAGGAACCAGTTGCAGATTATGGGATCGGGTACTCGTAACCAACTTTACAAATTACTTAGTAACTTCTCAGACAATGAAGAGGAAAGTTTTGCATGCCATTTGTGGGAATTTCAAATATGAAAACCAGGCTACATTGGAAATCAAAACAGATCCCATGTTTACATGCAATTTAAAGGGAATGTACATCATTGGTTTTTGCTGTAACTTTCAGAAATGAACTATTTGAGGGGTTACTATGATAGATCAAATATTGTTACACTGATATGTTTGAAGTTTTGTGTTCGAAAATGCTGGAAAAACCAAGAAACACACAAATGCTGGAGTTGTCTGGTTCCCTGACTCCACTAAAGATAAAATGGATCAATACATGCCGGAAATTTGTAAGGTAAGGGAACCAGTCTAGCTGGCCTGCACCCGCTCATGAACATGTAACCAATAGCAAACAAAATTTGGACTGAAAAAAATGGTGAAGTTAGAGCAGTAGTTGAAAAATAGTTAGGTTTTTCCAACGGTGGTCGGCCGACCACTGTTGGAAATTTATACAAAAATACAATTTTCAGGTGCCATAATTTTACAGGATGCTTTAGACTGTCATTTACCAACATCCTAGTAAGGTATTTCATAAAAACTTGGTAGTTTTATTTTTCGATGTTTGCAAATGTTGTATATTCCCTTTAACTCGCAACAGATGAGGCTCGGTAAAGTTGCAATTTACACCGTAAAGCTGTACAGCCCTTCAGACAACTTCTGGGATTTGAATGATTGGGGTTGGGTTTCTTCTGCGGGTACCCATGTTTTATCACAATCAGGTACCCGGTGCCCTACTACTACCCGCTTTAGCAGGTGTCCCTGTGCTGTAGCCCGTCCCTAATGAGTATAGGCACTTGTCAGTTTAACCAGCATATTTTGTTTGAGCAAAAAAATTAAACAGGGATTTCAAGGACACGTTTCCTTGTTTAATTAAAGTATTATTTTTTATTGTCTGTTGCAATAAGCCTATATATGGCCTACATGTGTGTTATCTATAGGCTCCAAAGGACTTCCAATTTAAACAAGCCAGATTGTCTGGAGTCAAACTATTTTTTTTTTTAGAAACAATTCTCAAACTGCTTAGCGCTTAACGTTTGTAGATGAGATTTGTAGGTTTGCATGGTGGAAAGATACTAATACAAGATAAATTTGCGGTAGCACCATGTGAATAAATCTCTTTTGTGAGTATGTGTGGTTCTGAAACGACCGGAGGGACTCAACGTTTCAAACAGTATGCTCTGCCCGTTGGAATCCCTCATTCTCCTGACGACGGGCAGAGCATACTGTTTAAAACGTTGAGTCCCTCCGATTCTTTTCAGAACAACACATACTCACAAAAGAGATTTATTCACATGGTGCTACTGCAAACTTATCTTGTCTTCACGTTTGTAGACTTGAACCAAACTCTGTTTTCTGTTCCTTGCTCTATGGTTTTAGCAAGTGTATGAATATGACCCTGTTCTGTTGTTAGTTTTTACCCCAACAAACAAAAAGGTTTCTTTTGAAAGTTAGCCTTTGGGAAAAATTTTTTTTTTCAGACCTAGTTGTGTATATGCCTGAAAAGGGTTTGGAAAAAAATATGGACAATGAAACCACTGTGGGAAATCATGGACGTGAATAAAAGCCGAGGTTTTATTCATTACAATGACTGATCCATTGAAATTCAGGATTTTACAAAGCTGTTTGGTCCTCCAAAAATTCCCTCCAGGGCTTCAAGGCTTCACTTTAGAAATTGTCTGACAAAGTGATTCCAAAAGGCTTTTGTCAATACTGGTCACGCTACACTGCTTGGAAAAGTATTATGTACTTCTACACCTTTTTATGTGTTAACGGTTTTTTGGGGGTGGGCAAGCTATTTAGTTTATGGGTTTACAGCATTTAGTCAAGGACAAGAGCTTTCAACATTTGCATCTTGCAATCTGCAGGGAGATTGTGTACAAGTACATGTAACAATCAGGGAGAAATTTAGAATTACATAAACCATAAAAGGGCAAAGGTTTCCATAATCAGGGAGATTTTTCAAATTTGTTCATCAGAACATGGAAAATTGGTTTATTTTTAGGGAACTTTCTGCAGAATTAGGAAGAGTTGGCAGCTCTGCAATGTAGCTCCCAAAACGAAATTGAAACTCTTATACAGTATTGGGGGGCGGGCGGCGGGCGGGGGTTAAAAAGGTCCGTCTGGCGATGCATGATCTATTCACAACTACTTGTGTTACATTACAAGCGTATGTACGCGTACTTGTTCTGGCAATGTTACATCACCCCACTATTTTCACAATAGAAAAACATCAACCCAGACTAGGAGAATCTTTAGAAAAAGGAATAATGGGAACACAATGCTATCACCCCACAATGCCGTCTGGCTGGAGTATATCGCATGTGTAGAACATGAACTGTGGCGTGATGGAATTTTTTATTTAGAAACTTTGCAAACAGTGTTTACAGTAAAACAACATTTATATCGAACATGGACTTGTGAAATGATTTAGGAGGGTACAATGTCGTCAAACACACGTATCTTTTGGGGGGGGGAGGTCAGGGGTATAGTAGGTGATCTTTATAGTCCCCAACTCCTTTTGACCACGCCTTAATTTCAACCTGAAAATCTTGGAAACAATTTTGACTGGGTCTGCCTAGTCGAGGTGGGCCCGAAAATCTGAGTTTTTAGGACTTTTTTTTTTACTTTGTGAGTCAGTCAATCAGTTAAAGTCAGGCAGTCAAAGACTCGGTCCAAGGATAAAAGGCTTGTCCTCTGACTCTTTGGCTCCAGCAGTAACATTGGCGGATCTTGGGTGGTGGGGGGGGGGGGGTGGGGGTTTGCAACTTTGCAACCGTAATAGTATAAGCAAAACTGGGCCTAAAATAATAAATGGAATGTTAAAGTTTCTACATTTATTCTCAAATTGGCTTGGAATGCAGGAGAAAGCATCACAGTTTTCAAAATTTTCCAGGGGCTTGCCTCTGGACCCAGTAGCAGGGCGTTCATTCGGCACGCCTACACTCACCACTCCCCTTCATATCAGCCCCCCTCCCCCTCCCCCTATTTCCTGAAAGCTTCAAGCAGATCCGCCCCTAGATAAGAAAGGACTACAATGTAGATGTAAACTGTACCATTTTTTCCCAGCTTACCTTGGCACGCGGCAAACTGTAGGCCGACTGCCAGCACGACCCCTAGTATGATAGCTGCTTGAGTCATTCTTGCAGTTTCCGTCTTCCGGGTTCAGCTTTTTTTTGGAAGTGAGTGAATGGTGCCTTGCAGAAACTTCCGGAAAGAGTGACTTTGCTGAAAAACAAAGAAAAATGTTGCAAGGGAGAGTTATTGTATTGTTCTCCAAATGTGGACATGACACGCACGCCAGATCTGGGTTTACATTTTGGGGAAGATGTCCTGAAGGAAATGACTTTCACAAAACTTTATCATTGTAACATAAACATCTGTTGTTAAATATAAATGTACATTGTAGCCACAGGGTTAAGTTACAGAAAGTTGTTGGCATAAATAACAGAACTTTAAGTCGTATTTTAAAGGGAATAGGCCTATACAACATTTGCAAACATCGAAAAATAAAACTACCAAGTTTTTACGAAATACCTTACTAGGATGCTGGTAAATGACAGTCTCAAGCATCTTTTAAAATTATGGCACCTGGTGTGAAGTCATTTTCAAGAAAATGGTATTTTTGTTTACATTTCCAACGGTGGTCGGCCGACCAGCGTTGGAAAAACCTAACTATTTTTCAACTACTGCTCCAAATTTACCATTTTTTTCAGTCCAAATTGTGTTTGCTATTAGTTACATGTTCATGAACGGGTGCAGGCCTGCTAGACTGGTTCCCTTGAAAAGGGCATGCACCTTTGAAAAACTTTTTTTGTGGGTGGGTCAAACGTGTTGCTTGTTCCTATCGTATCTTTTTCTACTACTACTATGATTAATTTGCAGACTATAGGGCCTACTGTGACGACCCCACTTTAAAAAAAAAATATGTGGCCCCACCCCAACAAAGAGGCAAAATTCTGGAATTATTTTATTCTCGTGATAAACGTAGCACTTGGGCATGTTGGGTGAGCTGTCCAAAATTCGAAAGAAACAAAACTGAAATTATCGGAATCGTTCCTTTGCGGAGAAGCCCCCACTTGTTAATTTCAGGGCGTTGGCCCCGCCCATAAAAGGGTCGGAAATACATGGGCATGGCATCAGGTGGTCTTGAACTTGCTGAGGTGGTAGGCCTACATCATGTACATGTAGGCACTGAGCACAAGAATGTTGCAACCTGACGCCACTTTTTTCTTCATAAATCATCTCGAAGTCCAATGAAGGTCAGTGGTTGCAAAAATGATAATATTCTGGGAGTGGGACTGGGAAACATTTTCAATTTTGTTAGGAAATACTTACTATTATAAACTTAGACAATTTTCTTGACTCTCTATAGACTTCGTACACAACCTGACAACCGACATAAAGTATAATCCTGAGAGTTTTAAAGTAGAGTGTGCCAAAAATTCATATGGACTCCCCCCCCCCCCCCCCCCCCCCCCCCCCCCCAGCACACTGACTAGCACTGTATATACTCATGGAGGAATAACTGTAGCAGAACTAAAATGGGCGAAGCACGGAGCATGAATAAAGGACGGTAGGCGAAGGGTTAGGCGCAGCGTGGCAATGCTGATTGATCGACCGCACAGGGCCCAGCGTGCGAGGCCTAGTACTATTTCACCTGTTCGTGTCACGCATAATTGCACTTGCCCGCCCACCGAACTGACGAAAATATAATCCTCTTCTCATAACCTTACCCCAAGACGCCTGGTCGAAGCTAAACTCGAGATCAAAGCAATCGGTGGCGACCTGCTTGCAGAAAAAAAGAGGCAAATTGTGCACAACTTCCACCGTTCATACACGTACCTCACCTTCCACTCAATGTACTCGACTCATCACGGCCACGTACTAGCTACGCGCACGTGGGATGATAACGCAGCGTCGCGTCATCATGAATAATAAAAACAGCCTTGTACAATTCTATGGAACGCCTACTAGAAAAAAAATGTCACGCATTTAATAATATTTTCGCCACAAGTGATTTTTTCCCCTACTCAAACTTTTTAGGATATGCAAATCGCAAAAAGTTAAGCAGTACTCCTTAAGGGGGAAAATCCAAAGTGTGCTGTTTAAGGACCTCGGGAATAATTCGGTCCTGGAATTACAACCGATGAATCAAATTTGAGATAGAATGCAAAACAATTTTACTTTTGAAACATTTAGTGCAGCGAATTTATTTCTTATTCAAAATTATAGGTTGTACATATAGTAACAAAGCAACAACTTTGGATAAAACTGCCACCTACAAGCAGCATATATATTTTTGCTGTATTCTTTTGTAATTATTTACCTTGACAACTTTAAAAAAAATAATCTCTACAGCCATGTAAATGTAAAGCGAACGTGAAATATGCACATTTCTGATGATGCCACATTTGCTTTGTATTCGCGCATGTGGAGTACTATGGTCGTGAAGAAAATGTGAAATATTATTCGAAAAGTATAGAACTTAACAAAAATGTGCAAAATACAAGTTTTGGTAGAAAATGGGAAAACTTCAATTCGCCAAATAAAACAACTGAAGTTGGGATAAAAAAATATATAAGATCGTTTGATATTATTGCCTTATGTAATTTTTATGCGATAAGTTATCACATGTTATTGTTATTGACGATGAATGGTGCAAAGTAATCACAATAATATACGGGCGACTTTTTTTTCTCGACGGCAGTCCATAGTCTAGTCAACAACGACAACGATGAATATGCATTTTAGACTGACGACCCAGTCCCCTAAACCCTCTGAATGAGGAGAGCCAGCGAAGATATCGATTTTCACATAACCTTGAGGGGTTTGGAGTAGCATGTTGACCTACTTGTCCCAAAGTGCAAAGGTAAAAGTATTTCCTGAGATAATATGTTCACTGGCCTACGTGCGGATAGTCAGGTGCTTCTTGCTTCATATATGGGCATGTACAAGTTGCATGGTGGTCATTAGGCCAAAAAAAAGTCTCCGGTTTCTGGTATGGAGCTTGCCCAAAAAGTGGTGCGGCGACGCGGCTTTTTTTTTTTTACCTGATTTTTTTTTGCTAATGTCGGCTGATGACTGCAAATGGTGCCCGACTAAACTTAGTGCAAATATATGCGAGTCCAGAGAGGCCACATAAAGCTTATTCTCGACCATAACCCAATCTAAAAACAAGTTAAAATTGTGCAGCAGCAGGATTCCAGTCAAACCAGTGAGTTTGGCGGTTTGGGGACATCATCTTTCATTGAAAAAAAAAAAACCTTTTTCATTTTGCCGACGCGCATAGCTACGGCGACGCGCGCGCGTACCAGAAACCGGAGACTTTTTTTTTGGCCTGAGCACCGCCTGCTTTCTATAATTATAAGGTCTTCAATTGGTAGGTGTGTCAAGAAAAATAGGTCTAATTGAAAATCCAAATTCACTTCTCAATTAAAAAGAGCAATTCGACCTCATATACGGCAGAACAGTATGGTAATATCTGTGCTGGGGCGCTTAACTCCCCCCCCCCCCCTTTCTGTCAATTTTTTTAAGTTGGTCGCATGACCGACCAAAAGTCAATATTTGAAAACAAATTAAAGGAGTTCTAGATTCTCATCAGTTACTGGGACTACATGTAGTCTGTGCCTAAAAGTACGAAGACTGTAACCAGTCGTTTCCAGCATCTTATCAAACCGATGAAGCACAAAAAGTCATCAGGGTACTTGTGCCGAGTGTGCACTGAGAGGCCGGGGTCGGGGAACCGAGACCCACGGTTTCAAGACGCCGCGTACTAATAGCAACTAGTTATTATCCAAAATTGGGGTTGGTGGGTGCTTGGTGCACCAACATATTTGGGAAAAAAGTCCACATTTTAAAACATTGAAAATTTTGAATGGTCCCTAATAGACGGAACCATGTCAACCCAAACATTTTGCACCCTTGTCGAAACTATACTTGCAAATTATGTTTGGGAGTTCTGGAAAATTCTTCACACTCAGAAGAAGCCATATAATTTTGCAAGAATGATCACGGGAGCCGCGGCAATAACAAAAGATAGCTCCGCGGATCCAGAACACATTTTTTTGGGGGGCCCAAAAAATTTTTTGGTCCCCCCAAAAAGTGGGTCAAAAAAATTACGGCGTGGGGTTCGGGGCCCGCTAAAGGGCCCCGAAATTTGTTTTGATTCTAGATGTTCTGTGGTGCGATCTGAGGCAATTTCTGACCACTTTAACCAATGTTTTTTGAGGAAAAGATGGTGGTGTACTCAATGCCTGCCTTTATTGCGATGTCACATTAAAAAAAAAAAAATTTGGTTTCGTTTTTTTTGGGGGGGGGGGGGGTGGCATGGCCCCCTTCCCCCCCCCCCCCCTGGATCCGCCCTTGGGTGCAGGATGCAAAAGCGCATATCTAAAAAGCCAAAAATTTATAATCAGTTCTTTAATAACTATAACTGCTCACAACATAAAAAAAAAGAATTTCTTAAACAAAAGTTTTGTCATTCACACTTTAATTTACGACGGTTTCGGTTTGTAAAAAAATTCATTCGCTTGTGTAGCTTAATCCAATAAAATTGCGAAATCGAGCGGGTGACAGGTATTGCGCCCTCTATCGAGGCTTTTGCGTATAGGTTTAGGCAGTATGAATAAATCGTACTGATTTAATATATATATATATATATATGTATTAATATAAAACAATACGGTATGAATACAAACTTTAATTTGCTATGTCACAGACACAACTTCATAAAAAAAAGCCCATCAATGATTAGTCTTACCAAAGTAAACTAAGCTATAAACACAAAAATAGATACTTGTTTAAAAAACACCATAAAAAACACATCCATACTTAGAACTTTAAACCATTAACATTAAGATCCAAAGTAAATCACAATGCAGACAAAATACAAATATAAAGCAAGCAATCAGTATACGAAATTACCATGGAAACACAAAGAAGCCGCGCCATTATTTCTCATAAGTGCTTGCATACCTTGGCCCATGTGTTTTTTTTTATTTTGGACATCTTCGAAATATTGTGAGATTTTTTTTTAATAACTGAGATGACTTTAAAAAAAAATATTTTCATCAGAGCAAGTCTTAATGGCCTAGCATCTTAATGGCCTACAACCTTCAAGTTTTGCTTGCAGGTTCGTTTCTTTCGATTTAAGATTGGCCGACTCGACACTATAGCTACTAGATCTGCCCGATTTAATTAGTTTTCATAATAGACTTTCAAACACACGGGACATCTTTGATTTCCCGCGGTTACAGAGCTGAAATCGGAGCGCGGGAAACTGCGCTTGCAGCCAACGCACACAGTCTCCTCGCTGTACACCCCCGACGCGTCCCCGCTCCTTGGAATAACGCGCCACGGCAAGTACGCATTCCTCTCGTACTTGTCGTAAAGGCGAACCTCGCGCTCTCTAAGGAACTCTACGTACTTCTGAGACGCGTACCTGGCCTGGTTGTTGCCGAGGCAAGTCATATGCCGGAAGAGGGGATAATAACCTTGAATGCCCAAGGCTGCAAGATCCAGCAACTTGTTTTGAATCGGCCGCTCCATCCACACCCTTCCCGAGTTTGCCATCAGCGGCCTGCACGCTGTCTTCAGCTGTATCAGCCTCGCCTGTGCCGATCCCCGGTAGTTCTGCAGGCAGCGCATGTACCCCGACACCAGACGCTTGCGGTCTGGTTTCCTGGCGCGAAGCTCTCTGAATATCACCTGATGGGTTAAACATCATTCAGTGATTGAACGTGCATAGAACCATGGGCGTAGCGAGGAGGGGGCAAGGGGGGCACTTGCCCCCCCCCCCGGAAAAGCAAAAAAAAAAAAAAAAGAAGAAGAAGAAGAAGAAGAAAGAGAAAAAAGAAAAGAAAAAGAGGCGCGAAGACAAAGTGGTGTAAATTAAATGAGTTTGGGGGGGGGGGGGGGCAAAATGTCCCTGCCCCCTCTAAAACTGATAAATCGAGAATATGTTGAGAAATGCAAGCATTTTTGGCAAAATTTTTTTTTTGCCCCCCTCTAGAAAAATCCTGGCGACGCCCATGCATAGAACGAACAGTAAGAGACTGAGTTGTGCATTCTCGATCTCAAAGGAACACAGGCTGTACAGTAGAGCCTCTCGACCCTGGTCCCGAGGTTGGATTTTACCTGTGTATGTAGAGCACCAGACTCGTGTGGATCGAAGCCGTGTTCTCGATGGTGTGAAAGGGGTTTCTGAGACTTTTAGTGGAAAGGCTCTATCTCCTTTAGCATCATAACATTGAATGGTTGTTCAATCAAGGCTGAATTAGTTGCCAGCGCAGTGCGGCATAACTAGGGTGATACTTCAGGGTGGGGGATGGGGTGCATCATGTTTTCAAGGGGGGGGGGGCACTATTAGGCAAATTTCCAAAGTGCAGTATTTCTTTGCAATTCAATATTTCAAAGGGGTGGGGTGGGGGCACCCGTTACGCCACTGCGACCCTACCTACCTCGATAGGTTGGAGATCCAAGACATTTGCTAGCTTGACCTTGTACTGATGCCAGAGACAATCCGAGTCCTGTCGGCAGTCAAACATCAGCTTCTCCCGGCCAGGGTCCTCCAGTATCTCCCTCATGCCCTCATCGAAGACCTTGGCTCCAAGGGTCTTGATATCAAACAGGAAGGTGTATTTTCCCAGTGCTGATGCCACACAAACCAGGGAGAGCTTTCCTCTGCGGCTGAGGTCCTCCCCTTCGCAGTTGACCGACAGGGTCTCACCGATATCATCACGGATTCTGGTTAAGGCCGGTTGTATCTGATCCTCCTGATCTACAATCTCGAAGTCGACCTTTTCCACTGAGCCCGCAGATCTGTCATGAAGAATTTAATTTCATCCGTTTTTAATACTGGATTGTTTTCATATAAAGGAAAAACACACAATTTTGCGGGCAGTTTAAAGCAACTTTACAGCTCCATATGTTTATAACCAACGATTATGAATTTCCATGAAAAAACTTTTATTACCTACTGTATTCGAATTGGCCAGTTAAAAAAACCAGGACGAGTAAACGTTAAGCTTTTAATCGTCCGAGGTTTTAAACTTACTTCCCTGCTCTCCAATTAATCCCCAGTGCGGTAGCTGGCCATGCTGTATTCAATAACTAGTATCTTTCCGACAAAGAATCGATTGATCAATTTTGGTTCATGTGTAGCAATGAGATATTATCGTCCCCAGCGATGGTGGGCCTATACGTCATAATTATGATATACAACCAAATAAGGAGAAAAATGGCACGTCCCTAGGCCAACTGACGAGTCGTGTGTCTTAGGGTACAGCAAATAAAATGCATGATGAGTATTCCAATTGTAGAGTACGAAAACCATGAGAATCCGATACTTCATTCCGTTGGAACAGACAAGACTGCAATTCTCTACGTATTTACATCAAAATATTAGACGACACAGGCTGTTTATTCTCTACTCATTGCGAACAATTTCCGGAACTTCCCTCAAATGCAAATGCAACAGTCGTATTGATGGGATCGAATAAACATTCTGTCATTATGGAAACTCGTATTGCGTGCGCGGGGGAAAACCCCGAACCGTGCAATCGATCAAAGTACGTGGCCTTAGCTTTGGCATGTCATGTACACGGGTTCATTTGGCCATTCGTGATTTCTAATCCCCGATTTCTACAGTGCCTTTTTGTACGAAAACACCGATTAAAAAAAGTAAAAAGTCTACGACTGCTTTTCAGGACCCCGGTCCTCATTAGGAGAAGACCCAAAATACCCGCGGTATAGGGTGGTTGGGTTCAACGAGATTTTATGTGGAATTCGTTCATTTTCAGGCTCAAGTCTCGAGCTGACAAACTGTTTTTATAGCTTGATGATCAACCAACGTGACTGCCTTCTCTTGTTTTAGCTTCTGCAGATAACGATTAGCATTTGGCAGCTCAACATGGCCGACTCTGATGCTAAAGGTGATGGCGAAGGGGTCTTGGCTCAGGCAAAGAGCGAGGAGGAGATAAAGAGGGGCACAAAGAGGTAAGATACAAGCTGATGGGGATGATGGTGGTTGTGAAGATAGTGATTGGTGGTGATAATTGTGATCGATGGTGATGATAGTGAATGATGGTGATGATTGTGATTGATGATGATGATTATGATCGATGGTGATGATAGTGATTGATGGTAATGATTATGATTGATGGTGATGATAGTGATTGATGGTAATGATTATGATTGATGGTAATGATTATGATCGATGGTGATGATAGTGATTGATGGTGATGATTGTGATTGATGGTGATGATTGTGATTGATGGTGATGATTGTGATTGATGGTGATGATTGTGATTGATGGTGATGATTGTGATTGATGGTGATGATTGTGATTGATGGTGATGATTATGATCGATGGTGATGATAGTGATTGATGGTAATGATTATGATTGATGGTGGTGATAGCAGTGGTGCACCCAAGGATGGGGGGGGGGGGGGGGGGGGGGGGGCTCGAGCCCCCGAAAGAGGTTGTCATTATTTTTTGGATCAATTTTTTTTTCATGAGTCCCAAGATTTGACCGTGATGATATGTACGTGGCATATTGTCGAGTAGTATAATAGGGGTGTAAATGGCGCCACCAACGTCAAAACAGTCCGTTCCCCAATTTTTGTTCTCAAAAAGCCCCATTTTTTTAATGATAGTGATTGATGGTGACGATTGCGATTGATGTTGATGATGGTGATTGATGGTGGCGATTGTGAATGATAGCAATTAATACTTTTCGGGTAAATTCTTTTCTAGACCTGCTGAAGTCGCCGAGCTTGACCAAGAGGACCATTTGAAGCCTACCCCAGCAAAACTCCACGAGCGGGAACATGTGCCAGACAGCGACGCTAGCAACACCCCGGAAACCTCTGACAAGAAAGTTGCGTCCCTGCAGGGAACTGGAGCAAGGTATATAGGGCTCATGATCTTTGTAGAACTTTTCCCTCTGTTCCTCTATGCTCTTACATTAGGTCAACCCGTAGTTTGTTCGCCATAAGAACTGATATGATACATGTATTCTTTCATTTCTCTAAACAGCTCTTCAGAGTCCGTGAATCTCCAGTACTGCTTGGTGAGCGAAGAGGCTGGGATTCAGCCGGCTCTGGCGAACCTCCGCGAGCAATGCGAGGAATATCCGTACCTGGCGGTCGACTGCGAGGGGGAAGATCTCAGTCGGAAAGGAAAACTCTCCATCGTGTCTGTGGCAACGCACAGCCACACCTACCTGTGTGATATTAAGGCCCTTGGAGCCAAGGTCTTCGATGAGGGCCTTAAGGAATTACTGGAGGACCCTGGCCGGGAGAAGCTGATGTTTGACTGCCGGGCGGACTCAGACTGTCTCTGGCATCTGTACAAGGTCAAGCTGGCCAATGTGGTCGACTTGCAGCTTATGCAGGTATTAGCAGTTTTCAATTTAATGCTACCTCTAAAAAAAATCTACTTCGACTAATCCACATCTCATACTGTGGGAATAATTTTCAAAGTAGGTGTCGCCCCTTAGTATCAGTTCCTTATCCTACATGTGCTTATGGATATCCTTAATGTGCTGCTTGCATGACCTTCTGTGAGCTCCAAATCCATGCCTTTTCAATATTCTCTCTTAATGTTACAGGTTATTTATCGCGAGACTCATCCAGAGCCCGAAGACAACGAACATCGACCCCGCAGTGCCCGGAATTGCATCAAAGACCAACCCAGAGTTCGCGGCCTCTTGTTCTGCTTGAAGAAATACGTCAAAAACGAGGGGCTTATCGAAGCTAAAGAAAACGGTGAGTATTTGATGCACCGTTGGATGGAGCGACCTCTTTCTGGGATAATGCTAAGATACGCAGTGGCCGATGTAAGGAGTTTCTTCAACTTGTATGACGAGTTGAAGGAATGTACCAAGGAGAGCTCTGCAATGGCGAGGCTTCGTCAGGCCTCCCAGTCATATCTCGACTTCTTCCGGTCTCGCAAGGAGCGTTTGTATGACGAATTTGAGAAGAATTCGTTTCTGCCGTGGCGACTCCTTCCTGCCTACGCGGGCTGCTCGTACTACGAACAGACCATGTGCGTTGGCTGCAAGCGTAGCTTCCCGCGCGGGGATTTTTCCAATATTCAGCTTAGTAATGGTGTGCAGAAATGTCCAGTCTGTAAGAGGGTAAAAGAGGATATTGATACAAAACGCGTGAGAAATGCATATTACGAGGAAATGGACGGGGGTCCAGTCACGGTGATATTTCCAACGGACGATGGTCGTATGTATAATGAGTCGGATTGGATTTTTTAGACCTATTATTATCAGTTGTGCACTAGCACTACCGATACATTTACCCAGTCCGTTCGATTGATTGGTTTATACTAGGTCTGACGAGAATTGGATGTCCATAATGGTAACAAGCTGATATAACCGTCATTTAAAAAAAAAATGTAGTACTTCATTTTGCCTGTAGTCTTTTATATAATACTTGATGACAAAAGCCATGTAGGGGCAATGCTAAATTGAAGTGTTTCATTCATTACGTGGTTTTGAAGAGAGAGAAAAAAACACAGATTGCAGTTTGTAATCAAATATTGCAGTGTTGGCAGCGCTAGCGTAGTTCGCGACTTGTGTGTATTCAAATGTTATATATTCAGTGTAATTTCCGATATGAGTTTTGTTTTAATATAGCGCTGGATAGCTCAGTTTAAGTCAATTTCTTTGATCAAACTTAAAAAATAAATTACATGTTATGTGCAGCTAAAGCTCAATCGTTATGGACAGCTGTAATATCATCATCAAGTCTAAATTATTGTGCTTTTTAACAATTGTTGGCTGCTGTGATGTGGGATATGACGTTTTGAACACCCCGGCGCATATTATGCGCCCCTCGGGTGATCAAAACGCCATCCCACATCACAGCAGCCAACAATTGTTTTGTTATACCTATGTCTTGGATTCTTTGGATTTTGATGTAAAAATCACGAAAACAATCAGCAGTAAAAACAACAATTCTCGCAATCGAACGTCAACTCTCATACATGTCGCATGCTAGTAATAGTATGCTTGAAACAGCTGATCGTCTGTTAGTTCGCTGCTCCCATGCACTCATGTGTGAAAACATGGTGAAAATACCAACGATACAAGCGTTTCACACCGTACGTACGTACATACAAAGTTATAGAGCAGTGATACTCCCACAATTAATGCGCCATGACTTTTTTTATAAACTTAACATGTGATCGTTCTAGGCCAATGAAAATACAGTATTCAAGACAGAGGTATAGCAAAATTAGTTATTACCACACAAATAACACCCAGAGTGTGGTCGTTCGTATTTAATTGGCATATTAGTAAAAAAAAAAAAATTACGACAAATGAAAATTAGGTTTACTCAGAGATAGAAAAATAAATAAATTTCTTCATTGGTATTGTCATGAAAAAGATATGAGAAGGCAATTCAGTTTCGCATGAGAAATATGAATCGTAATAACATGTGAAATGAAATATACAACCTTGAATTGTTCATTGGGATAAATGCCAGGTATGTGTGAGAACAGATTGAGTTCCCAATAGATTGTAGAAACCAACTCAGAGGAAAAGCAGACTGCCGTTGTGTGTGTATTCGTTTTTAGTGTACTGTTGTGTTTTGAAATAAATGAAAAATATTTTGCAGTTAACTTAAATATCACAATGTATCTCAGCAAAAGTACAGTGTCTTTAAAATCCTCCTAAGGTACCACTACTGTGTTCCGACCATCTCTTCCCTATAAGAGATATTTATCAACATAGAAACATAGCTAGAAAACAAGATATTAACTTTTAGATTACATGCATGTTATTATTTTCAAAAGTCATTGCTGTGGTTGTCATTCAGTATAAAATGTATACCGTAGTTTGTCTATTTTGTGTAATTGGTGGTCTCTTTATACTTTTAAACTTTATATTTGATTTGATTTGAATTAGACATTAAAGTTAGATCACACTTCTGAATATCGTATATTCTTTATTTTCTTAGTTTGTTTTTAGTATTCTGACTAAAGCGCAAAAATGGCCCAGTTTTTAGCTTTTTTGTCAAAGTATACTCAGTCGGTGCATTTCCAAACAATTGAGAGTTACTTTGTGCATAGGCGAGTTGTCAACATCAAGAAATAAAAAAAGAAGATTCATTTGTAATTGGAAGGTGACATTTTAGGATTCGGATTTCTCATTGATTGCATTAAAATTATGGAGACAATAAATTATTCTCGTCGTTGCTAATATCGTTCTGATTATTGCGTGCTGTATGGAGAAACCAGGCGAAATTGCCCAATGCGACAATACTATTGCGATCAGGTTAATTATTGACGTTTTGTTGGCAATGTTGCCTGATGAGGTCACGTGACTTCGGCTTTTTGCACATAACAATATGCCCGTGTCATGTCGACGTTTGGACTTCGTTGAAATCAAGTGCGTTATTTCTCATCGTTTCCATGGCATTGTTCCGTGTACTCAGAATGAGCAATATACAGTCAATAAAGCGACACAAAGTGGTATCACAGAATATGAAAAAAAAGTTAGAGAATTATAAGCGTCAGCTGATGTTTTGCCCAGAGATATCGAGCTGGCGTGTATGACGTCATGTTTCTCATCACAATCACCGATGTCATTGGCCATTGCGCACTGTACAAATATTGAAGCTACGCGCTGGTTCCCAATCTCTCAATTCGGATATTCTACGGGAACCAGTGGTATAACCACTCCCATCGTACCTTTATAATGAAATAAATAATAAGTTAAGTAAAAAAAAACACCTTGTCATTTGAATTTTATATAAAAAGTCACAAAGTAATTTTACTATTCTAAATATGATTTTCTTTTTTAACATAAAAACTATACAGTGGTTAAGTATGATAGATTTGTTCATAATTCCATTATTATGGGGAGAGGTAAAATGGCGGACGGTGACAAGGCTTCTTACAGCTAATGGACTATCCATTTTATTTTTAAACATGGAGATCAGTAACAGAAATCGAGGAATGGCTGATATTTGCACATTGTCACATGACTGTGGTTGCCAGGCCAGGAGTGTCCAATAGGCACAGTGCCTGCGAAAATGTTCAGGGCCTACGAAAATAGCACAGTATGGCCTGGCTTGCTTTAAGTCACTTATTAGCACAGCTTAGCATCGACATGAAATTGGTACTGGTGTAAGGGGCGCAGTGGGGCCTACGGACTACTGGTGCCTAGGGCCTACGGAACACATAATCCGGCCCTGGTGGTTGCAACCCCCAACCCCCGAGATCCGCACCGGGCTAGAGAAAATAAAAATACTTCCAAATACACATTTCCGTCATTTCCTGGCACGAGTAACACTATTTGTTTGTCCACAGCCAACTACTCCTCGTAGTATTTCGTGCAGTACGGAAAATACAACGGAGCGTCATATCTAGATGTGATGCAGCATCATTTCACAGGCACTAAAACACTTGACTTGTACAAACATCAATACAATAGAGAATACAATAAAAAAGCATCGACCAATAAAATTTATGATTCAGTTGGGATAAATTGGTTCGCAAATTCTGAAAACGCCCACATTTCACCGATCGAAAGAATCGACGACAGCAGGTTTGTTCTCGGTTAATCCTTTTCTTTAATGGTTCACTTGGTTCAGTTCTACACTTTTACAGTGGCTTTTTGTACGAAAATACCGATTTTTGGTTTTTTTAACAATAGTGTAAATATCGTATGGATTGGAGTTTCATTGTCTATGACTGCTTTCCGGGACCCCTGCGAAATCCCAAAATACCCAGTTGCTGATAGGGTTGAATGAGATTTTATATGGAATTCGTTTGTTTTCTCTCAAGCCTTGAACTGACAAACTGATTCTTTATTTTCAAAATATTCCTCAGGTAGTTATACGTGTCTAGGTACTTTCAACTTTCAACGTGGCTGTCTTCCTTCCGCTTCAGTCTGTAAAAAGCCATCGGTCGCTCAATGGCGACTGGACGTGAAGGGGAGGGCGAAGGAGTCTTGACTCCGGCAATGAGCAAGAAGAGGGGCACAAAGAGGTCAGATACAAGTTGCAATATTCAGAATGACGATTTGGACAGAGCACTCTAAACTGAAGATGGTGCATGTTTTTATTTGTTGTGTAATGATCATGGTGCATGGTCATGGTGATTAATGGTGATTGATGACGAGGATGAGGATTGTGAGTGATGATAGTGATAGATATGAAGGGGTTTATGGTGATTGGTAGTGACGATTGTGATTGATGGTGATGATTGTGAATGATGGTGATGATGTGATTGATCGTGCATGGTGATCGATGACGATTGATGGTGGTGATTGTGAATAATAGCAATTATTATTTTCTCGGTGAAAACTGGCAGACCTGCTGAAGTTGCGGACCTAGACCAAGAGGACCATTTGAAGCCTACCCCAGCAAAACTCCACGAGAGGGAACATGTGCCAGAAAGCGACTCAAGCAACACCCAGGAAACTTCTGACAAGAAAGCTGCATCCCTGCAGGGAACTGGAGCAAGGTAGGACTTATGATCTTTGATTAACTTTTCCCTCAGTTCCTTTATAGTCAGGTCAACCAATTGTTGGTTAGCCTTTAGAAATGAAAAGAATTAGATGCACGTATTCTTTCATTTCTCGAAACAGCTCTTCCGAGTTCGAGAAGCTTATGCACAGCTTGCAGAGCGCCGAGACTGCATCCGATTTTCTGCTGGCTCTGGTGCAGTTCGACGAGCAAAGCGGAACCGGAGCAAGGAAGAACTTATGATCTTGGCAGAACTTTTCCCTCGGTTCCTCGCAAATTATATTTTATGCATGTCGACCAACAGTCGGTTGGCCATGACAAAATAGAGATAAGATGCATTCTTTCATTTCTTTAAACAGCTCCTCAGAGTCCGTGAATCTCCAATACTGCTTGGTGAGCGAAGAGGCTGGGATTCAGCCGGCTCTGGCGAACCTCCATTCTGCATCCCTGCAGGGAACCAGGGCAAGGTACTTCTGATCTTTGCAGAACTTTTCCCTAGGTTCCTCTTAAATTATGTTTCAGGTCAACCCACAGTCGGTTCGCATCGTATTATTTCTTAAAGAAATAATACGATGCATGCGTTCTTTCATTTCTCTAAACAGCCCTTCAGAGCCTGGGAAGCTCCAGTACTGCTTGGTGAGCGAAGAGGCTGAGATTCAGCCGGCTCTGGCAAAGCTCCGCCAGCGAAGCGAGGAATATCCGTTCCTGGCGGTCGACTGCGAAGGGGAATGGCTAAGCCGCAGAGGAAAACTCTCCATTGTGTCTGTGGCAACGCACAGCCACACCTACCTGTTCGATATTAAGGCCCTTGGAGCCAAGGTCTTCGATGAGGGCCTTAAGGAGTTACTGGAGGACCCTGGCCGGGAGAAGCTGATGTTTGACTGCCGAGAGGACTCCGATTGTCTCTGGCATCTGTATAAAGTCAGGCTGGCCAAAGTGGTCGATCTGCAGCTTTTGGAGGTAAACAGCAGATTTATAAACTGGACTGTGAGGGCATTATCTTTTTTAATTGTGCGTGAACTGCAGCCCTATTCTAAAAGAGTCAAATTTGGACAAAAATCTTCACTTATAGGCATGCGCAATACAACTTTGAGTCCGTATTTCATAATAGAGTCCATACTTCACACTGTACACCGGCACCCGTTTACGGATATAATATTGTAACATTATAATAACCGTGACAAGCCAAAACGTGAAGCGGCCTCCTTGCCCAATTTTGCACCCCAGTCTTTCGAGTTTATCGACTTATTTTCCGTGTGATGTTAAAATAAACCTTTGACTGAGGCAAAGTAAAAAGGAACATGTTTAGCGTCCCCGCCTGCATCCTGTTTGGAGGCCGCCTCCTTTTTTTCAAAATCCGAAAAAAGTGATAAATTCTAAACAGTGACATCATTTTGGCCTCTTTGTCTGTTGTATCTAGCCTAGGCCTATATAAAGCTGGCGGCCATTTAAACCCTGTCGGCCATTTTGAAAAATAGCCCGGTCGGGCGGCCATTTTGGAGGGGGGGGGGGGGAAGGCCAGCTCACGCATCGTTTTTCTTTCAAAAAGGGAGGACGCTAAACATGTATTTATATTTGGCCTAAAATTACGCTGAAACGAAATTATATCTTTCCCATTCATTTATTTGTAACAGTTTATTCGTTCCGGCCAAACTCCGTCAGCAAGAACCCATATCAATGGCTACCGTAAGTGTCTGGCTAAATATGTCGGCGACATGAATCTCACGAGAATAAAGGACGAGGGCGCTTCGTTGATGGGCGAAGGAGGGACAGAGTGGATGAAGCGACCCTTGAAGGAGAAACTCCTGAAGTACGCTGCGCTCGACGTCCAGGGATTCTTCCTACTCTACGACAAGCTGAAGTCAACCTTGAATAGGGCCGGGGCCAAGACACGCCTGCAACTCGGCTCCCAGAGGTACCTCGACCTCTTCCGGGGAAAACTTTACCGAACCTATGACCGGTCCGAACTGAATAGTTACTTGCCCCGGGGCGTACTCGACCACTAAAGAGTCACTATCATCAGCAACCGCACTTGTTGTGGTTGCCAAAGGAGGGTATTCCCTGATTGGAATTTCAAATCAGAATTAATGTGCGGTGTGTGTTTAATGAAAAGGTGAGAGTTCCTTTTAACTTTTGTATACATCAATTCACAAAAATCAGGCGTTCTTTGTGTGCATATGTGATTAGTGCAGTGTAATGTATTTAAATGAAAAAAAAAATACTTTGCCAAAAAAAAAAAGTTTTCATATCACGACAGTACTTCAAAAAACTTGCACACACACCTGTCTTTATGATTATAATCCCCCAGGTGCCACTAAAATGTCCCCAAGTTCTACAACATTATAGGCCTTATGCACGAGTTGGCCATTTTTGTCGAGTTCCCTGAATGTATATCAATAATGGTTAACTGTAAGTTGAATATAATGGCGCCAGACCATTTATGCAGGCATAATCCAGCCTTATTTTACTGTCATTTTTTTTTTAAAATCTGGCTTTAAACATTAGGGAATGTTAATAACAAACTTTAACTATTCATTGAAGCAGACTGGAATTAATTAGTAATTAACTTGCTTTCATTTCTCTTCGCAAGTTCCAAAAATTAAGATTTTTACCTCACTTTCAATTCAATATGGCCGACTTGTGCCCCATAGGCCTATATGAAACATTCATCAACTTGCAAGTAGATAAAGACAACACTGATATACATGTCTTATCTTTCGATCATGCTAGTTTGTTTCCAACATCACTACTATATGGTCGTCACTCAGTAAAATTATATTGTAGCTTGTCAATATATGTAATAATTATATTCTACTTCTGAATATCGTATATCGTCAATGTTCTTAATTGTTTTTTTTAGTCAGTGATCTGACTTAAGCGCACAAATAAAAAATGCGATATAAAATTGCCTCATAAACTGGGCTTACTTTCTTGCGTTTCTGTCAAAGAACTCAGTCGATGGTGGTGACTGTTCATGTACATGTTTATGCTACTGCATTTCTTATTCTAATTGATCGTATCAAGGCCGTCAACGCTTCTCATTCATGCAATGTTTATTGCGTGCTGCTGGGAAAACCCAGGGGGAATACCCAAATGCTACACTACCATAGACCTGTGCGGTGCGGGTATCACTGAGGGTATTTTTTTTTCTTATTTCAATTTAGTCAAAACGAATACACAAAATGTTAATTCATGCTATCCCAGAGATACAAAACCTAACTCTGCCTTAACGCATGAGGTCTATTAGGCCGAATAAAAAAACCACATGTTTCTCGTCCGGGTTTTTGAAAAAAAGGAGGAAGCGGGGCTTTTTATTTTTTATTTGATTCAAGATGACCGCCATTTAAAAATTTCCTGCAACCGTTGGCGTTTCCACTGTTCAAAGACACTTTTAAAATGAAAGATAAGTTGGACAAGAGAACTGAACATATTTACAGTGTCATTTAGACTTGTTTTGGCCTACAATTTATTTTCCGATGAATTTGTGGCCTTTTTCGGTGTTTTTCACTGCACTTTTCAAAAATAAAAAATCATAAAAAAATCAAGGTGGCCTCCAAAAAGGAAGCGGGCGGGGACGAGAAACATGGTTTTTTTTTTTACTTCGCCTTATGATCAGGTTATATTATTTTATTGACGATTTGTGTGTGTGTGGGTGGGGGTGTGGGTGGGTGAGCTTGTCTTACATACGCAGTGTGGACTTCCGAACAAAAGACGTCCACATAATGTAGGTAGCACCGACGTTGTGTGGACTTGCCCACGTCCACACAGTGTTTCCCCATTTCTGGAAAACAGGTTTAGAGGCATTTTTGGGTTAGGTTTATCTGTAGCAGAATGAAGAGAAACACTAAAGGGAATCATAGAAAAAAAATTGGGTTGAAAGAGTTTTCACAGTTTGAGAAAAATGAGTTTTTTCACTGGTTTTTCTTAACTACACGAAAGCAATGGAAAGTCCACACTAGTCATGTGAAACAAGTATGTGTGGGTGTGTGTGTGTGTGTGTGACAGTGTTGCCTGATGCAGTCTCGTGGCTTCGACGTTTTGCCCAGAATAAACAACCCCTTGTCATTTTGACATTTGGACTTCGTTGAATTGAAATTCAGTAGGCCTACGTGATGTATGAAAAAGCCGGGGGATACCCCAATACTGCAATACTGTTATGATCAGGTTAATTATTGACGAATTTGTTGACAATGCTGGCAATCTCATGAATTGGACTTTTTGCACAGAATAACCAGCCCGTGTCATTTTGACAGTTGGACTCTGGTGATTTCCAGTCGGTGCACTCAGAAATGAACAATACGGTCAACGAAGCGACAAAAATTGATTTCGCAGAGTATAAAAAAACCTGTTACTAGAGAAGTATGTGTTTTGCCTCGAGATATCGAGTATGACGTCACGTTTCTCATCATCCCAGTCCATTCATTGGCCATTGCGCGCTGTACACACATTGAAGCTACGCGCTGGTTCCCGATCTCTCAATGCGAATAATGCAATGGGAACCAGTACATTTACAATTAGTAAAACGATCATGTCAATAGAATTTGATATAAAAATACTAACTCACAAAGTAATTTTTACAATTCAAAAATAAACAAATAAATAATATAATCCGTAAAGACAGTGGTTAAGTTGGATAGATTTGTTGAATTATTCCATGGTTACGGGAGTGGTAAAATGGCAGACGGTGACTTCTCTTTTGACAGCTAATTGACTTTCCATATTTTTTAAAGTAGAGATCCAGTGATAGGAATTGATGAGTGGTTGATATTTACACATTCTCACAATGATGTACCTGATGTTTGCACTAGCCTTCCATGGTAGTGCACGGTGACAGGGAATTTCCCAAATACACCGATTATGTGCAATAACCAAAACAGTATTGTTAACAATTATCATGTAAACCAGAGGTGGACTCAAAGGCAGACATAACGTGGTACGGTTCCTCATACATGTATCAAAATATTGGGCTCTTGACAAATCTGTCCTTTTCAAGATATTGTAAAAATATTTATACTCGTACAGACATAATAAGGACGTGCTTGGCAGAGAGGACTATCTGTTTGATCCAGCTGTTGTTTTGAACCTTGCTTTGTACCGTGTATCTGTTTGGGTGTTTTAAAATCATCGAAGCTGAGTTCATATCGCACACCATGGCTAGCAACAACCAAGATCCGTGTTACGATCTCGTCGACCAGGCCGCGGACATCAAACCCGCCCTGGCAAAGCTCCGCGAACACGGCGTGCCTGGCAGCCCATCCCTGGCGGTCGACTGCGAGGGAGAGACCCTCAGCCGCAAAGGGGTGCTGTCCATAGTGTCTGTGGCAACGGAAAGCCATACCTACCTGTTCGATGTCAAGAAGTTGGGAGCCAAGGTCTTCGATGAAGGCCTTAAGGAGTTACTGGAGGACCCTGGCCGGGAAAAGCTGATGTTTGACTGCCGGGCGGACTCCGATTGTCTCTGGCATCTGTGTAAAGTCAGGCTGACCAACGTGGTCGACCTGCAGCTTATGCAGGTATAGAGCTTTTCTCTCTTAATGCATATGCTCGCCCTCAGTTAAAAAAGTATAAAATATCACTTCGCGCGATCCAGTGCGCGCTTGCAACGCGTCCTTTCTTTCGTCATCATCATCACCCTTCACCCTAATAACCTTCACTATAATCAGCACGACTATACGGCCGGACGTTAGTGTAGCGGTGTCCTTCCTTTTTTGTTTGTTTTACTGGACCCAAAGGGCCAGCTTATTGTCTGACTGACTTACTGATTGATTGATTAACTAACCGACTGACTCCCCGACAGACAGACAGACTGACTGACTGACTGACTCCCCGACTCCCCGACAGACTGTGAGACTGACATAGTCAATAAGTGAGAGCACTAAATTGAGACGTTTGAGTCCATCTCGACGTTAGGCAAGACCATTTTTTTTTGCAGATGATCTACCAAGAGACTCACCCAATACTCTTGGCGACAGGTTCCGCTTCCCGGGCTCAACTTGTTAAGAATTTCCAGCCCAAGCGTCACAATTTCTTGTTCTGCCTGGAGCAATACGTCAAAGACGACCAGCTAATCAAAGCAAAGGCCGAGGGGAAACCCAAGATGGAACAGGCTGGTGTCTGGCTACAGCGCCCTCTCGATGGTCAGCTCCTTTCCTACGCCGCCGCCGACGTCCAGGGCTTCTTCCCGCTCTACCGCGCGCTGAAGCCGGGCATCGGCGGCAGCAGCGGCGCGGCGCGACTGCAAGTTGCGTCCCAGCGATTCCTTGATTACTACCGGTCCCTGGCGGTGCGCACCTACGACAAATTCGAGAAGAATTGCTTCTTGCCCTGGCGCCTCCTGCCGCCCTATGCCCACGCGACTTACGCCGAAGAGGTCACGTGCTTCGGATGCAAGCGCCGTTTCCCGCGAGAAGATTTCCTTCCGTTTCATGTTAAACGGGGAAATCCCAATTGTCCCGTGTGCAGGAAGATGTATGCGCAAAAGTAACCAACATGTATCATGATGGCAGGGCCTATGTCAGGGAGGTAGTCTGTACTCCATTTTGACTTTGCTCTTGTACAGTGTGTAAACAGGTGCGTTACCCCCCCCCCCCCGTTCAGTTGATCTGGTGACGCCTGTTGGGGTACTAAAGCGATCATTCCAATGATCAAATTTGTAAACGAACACAATCCGCCTTTTTTAAAGCTGCGTTAAGTAGGCAGGGTCGATACTGGTTATTTAGTATTATAAGTCGAGTATTGTAGGAAGGTCTAAATATAACTGTTCACAAGGATTTTTCAGTGCTTAATTAATTTGCCGGCATATTTTAATACACGAGTACGCTTTAGTATTATGATTAAATAACAGTGAATACGTATTCAGCAAATATTTTGTAAAGCATAAGTAGTATTGTTTATATATGTAAAAGGTATATGTATGTAAAGGAGGTGGGCGAGATAGTAACTTGGTAAAATTAGTAGACCAAAAAAAAAAAAATTATTAAATTATTCATTAGTATTTCCATTGACTTCTGATTTCTCTTGTACAACATTTTTGTGTGCAACTTTTTAGAATAAATTAAGATAGGATATCCGCAACCACATAATTTAGTCTGTTTTGCAGCTTTATGTAAGAGATTCATTCAAAGGATTTATGATGACTAGTCCAGCAAGTATAACATCGAGAGAAAAAAACATGAACGTTCTTTCGCCTTAAGAGGGCGACTGTTGAAGAACTGCACATAGTGAAAACATCATAGCATGCGAGGCAGTAGCACGTACAGCTACACACATCGTAGGCCTATATCGTCCCGTATACAAGCTCAATTATCATTAATAGGCACAGCTGCGAAATTATCATATACAACTATTGATTATTGTATTATAATTACGAATTACCAAACACATGTCATTCAGAGTCTGCCCCGTTTGATGTAATTCGTATATTGGTCAGAAATCACTGCAAATTCAGTTTACATCCGAGGCAGGGAAACTGAAAGTCCGTCATTGCTATACTGTCATAAAAGAACAATATTCTGAGAAGCCAGTTCGGTTTCGCATGTGAAATATGAATCATAATAAAAATGTGAAATGAAAACATACAGCTCCTGAGTTTTGATATACCAGTATTTTATGCTGGTTGTGTGTGGCGGTATATTTTATGCAGTGGTAGCTGTGTAATGCATTCAGTCTATGACGTGTAAGGATTGTAATTTCAATCAGCGCACAGCGAAATGGAGAGCAATGTCACCTTGACAACGATGGAGACACCGAGCTCAACCAAAGAAAAGACTAATTGTAAGTATTCATCAGTAATTTGCTCAAGTTTGTACAGACAGTTCATCCGGGAAATACCAAAGTTCGCTCACGTTGCCTCCAGTAATGGCGGAAGTATTGCAGCAGCTATTGTACAAATAACTGCTCCAACTGGCACAATGTTTCCTGCCGCCATTAAAGTGGGGCATCTCGAGTGAACAGTTATTCGATGCTCTGAAGGGATCCGTACAGTCCTCGATTATAAAAACAAAATTGAAGTATAGGGGTTCATATATTACATCGTAATATTATGCATCGAGATTGCATATGGATAAATGTCACGTTTACATGGTGGTATGAATAAAATGATGATTGAGAAAATGTAACGCCCATAAAAAAAAAAAAATTATAAAGCATTGGGGAAAAAATTGAGTGTGCATTGTGACCGCCATCTGAGCAGTAGCGGATCTAGAACCTGAGGGGGTTGGGGTGATTCCCCCCCCCGGTTCAGCCGTTGACTAATGTAATGATACCAGTATATACAATTGGGCCAAAAATAATAAACGGAATAGCAAAGTTCCAAAATGTATTCGAATGCAGGAGAAAACATCGTGAATTACACAAAAGAAAATCCGGGCGCAAGCCCCCGGACCCTCCAAGCAAGGCGTTCTGCAGGCCTGCACCCGCTTCATATCACCCCCTCGTTTCCTGAAAGAGGTCCGCCCCTGCCAAGCTCATTGTGCGAGAAGGATGCACTCTGAGCGAAACTAAGTTATTTTCACAAATCATATTCCAGAATTATATAAAACTTTTTATACAACACCTGAATAAATCCCCGTCATCTGATTGGTGAATTGTAGATCACGTGACATATTATTATTCGGTATAATGCAAGGTGCGACCATGCGTTATACCCATGCGTTATACCGTTTCACTTTGCGCTTGTTCCATGACGCGGTATTTGCGTGCAAAATGCATGCTGGTGTGCGCGTTCAGCGTAGCGCGTATTGTTCCAAAGAGCCAGCGCTACAGCGTTGGGTTCAAACATTTTCGTGAAGGGGTAGTTCAACATCTTTAAAATCAAAATAAATTGTAGTTTATAATTTACCAATCAAATGACGAGAATTCATTCTGGTGTTGTATAAAACAAATAACGAATGTTTTACGTTCGTGCGATGGAAAGAATAATTTCATTCGGTGACAGATTGAATGTTCTATTCCACTCGGCTTCGCCTCGTGGAATAGAACATTCAATCTGTCACCTCATGAAATTATTCTTACCATCGCACTCACAAACATTCGTTATTTGTATAATAACACCTCACCCACAGATTCTGTGTCTTGATTGGCCCAGAGCGAGTCACATGTTACTTTCTAATTTTGCTATCTTTCTGTGCACGGCCAAAAGTACTATGCGCATAGCAACCAAAGTACTATACCATTAGCAACCAAAGTACTATTTCCACGGCGTGGTATTTGTGTGCAAATGCATGCTGGTGTGCGCGTTGCGTGTTGTGCGTAGCGCGTATTATTCCAAAGAGAGCGCGCCGCAGACTTGGGTTCAAACATTTCGTGAAGGGATAGTTTTTAAGAGAGAAATACATTTTCCACCAATTTTGTATTGAAATTGAAGTTTATTTCAACTGTGTTCAGATTTAAATAATTTAAAATATTAAAATCAAGCAGAATCTGTGGGTGAAGTGTTATAAAACAAATATTGAATGCTTTATCTCGTGGTGAAGTAAAACTAGCCTCCCTCGGTGATCCATGGACCATTCTATTTTCCCTCGGCTTCGCCTCGGGAAAATAGAATGATCCATGGATCACCTCGGGAGGCTAGTTTTACTACACCACTCTAAGCATTCAATATTTGTATAATATTTCAACACACTATTTTCCTAGAAACAAAGTTGAGAGCATATATAGAGAAGCATACAAGAGCGTAAAAAAAGTACTTGTAACATTAACACAACGATCGCGATCACAAAATGTGTTTCGTTTTGTAGTTCGTTTTATTTCAAATTATGACATTGTAGTAATGTGATCATTTCGTTTCATTTTCAGCATGGTAAAAGGTTGTTCAAGCATTAAATTTGGAAATTGCATGGGTAATGAAAGAAAATGTTAATGAAATAAAAAGGTGCAAGTTTTCGTAGCCCCAACAGTCCTGAAGCCTCGAATTTTAATATGATTTTGCACACCCCTATAGGAATTAGGGCTAATTTTTGACGAAGCAATACGAAGCCGATACCACTGCTTCTAGTCTATTAGCGCTGTGTCACGTTATTATTGCCAACCGATTAATTCGGGAACCAGTCGAAAAGTTTCCGAATAATTTCATCGATTATTTTTCTTCTCTTTGCAGATTATCTGGCCATCGCCTCGCTATGCATCGGCGTCATCAACACGGTGGCCGTGATCGCCATGCTGATCTGGCTACGTAGGCATCCCAAACTCAGGTCAGGTTTTGTCCAACAAATAGGCAAACTGTTAGAATACCGACAAAGTCCCACAAGGCATAAAAGCTTCGTCTAGCAACACTGAGACTAATGACAGAAAGAAGAAAGAAAGAAAGACAGACGTACAAAATCATACATTAGATTGACACAACAGCACATATCGGTACACCCCAGTAAATAGGCCAAAATCCGTCTGCCGAGCTCATGAATACAAGTTATACATTCAAATTATTATATATTAAAGAGTTTGGAGAGCCACGGAATTGGGTTTTTTTGGCGACATTATGGCACTGCACCTCTGTCCTGGACTTGGGACTTCCAATTCTGAGCATTTTCTTTCTTTTCTCTTTCGCAGAGGTGAACCCAACTCGTCGAAGGCTAAGAAGGCCAAGCCGTCCTCGCCAAAGAAAATACTGACCATCGACTACCGCATGTCCGAACTAGACGACGAGTCTGAAAACTGCCCTCAACGGCAGGGCACGTTCGCGATTGGACAGCCTCTGCCGCAAGAGGGCGGCAGGGCCAGTGCCCACGTGCATCACCGTGGTGACGGGGAGGACAGGGATAACCCTTCGTTTACTGCAGCGCCTGAAATATTAGCCCAGTCTTCGGTATACGAGAACACGAGGTTCCCGCCTTAAGTTACATGAAAACCGGATGGGAGAAACCATCAAACTGATGGATTTGGAGTCTGGTTCCTCGGGCATATTTTGTTGCATTTAATTAGTTAAGAAAGAAAAAAGAACCTCGCAACCTCGTTCCCACGGGTGTCAAGCAGTACGCTCCCAGCACTACCTGCTCCCGCACCCTGGTATTAGATCATTTGCATATCCAAAAAGTTTCGATACATATGCAAATTAGGCTCGCTGTAGGCGAGCTGTTCTGGGCGCACATAATAGTATGGCGGTAATACTAAAATTCACATCTTCGTCACATTCACAGCATAGTATTTAATAGCTTGGTTGGAAAATCCAGGCATTGCAAGGCTTTGTAATGTTGCTTTCTGTACGTCCGTACGAACGCGAGTCGAACTTGATTAAAGGTTTTTAGGGACATTCGTATGCGTGGCGAAACAGTCGAGACCTTGTCTGGATACTCATAAGGATCACACAATCATCACTGTCCATTCAGATCACGAGTTATGAGTTCCTATCCCAGGGGCTAAATAAGGTTGGAAAAGAAAGTAGGCCCTGGGGACGAGGTTGCCAAATGTTGTAGAAAACCATTACTTACCTATCATGAATGGGTTTTTAATTTATCAACTGTTTACTCTTTTGTCGAAAGTTTCAAACTCTTGCACCCCAATTTGGACAGGTCTCTTTCATGGAAATGACAAATGATCGTCACAAACGATACCTTAAAACACCATTTAACGGATCTGAGTGTAAGTGGGCCGATTAATTAAACTCACCTTCATTTCAGGCACTTTCCCGCAACCTCGGTGCTCACTTGTTTCGCCTCCGAAACACACGTCATCAGATGCTTTTGATTTTGGACGCAGTGGATTGATAATTCCTGCGCAGGGGCTACTGCTTCAGATGACCGTTACTCCGCGTCAGCTCTTCCAAGTCATCATTTCTCTTAGACAGACGAATATTGCCTCTGTTATTTCTTCCTTGAAGGAAGAAAGCCTACCGTCAACTATCTTGTTAGACCCGATGGTCTGAAAGGGAGGTAGAAATTGGACATTGGCAAGAATTGTTTGAATGGTTACAGGCGCATATCACAGGTATAATGGAACGATGTCATGGCGGCGGCATGCGAACAGCGTCAGTGAAACGAGTTGCAGTCCTGCCGCGTTCTTTTTTTATAGCTTTCTATTCTTATTGTTATTCAAATCAGCACTTTGCACCTGTTCAAAATATTTCTGTTTCTTTGAGAAAATGTACTTGTTGGTGGCGCTATTTATGTATGACTGTTATAGACCGTTTTATGGTTTGTAAACATTGAGCGCCATTTTGTATGGGCTGCGGCAAGCGCATTAATTGACGCCGTGGTTGGCAACATATTTTGTTTCCAAATAAGTCCTGCTAGCATCCCATTACATATTAGAAAAGAGGCAGGCTTACGAAGTATATGGTTGGGTTTGTTAATTATTTCGTAATTTCAACAAAGCAAATGATATTTTTGTATAATCATTAATTACAATGCTTCATTTTTGCAGTGTTGGGCCTTCCATATAGTTTGGCAACCCGTGGTTGGACAAATGTGCCAACCACGCGTTGGCGATCAAAAAAAATTATATTACGAAGAATATTATTTGTGATGTCAAAATGAAATCCCGCCATATTGAATTGAGATTTGTGTGGTGCATGGAGCCAATTGCTTCAAATGGATTTTGAAATTATCCTCAATTTTAAATCATGTTGTACTGGTAGGAGAGGCCCTTAAAACGAAGGACATGTCATCATTATCAAGATGAAGGAGAAATTATTACTGAGTATAGTAATTAATCATGCTCAGCAATTTATTTCAGAAATTATTGTGAATACAATCTTGACCCTGTTGGCAAATTATTTAAAGATCATTCCATGTCAATTCTCGGTTTCATGAATCTTAAATGTATCCTGCAATATAGGCCTACAGATCATTCGTTTGAAATCATACAGCCTCGTTATAAACAAACTTATTACTTAATTTTTCACTGCTTGCAACAATACAAAATAAATGAACCAGAGTTGTGCTTTAAAGCGACATTGCACTTTCACTCCTTTCCTCTTAGGTCACCATTACATGGCGGTCATTTTGAAACAGGCGCATGCGCAAACTGCATAATGCTTAGGCGTGAACGCTTCTTCAGAAATAACATTACGTTTATTTTTGCTTTAAAAAAAATGTGCTTTTTGTGTAAACAAAATGTGAGTAGCTTTTTGCACCTTTTAACAAATTCCTCCAGAATAGGCCTACAGTTACACATTTAGCCGTTTCAATAGTATTTAAAGTTGAGTTCCCGACACGTTTCTCAAGTTGTTCATCATTCAGTAAAATCATTGCTTTGGAATACAACATTTTGTTCAGGCCCTAGTGCCAATTCTGCAAAGTGTTGGCATGCATGTAATCTGTATTTTTGGCACGAAATCAGTGATGGTCCATGCGTGCGAAGCTGAAGTTTTGCATTTCTTTTTTTGCAGCGAAAAAAAAAGAGCTGATTTTGACGTGAAAAAAAAATCACGTCCAAGTTTGAAGCACTTCACTGCATTAGTTTCGAAATCAAGAACAATGAAACTCAAATAACTTGACCGAAGCTGCTTCACTGAATTTGAAAAATAGAAGTTCCTTGATCTGATTTTTAACTAAATGCAAGAAACAGGTCATAAGCCAAAGGTTACAGCTCAACCACGGTGTCATCTTCCGGTCTGATCGTCACATACGGCCTGTTATTCCAGGCCGGCCACGATGACTTTCCGCCACTGTTGAAGGAACCCTTGGACGACAATCTGTCCGAAGCCGCAGCCGACCCGACGTCCGATCGGTCCTCGGGCGAGTGCGCCACCAACGACGCACCAAAACATGTATCCAAGATGGCGCCCTCCTCGTCCTCGCTGTTGCTATGCACAGCGCCATCTGCCGACAGCAGGACGTCAGGTGGGATGTTCCGCGTGGGGAACATCTCGGCTAGGACTTGGTAGTTGCCCCTACCGACCCCACTCTTATTCCGGTTATTCTTGTTTTTGTTCCTGCTCTTGTGTCTCCTTCCTGATCGGCCTACCGGTTTCTCCTTATCTTTAGGGTCTAGTTCCAGCGTGATTGTCTTGCTGGCATCTCCCTCGTTCTCTTGGAACACCCAGGCGGCGCCGGTGCCTGCTGAGGAGTTGTCCGTATCCACCTCGCCGTAGTACTCTTGAAGATGTAAAACTTTCTCGTAGTTTGACCTAAAAAGAGAACGCAAATTCAACCGTGCTATTGAGCAGAACTTCTACACCCCATGACTTCAATAAACATGTTCAATAGGGTGAGCAATTTGGGGAAAAAAAGCAACAACGTCATGTTTGGAGGGAAAAAAACATTTCCGACTGGCTTCACTGGTAAATTACAACACAAATTTGATAAAAAAAAAGAAGAATCCTGTTTAACAACGTCATTAAAAACTCACAATTTGAATAAATAAATAAATAACACTAATAATGGAATTCTTCACAATTAAGCTTAAACCTTGTTTTCACTACAGTATTTCGGTCTCAGGCCGAAAAACTTCATTCGACATTTTTTTTTTACTGTCTCATGACTTGGGGCAGTCAAGTTGACCTCAACTCGACCCTAGCATTTCCCACAGTTGTTTTGACACTGAGCGACCCCCGAGGAATTCAAGAGAAGACCAAAAATGTCAAAACACGGATGTTTTTTCAAGGACGATGAGCAGATAACGGGACTTATTTTGAAAAGAATGTCGTTTTCACTTCAGTATCGTTCTCACGGGAATGACTGGGGCTGTTTCGGTTGACGGTTAAAGCCAACTTTCCAGGTTTTCTTAATAGAGCGTATATTCTAAGTGTCAATCTAGTTGGTTCAAAGGAAAGGTTTGCCCCCTTTTGCCAGTAAAAAAAAACCTATTTAAGCTCGTCTCTAGGCAACTGTACTTCCAAATTGATGGTTTCCTTATTTTAATTTTTTTTTTGGAGGGGGTCCTTTTTGGGGAGGGGTCAATGGTAAGAGCCAGACAAGAAAAAAGAAAAGTAAATACTTGATACAAAACAATTCTTACATTAAAGACCTATCTGTAAACTAAATTAATTACCTCCGCTAAGGAGATTATGTTTTCGTTGGACTTTGCTGGTTTGTTGGTTAGTTGGTTTGTCTTTTAACAAGATAACTCAAAAAGTTATGGACGGATTTGCATCAAAAATTGTTTAGGGGTGGTCCTTGGTACAAGTACAAATCGATTATATTTTGGAAGTGATACGGGTCTGGGTCTGGATCCAGGATTTTTTTTAAAGGATTCTTTCACCATTTTTGCGAGTATTTCTTTGGGGTGTACTGACAATATGGCGGGGAATTGTTTAGCCTTGGCGGAGGTTTACGCTCTCTGAGTGCTTTCTAGTTTTGTAATGTTTTCTAAAATTAAAAATGCTAATAATCCAACGGATGATGCTGTCATTTTGAAACCGCAAATCGGATCAGCATTTCAAGGAAAGTGTGCGACAAAATAATCTGTGACAGGAATTATTCAGTCAGCACCCCGCCACAGATTATGACCGAGAAAGCAATAAACAGCACAGCCTACTACAGGAATATTAAATCTGATGCGAGCGGTCCGGATTTATCAAGTTACACGTCGCATTGAGTTTGCTTTTGCTCTCGATAGAAAACAGGCTGGTGTCATTTTTAACAAAGACATCAGACACCTAAAATAGCGCATGCGCGCTAGCATTAAAGGGTCCATGCAATGATTTTTTTCTCGGGAACGCACTTTGTGCAACTTTCGACTCCTTTTAAATGTATATGGAAAATATTTGACATTTTGTTTTTGTTTTTAAACTTCTTTAAACATTAAAACATTTCCATGCTTTTCCGGACAACTGACGGCCCTGTTGCTGTGATGTCATTTCAGGAAGACACGGTTCAGTGTAGGTTTTTTTTTTTGGTTGTTAAACCAAAATTTGCTCATTGAAAACATTTGTGAGAATGAAAAAAGGCTTGCTTATTGGCTTACTGCCATGTATTTACACAACAACGAATCACCAAAGAGAAGAAAATTTATGACAGTAAAAAATCTAAAATTCTGGCAACTTTACAATATGTGCTGAGCTGCAACATTGAGGTTTCTGTTTGGGTCATGTTGAATGTACACAAGACCTCATGTATTAAACGGAATTATGTTCTTGTTCATTAACATATGATTTACTGGGTACGTGGCCCTGCGTAAAAATGTCAACCATCGTTTTTCGGTCTGGTGGTTCACAACAAACGTGAACTTGGGTTAGATTATAACGAATTGCCTGGTATCGTACAGGGAGTTGCATGCGTGTTTGATAAATGTTTAGCCTTGAGACGCGTCAACTGGACTGCCACTCCATCTACGACAAAACAATGATGAATGAGGGTCATGCCCCTGACCTTTATCTTGTAGCCTTAAAGCCAGTCGTTCATTTGTTAGTTTCTACCTGATCATAACCGACACCACTTATCTTTTTTTCTCAATAAATGAGATAATTTTGAGTGTAGTTTTCTTCAACGGACAAAATTATCGCCAGGGCTGATATGGACAAACAAATGATGTGAATTTTATCACAGCCATTTGCATCAAGAGAATCATATTCCAAGTTAGTTCGTCGCCACTTTACCCGCGTGTATTTTGAGAGCACCTCACGCGGTGCGCAAACAGCCTACGGTACGCTAACCTGAAAACGTGAAATCAAATTAGAGTTGACGTGCTATGCGTCATTCGATCAGATGCAATGTAATTCAGTGGCGGGAGTTAACAGAAAAATTGTACTGACTTCTCCAAATGTTTACGTACTGAGGCTACGTTGGCCATTTTTGAAACGTCGGTCCTGATTTGGAGTCTGGCTAAACGATTAAAGACTTGTGGCTATACAGGGTGAGTCAAAAAGAAAGTTACCCAAATTAACGATTTTTGTTATCTTAAAAAGTATTACTGAAATTTATCCATGCTAACGGTAAATGGTGTACAGCCGAGTTTGGTGATCTTTTTTTTTTATTGAAATAGACATTACTTGGGAATAGAGTATGCAAATTACGTGAAGATTTTCACAATTAAAAGTCAATAAGGTGTACTATATCCCTATGTTTTTGTGTGCAATGGAGCAAGCCAAATAATTTTAAAATGTTTTTCAAATTGGGTAACTTTCTTTTAGACTCACCCTGTATGGGAAGCTGCCACTGGACCTGAACATTAACAGAAAAGGTTGTACCTTGTACAGAAAAATGAGGTCAAAAGCACTAAAAGGGCACTTGAGCCGAATACAAAGCCAGGTTTTCGTAAATGCCCTCCGTGACACACAGTGTCAACTTTCAACCATGTGAACAAACTCAGTAGCATTATTATTATCCCTTCATTTTGTCGGCTTTTCTTTGTCCCCAAAACGGATAAGTATGTTTGATATTCTCCTGTGGCTCTCACTAACTTAGCCTTGTCATTTTTGATAAATGATATTTTAATGATTAAATATGGACTTTATTATTTGCACACTGTTTTGTAAACAAAGCTGAATTATTTGCACTAAAAACTGGAGTGCCGTTTATGAAGTGTTGTATTCTACATACAAGTGCACGAGAGTCACTATATACCCTGTTTAGTACAGTTGGGCGAATGCAACATGAGAATGACGCAGATATTATCCCAAAATTCGAGATGGCATCCATCAATGATTGCATTTCCACACTAGAATAAGAAGAGACACGCCCATCTTCTAACTGACCAATCAGAGTAGGAGTTGCAAGTTCTCACTACCAATCACACTCGTTTATCCATGACTCTTCTAATGCCAGTGGGGTTTGCGATGGTGCATAAACGTTTCTGTAATTGGTGGACTTACTTCTTTTTCTTGAAGTTGTAGTATCGACTGTTCGCCCTCTGTTTCCTCCTTTTAGCGAATCGATAAACGATGGCAAAGATGATGAGGATGGCTACTAAAGCTCCCCCGATAGAGCCCCCGACGATGAAAAGAAGCTTCTTTAATTCATCTGAAAAAAATTCAAAAGTCAAAAACGAAACATTTCTCATTTAATGTTTGAAACTTTACACAACTATTTCCCGGTATTGACTTTAAAGGCGAGAAAGACATTTATTGCGGACGTATTTGAAGTCACACACACTTACCTTTCTCACGGTCTGGGTCCAAACCAGGACCACCACCGATAGTCGTGTTTCCATTTGGCGTAACATATTCAACCGTTTCTTGCCCGTCCGTAATCTCAAGAACAACCGTTTCCAAGACGACGACCACACTTGTTTCAAACTCGGTGGAGGTCACCGTCGGTGCCGCTGTTGTCACTGCGTTCACTGACCCGGAAGTGCTTCCTAAAACGGCGCTACTAGTTTGGTCCCCTTGCGGCGTGGTGGCGACGCGTGTTGTTTCCGGCGTGGGAGCAGGGTTCCAGGTAACATCGTGGATGACGTAATCGGCAGGTGTAACAGTTTTCAAACTAGTTGAATTGGTGGTAGTATTCAGGGGCGTGGTGGGTGCTTTTGAGGGACCAATAGTTGTTGCAAATGTTGATGTTGTTGTAGAAAGTCTGTCTACAGCTGTTGCGCTGCTTTGCGTTGCAGGTAACCTAGTTGTAGGAAAGTCTGATGAAGACTTTGTAGGAATTATGGTTGATGGCACAGAAACTGTCGTGCCCAAGTTTGCAGGACTAGGAGTTTCTGGGGGTAGGCTATTGGGTTCTGGGAGCGTTGTAGCGGGGCTGTCGCTTCCAGAACTCGATGTTTGGGGCTTTAGTGTTCCTGAAGATGTCGATCTATCAGCGTTTGGTGGTTGGGTGGTAGCAGTCAGCGCCGCAGTTGTGTCAGCCGATACGTGTATTATAAAATTGGCACCTGCCATTTCAAACAACAGAAAGAAAAATTATCAATTCGACAATAAAAGAATCAAAACAAAAGCAACCCCTAACGCAAAACATTTTGATAAAACTTCATATCATTTTGCCATCATTTTTTAAAAAAATAATCACTTTTCACAAGAGAAATTGTTTTATCAATTTAATATGAATGTTCATGTTTTGACTGCTATGGGTAAATTGACAATTTTCGAAATTAAAACAAGACATAATACAATTTTTTTTAAAGTTGAATTTCCTGTGCTACTTATTTCCTGACGTCTACTATGCTACTACATAGTCGTTACTATGGCAACCACTGCTACAGCGCGTTACATTTAGCTGTCTGCTCATATGAACCATTGATAAGTTACAATGCCGAAAGGAACACAAGGTTATCTTATCAAAACATTTTTGTGCAAACAGAGCTTGTTGCCCGTCAAAGCGACGGATCGTTTTCAACAACAATGCGTTTTTGTGACCTTTGACCTGTTCGTTATGATCTTGTTGCACTGGATTTATACACATTAAAATGGATACAGTAAACAGTCGTAATGTCGTTTAAATTACGGAAATGTAAATTCTGGTATCAAAAGAAATGATCATTTATCAAATATCGAAAGAAACCAGAAACCAATTTCTACAATCTTAAGGAATTCCGTGCGTTCTGTATTTTGCATTTTTAAAAACTTAATTAAGCAAAGTAAGTGATTGCCTTTGTTCAAGACTTTTAATAAAAATACTTCATTTAAAACAAAACAGAATAATAACACACTAAGTTCAACTAACTTTCGGTTATATTTTATGGCTGTGTAAAGAGTGTTGGGATGGGATTCGGTTGGTAAAGAAGTGGAAAAACATCAGCGTTATGTCATTTACAGTTTTACATGTACAGTAACACTCTAATCAACAAAGAAGCAAACAAATAGACCAATAGATAATGCAAACCGAAGAACGTGGACACCAGTATATTTTTAAAAACAAATTATATAGCTGCCAATGGTTATACAACCGTCAAGTTGAGACTGGGAACAAAAATACTCTTTTCAAAAGGGTAAACTTGACGTCAAATATGTCCTTACGTAAGTAGCACGAAGGAAAGGCGTTCGCCAGAATCTGACTCATCAGCGGGGAGCATAGGGCTAAGAATATACCCTGGAGCACACTGTCTAAAATGATATGAAATTACCCTCAATAGGCAGATGATTTATCATAATCAACGAGGCAAAGCTGTTTGCGTATCTTACAGGAAGGCCATTGGACTATACGAATTTCCTCCTCTTGAGATCAACAAGTCAGGAAGATACTTGTTAATTAATCAACGATGGTTTCCGCGTTGCGGTCCTGTGTGGGATGATGAGTTAATCTTGTCCCGTTCATCACGGGTTGCCGGCGTTCGGGTTCTTGTTCAATAACAGGTGCCTTTTTGGCAGGTGTTGTGTTTGTTTTAACCCTGAAAATATTGTGTGGGTACCGTATTGTGAGCTACGTGGTAGTTTTATGAGAGTTCTAATGTATTTTGAAGAGCTTTGAGGACAAACTTATTCGGCCCTCCTTTTCCAATAATTCTCCACTCCCGGCAAAAATGGAACCCCAAAAGCTTGCGCACAATACGTTAATTCCCTCGTAGACCAGGACAACAGCACATTTTTGACAATTTTCATCTATAGGCAAATGCACAAGTACACAATACTTCAAAACCAAGAGAGCTGGATGATTTTGGGCCCGTCAGGGCACTAAGGGCATGTACGGATTTAGAGTTTCTATTCCAAATTGTCAGCCATGGCTTGTACGTACATGTACATGCAAATGTACCGGTGACAAGTGTACCTATTGACATGCTCTGCTGATTTTCGTCGGCTGATTTTGGTTTTTGGCTTACACTTTAACTACTCCGTATAGAGAACACCTTGTTTCCCTTTACGCTCCGGTGAGGTGTATTTGCAATTGTATCGAGCCTATGGTTTAACAAAAGACTTATATTTTGTCTGTTCCCTCGTTCTGCGAGTCCCACGGGGGACAGACAATGATGGGGCTCTTTTGTGTGTAAACAAAGGGAAATACACAAATACAAAATCGGTACCCTTATTAAAATTATCCGACTTAAAAGAAATTGGTTTCCAAAAAACCGTAAATTTTCCGTTTTTACTGCACCAACCAGACAATAACTTGGAACTGGTCAAGTCAAATACGTATAATACTGTTTAAGGTTTATGTTAAGTTTTTTTTTCCATATCGGCCCAAAAGTATACAAATACGAACACCACACTATAAAATGATGAGTTTGGAGGGTAAAGGATTCGTTGTGAAGTGATGTAATTCTGATAAAGTATACATAAAATGACGACAATAAATTTATATTTTCTTTGATTGTCGAAATTATTCGGGCTGCCAATGTATTTTTAAAGTTTGAAGTCAATAATTGCATTACGAAAACAGATTGACTGACATTAAGATAAAAATAGAATATCAGTGGTAACATTCTCCTGTTGTGAATAATGTCAAATTATTGACCATATTAGGCCTCTCGTATGACTCCGTACTTACATGTCCAGAGCACCAGGACACATGCCAAGCCCCTCCCGAGGCGTTCCCGGTGGTGCGCTCCGCGTGCCCGCTGCTCCATCCTCGCTTCTCGTACTCGGTGATGGTACTGCGTTGAACGTGGCTTCAGCTACTCCCCGGCGAACTCAGAACATGCAGATTTTGTTCAGCTGTGATGTACCGTCACTGCAAAACCTTGGCCCATGCTACACTACTTGGTCATGTGCACATACTGTTCAATCATGGAGCTAGTCACCCTGCCTACCTGCCTGCCTACGTGCTCTGGGTCTTATCCTACGCACGGCCACCGATATTAAAGTCTGTGTAAACAGTTGCCGATGTTTTCCATTCAGATACTTTTTTTCATGCCGTTTCAGAATCACAATGGATGTGTGAAATTCAGCTCCCGGCTGCCGATGTGTTTTTGCATCCGTGTGCTGCTATTTCTCCAGGTGATGTTGGGTCTGCATGTAACACAGTCGTACTGGATTCCGATAACCTCCGTGAACTTAGTGCAAAGTGCTCGCAATTCAATCAGTGCTCCTCTCATTGCAGATTTTGTTCAACTCCGCAGAGCGTGCAGCTCGTGTCAGCAGCTTCGGATGATGTGCTCAACGTGGTGAACTACACGGCGAGTAAATCGCACTTGACACTGTTTGTTCATTTGTCAACATGAGATTTACTCATAATGCCTCGGCCTCGTAACTGTTTCCGGGCGGTGAAAATTGAATTAGGTCATAAACGAAGGGTACCAGTTGGGCTAACCGCGTGCTTGTCAAGCATAGGGATTGTGATTTTGTGTTCTTAATTGGGCAACGCGTCTTCAAAGTGTTTTAAAGGGGTTATGACCCGACTTGGAATAATCCCAACTCTTCCGCCATGGTTTCACAAAGCATCTGATGAGAAACTGAAAAGGACAACTCTGACATCTCCATCACCAACTACTACATTCATTGTGATCGCCATGTATACACTTTCCATTGCTTTTTTTGTTTTCCAAATCGCCCCGAGGCAGAGACCTTGACGCCAACCTTTCATTGCATGAATTGTATTGAGCCCATGTCCACGGCCACGTACAGGTTATGGTGCCTATCCCACATCGAGAAGTGGTAGATAAAGTCAAGGCTTAACCCCAGGGACTTGTGTTAGCATTGGCAACAGCTGAGAATGCTTTACTGCATTGCGCGAACAAACTACCAACTTTCAAGATGCAACGTCGTATCTATTTTGCCTTTTGGCACGGGACCGCCATGTTGAAACCAAAGCCAGACTACACATGCAAAATAGACTCTTTCAAGTCGTTGCTGTGCAAGTTTTTAGCAATTACGTAATAACTCCTCACAAGAAGCCTCTTAAAAAAGCTATTGTCCTATCAATTAAAAATTATATTCTTAGTAATGCAAAAATGTAAAGGATAATTTTGGCGCACTTTACGGGCGAAACTACATTGTCAAATTAAACAGCTCATTTAAGATTTCGATTGAGAGTCGTTCGATGTGTTGGACAAAGAAAGTCAGGAAAAGGAACAAATGTTTGATTAGTTTTGGTGGGCAATTAAAGTACAAGTACTAAATGAATACAATGGCCAACTTTGAGTTCAATCAGAGAGCAACATGTGCCAATCGTGTTTTTTTTTGGTCGAAAAATACAGTTTTATTTAACAACCGGTTGAAAATAAACCACAGATCCATTTTAATAGATTCACTGCAACTTTTTCACATTGGAAATTGCGGAAAACATGCTTCCTAATAAATTCACATTAATTTATCTATTTTCGTTTCAAGATAATGCAAGTTGATTTTATTTTAAAAAAATGATTAAATCCTTATCCGAATAATTATTCACATTTTAACACCTTTTATTTTAATATGCTTAATCGGAATTTAATTATTATTGATTGATAAAGTTTTATTCTGTTTAAATAATAATGTTTTTCAGAAAAAAAAGAACACTATTGGTGGCGTGAAATTAAGCACAAAGCTTAACTGTTTACTACATTTATTACTGAAAGCAATTAAAACTTTAAGAAAGACGGATACATAATGCATTTCTAGAAATATGCGATTAATATCGGCAAATAATAATACAAACATTGCATCTTTAGGAAAGTACTGAAAAACAGATATACGCGAAAGCAATTCCTTATTTGAACAAACATTTACACTGCAAACCCAAACAATGCTAAAAACGAAATTGGCGACTTGTTAAATAATGCCTGCTAGTCTTCTGACATGATATGATAATTATTTAGTGAAATGCTAAGCAGAAACAATGTCTTAACAATAAAACAAAAGTAACATTGAGTGCAGTGTCGTGCCAGTGTTTGCGCATGCGCGCGCGTTAGTAATGGATCATTTGCATTCATCCCACAAAATACCGAATCGAGAAAGCAAAAAACCGAATCCAGAAAGCTTAAAGATCGTACTGGTACTAAACACCCCGTGAAATTATTCCATCTGGCTTGCTGTCATTAAGAAGAAATCAAGAACTGTAGATGAATTCAATGATCAGTCAATTGACTGCATTTTCGGAAACTAATTCAGATTGCTGTGGACGAAATCGTGTTTTGTGATCTAAAGGTTGTTGTAGGCCTACATGGTTTCGCTGATTCGCTGTTTTTTCTCGAAATGTGTAATATCCACTGCGCTTAAACTTCAACAGGGTAGGCCTTGAACATTCTTTGGATTTTGAGTGGTGTTAATATTGGAAACGAACACAATGCATGAAAAGCAAACGATCTTTTATGACTTTCAAATTTTGCGTTGTTGTGATTTTTTTTTAGCATGCTGCTCTTTGCTGTGTAGAGGATATCGTGTGCTTTGCCATGCCAGCGATAATTAACTTGGCCAAGATCATGTCCACCACGAGAATGTGGCAACATGGGGCCTTCTCCTGCCAAACATCTGACGCCCTGACACCGTACTCATACTGTGCCTATCTCTAGAGTCTCAAGGGCTCCGTCGATGTCATTACTCGTATACGACACCCCACTTTGTGGCCTGATGTTGCGCCCCTTACCGCCCTCACTTTCACCCTCCGCAGCGCCCTCAGTCGGCTCAGCGATGCTCAGGCGAGCCGGTGAGGGCATAGTGGCGGCGCCGTTCTGGTCCTGGCCTCCTTCTCCAGCCGTTGGTTCCTCCCCGTCGCTGACGTTGCTGAGGGCGTACGTGGGGTTCTCGATGCCGCCCACGTGGTACTCGGCGCTGGCGGTCCCGGGCCCTGTGCTGAATGTGACGAAGGCTAGGTCGTCATCGGCGTTGACGCTTGCCGAGGCTGGACGATGCATGGACATCCTAGCCTTGGGGTCCAGTTTGTCCATTTCGTCCGGGCCGAAGGGATTCCTAGTGCCGCGGCCATCTTGGGACTTGCGGCTGTGTATGGCAGGACATGAAAATAACGAAAATAGTTAATAATCCTAGAAAACAAGTTATTCCGCCGTGGATGAGCTCCTCGAGAACTGAACAAAGAACAGCGCCCCGTCGTGCATGGAATCGATCAAATGTTCCCTGCCAGAGCTAAAAAAATGCGACGCCGAAAAATGCGACGCCGATGGCACATGTGGAACACCATACTTTTGATCAATTTTCCGGTGACAGATATATAGACAAACAGACAGACCATCGGACCGACCGACCACCAAGTGACATGTAGAAGCTCCTGCCAGAGCTTAAAAATGACAGTTTAAAATCATCACATTTTAAATTGAAGTGGACACCTGAAATTTCAATAAAATATGGGAATTCTACAGGAGACGGCGTACTATTAGAGCACCCTTAATCAAATATGGCACAATGGAATTGTAGATCTTACCTTCGAAGGCACCAAACACCGATGGCGAAGATGATCACCAACACGACCAGGCCCGACACGACGCCAGCGGCAATGTACACGGCCAGGCTGACTCCTTCTGATCCCGATCCTGGAAAAAACATGAAGGGACACAACAAGGGTTTTCAGACTCTGTTTGTTTTGACAGGCAATGATTAACATCAAACCAGTCACAATTCTTTCTTTGGTCTTTTGGTCGTTACCATTTGGTATATGATTTGCTTGTAAGCATAATTGTGTCTTAAAGGGCGCCACATATTATTCTTCTCTTTGGTGCTAGCACGTAACACGCCTTATTCGGTGAAGAACTTCCCCAAAAATACCCCAAATAGGTCAACGTCTATAAATGGGCTAAGAAGAGACTCATAATAACGAGAACAAAAACAGAGTATAGTGATGAAGAAGCACACACACAAATTGGAGTAACTCTGCACCGTATTACAATACAATGATCGACACAATGGGACACTTTACTTTTCCAAACTTTTATCAATGGATGACAGGCGCCCTCTCTCTACGGCTTTGGATGCTGAACTTTCTATTGAACAAAAACAATTCAGGTTTTACCTCCCTTGGTAGTCTTCATTATCGTCGCCAACGTCGTCATTAGCCCGCTTGTCGGCTCTGACGTCACAGCTTGCGTCATTGATGACGTCATTCCTGCAGTTCTAGACATCTCTGTAGGTGTGCCGCCTCCAGCAGGCGTGGTAGTTCCTGATTCGGTCGGCATTTGGCTCGGCGGAGCCGTCAATGACACTGTCGACCCTGAAGGTACTAATGCAGTTGTCGACCCAGGTTCTGTTGCTGTCGCACCAGGGGCTGCTGCTGTCGATCCGGTGGCAGCAGGACTCAATGTTGATGCTGTTGACACTGGTGTCGACATAATCGGATTGGTGTGATTGGATGTGGCAGGTGCTTCTGTGTTCACGTTCGACACTGTCGACGGTTCGATAGGCTCAGCTGAACCCATTACTCCTGTAACTGTGGTCGGTGTCGACATGCTGGCACTGACTGCCGGACTCAGTGTTCCATTTGTCGCAAGAAGCGACTGGACGGAGAGACTAAGTAACACAAGTTGAGCAATCATCGCCATCTTGATCTACATGTTCGATTCCCAGGTTAAAAAAAAAGAAAGAAAGAAAAGTCCTTCACCAACTCTGCGAAAAATTACCCGAGGCCGAAAAAAAATACACGTTGCAATTGATGCTTATGCTCATTTTGTTTTAAAAGCAAAATATTTCGCAACAACAAAACAAATCTGAAGGCGCTGTCAACAAGATTGCTCAACCAAAACTATTATTGGTTTCGATATTTCGAAGTTCAAAATAAACACAGGAAATGGCAGCTGCGCTTATACCGCAGTGCATTGTCATGTGGTTTGTTATTTTTACGCGAAACAAAAACTGCTGTCTAATGTGACAAAATGGGAATGACTGGTTTTAAAAAGCGGATTGTGTCAAACGATTGGCTATAAAATGTGCATATTTAAGTGGTTAATTGATCGGAAATCGATTGATAATTGATTGATTGTCCAATCGATCGGTTCATTGATTATGCGGTTGTGACTTACAGACCGGTGACGAATTGACTTATCCACTGATATTTGATCTATTACCAATTTAATAATCTTCCATCTTATCGACCGATTGCTTGAATTAATGATTGATTTGACGGTAAGTTGATGTGCTAATACATGGATTGATTGCCGATCGATCACCCATCTGATCAACCGAGCGATTGGGTTTATTGATCGATTCGTCTGAAAATTGACTAACGTATGATGACTAGTGTATTGATGATTGGTCGACTGACCGATCCTAAGTCAATAATAATCGATTGATCGAGTGATTGGTTGATCATTCAATCAGTTAATCGATCGATCGATCTATCCAAATATCTTCCAAATCGTATACTCCAAACAAAACCGACATTATATTAAACCCAATTGTTTAGATTCGTGAATAAAATGAAAGTTAAATACCAACCAGTACAGACTGCACTGTATGTTATAGAACCTTTGAAAACATTGTGGCTAGCCAGACCTAGCTGCCTACATGTATGTAACCAGCGCTAACCAACCCGGAAGTTGAATTCCGTTGTAATGTATGCTCACTTTTGGAGTTTCATTACAACAACTATATATAGTTTCCTGATTGTCGAAATCTGTAAAGGAATATAACAGCTAACAGAAAATGTGTGCGTGTTTATTGAGAAAATGACAGGGTAATTTTAGAAGCGAGAATTACAATGACTACTTACCGGTGAGTCCCCCGTGGGTTACAGGTGTTGGAAGGTGCGGTAGGGTTATATACGAGAACTGCACCTCAAACTTCCTTGTCATTTAACCTCTTCATTAAAAGCAAGAGGAACATAAAGTACTAGTGCAAGAGCAGTCTGTTTCACGTACACATTTCTGCAGTTCGCGTAGAGCATGCTAGCGTGGGCTCACCTCCCCGCGTTGGGAACTCATCGAGCCGTGCAGATCCAACGCTTCCCCAAGCTAAGCTAGCGTGGGAGCGCCACCAGCGTACTACACAACGCGGAAACGCAAAAGTTAAAAAATACATTCCTTTGTGGCGGGCGCCTTTTGTTATTCGGAATGGCTTTTTGTCGGATTACAAAGAAAGAGAAATATGTCGTGGCCTTTGGTAAACCCTGATGCTTTAGAACCGCGCACAGGTTTTCGACAAAAATATCTGTTGAGTTTCCCGTTTGCCAAAAGGAAACTATGTCGCCAACGGGATTGGAATTCAGACATTACACGTTTTTAGTCTCCATCGAAAGTTAACATCAATTATGTTTTCATTTGGTTGTGGTTTTTGTTCCAATTGAAAAGATAGATCTGTCACCGAAAACCCCCTGAAAATGACCTTATTTAAAATTCCATTTATTTATTAATGAATCACAATGCTGTTTCGTTTTGAAATACAAGTCTTAAGGATTGCATATACACTGATATATACTGATCACTTTAGAGTGACATCGCCCTCTAACATAGGGGTGTGTAGTCTTTATAATCAATTTAATTTTTAAAAGGTCTCATGTGTGCAAAGGACGTTTTTCAGCGACATGCAAACATTTACAACGTTAATTCCAATTTATCAAGTAAAACTTGGAAATAGTCCAAGCTCTTTTTAAAGAGCATTATGTATTATACAATAAATCTCATATTTTCATTTTTACAAAGTTTTGTTATGTTCACAATTAACACAGGAAACCATGACGGCTATAGCGTGTGCACTCGCTGTCTAGACTTGAAACCAGCCGCCGTTTTGTGGCAGCCGAGTTCTTTCAAGGCACTGCCCGTGCCGAAACGTTCGCAGGTCGAGCCAAGACTACTTATATCGGAGGTCCGCTCGTAGATGATGTTCTCGACCCAGCCGCTGTCGTTCTGGCTTATGCTGCCCTCATCGCTCAGACTTGGGTAGAGTTTGTTAATGGAGGACGCTGTGACGTAAGACCCCCCGGCGAGCGTGATGTCACTGCCACTGCTGCTGCTGCTGTCACAGATGTCCCATGTCCCCGTGCATGTCGTGGTCAGTGTCGTACAGTTGCCGATACCCCCGTCCGACATGTCGCCGTCCATGTCCAGGTCCGCCTCGGTGATCTCGGCGTAGATGCTGGAGTGGAGACTACTGTCGCGCATGCTCAGTCGGGACAGACAGCTGGACAGGCTCTGGATGCGCGAGAAGCTGGTGTGTCGGTTGTGGTAGGCCAGGCGGGGTTGAGGGCGCTCTTTCATGATGGCCATTGCCGACACGGAAGTGGTTTTGTTGTAGGCCTCTTTGTTTTTGATTTCCTCGTAGTCGTGGCTAAAATTGAACCTGCGGTATCTGCGGAAAATAAAAAGACCAACTTGAAGGAAGGTTTCCCAAAAGTAAAAGAGTGATAAGAGTCAGGTCAAGGGTCATGCTCTCATGTTTGAGACGAGAAACTTCACACTTTCCAGGGCTAGAGTCTCTTACCGCCTCCTCTTTCTGTTAAGCGACAGGATGACAAGCATGAAGATGACGAGAACAATGACAAGCAGGCTGGATGACGTCAGTGCCAGAATGAAGCATAGTGAGACGCCCTCATCTTCCGACTCTGCACAGGAAACAATAAACGCCATCAACGGCGAGAAAGTCAAACAGGTGGTGTAAAAGTGCCAGGCTGAGGGATAATGGGGCTAAAAAAACATGTTGCTAGCACGGAGGACAACTTGAGGACAAAATCTGCTTAGAAGACGGACCCCAATGAAATAGGAGTTTAGGACATTTGGAGAAAGTGTGAAGTCCTTTAAAAAGTTTTAATATGAATTTGATTACCCTTAGCGTGCACGCCATCTTTGCTATTCTGCTGGCCCCCTGCGTCGTATGGCGGCGTCACACCGGACCCTGACGTCAGAGCATCACTCGCCTCGCCATGTTGGATTGCGGACGAATTCGTCAGTGCGGAACCTGCGGGAAGAAAACCTGGGAAAAAATCCAGGCGTTTAAACGGAGTGATGAGAGACAGGCTAAGAACCTTTACAAGGACGAGCCTATAAACTTCAGTTTGACATGCTCTTGTCACTTACCGTTCACTGTGGTTGGAGGATGAGCTGGATAGGAGTCTAACGTGAGGATGATGTCATCGACTGCTACACTGCTCTTTGCGAAGTACCCAACCTCAGCCTCTATCACCAACTACACGCGTTAATTAAATAAATAAAAATACGATTAAGACTAACAATGCGATTTCTAAACCATAGATTGCTTGATGTTCCATTCTAAACACATTATGTCAAAGCTTGTGAGTCATTAAATGATTCTTTACTAAACTTTTAATTGAGTCTTAATATGAGATAAGGAACTGTTTCGCTGCAACATATGTTTTCAAAATATTGTTAGGATTTTAGGATTTAATTTTGTGTGTGTGTGAGAATCAAGAACATCTAAGTTATTAGATCTTTGAGAATGACAAGTAAAGAGACAAAAATAATACGATGTCCAATGTCACGCACGCCCAACGACCCCTATCGATACCTGAAATGGCGCGAAAACATCAGTCTTTCCCTCAAGCGTGGTCCAAGGTAGTTCAGCCTTCAGCCGCTCGCCAACATGTCGAAAGAACGGCTGGTCGTCGCGTCTACTCCCAAACACCCTGGTGGCGCTATGCACGCTGATGCGAAGGCGGCTGCCGTCTCCTTCCGTTTTAAAATGCTTGAATTGGAGACTAAGCAGGGACGGGGTCATGACCTCATAGATGGGCGAGACTAGACGTGCCAGGCTGCCGGGCCTTAGGCGGGTTGTGTTCCGGTAAGCGCGAATGTAATTATCTTGATAAGGAAAACAACAACCACCGAACTTTGAAAAATGCATCAATGTTATGGTTGTCACTGCATGATTGGATAAAAGAACCGTTTGTTGTTCAGCAGAATGTTATACCATTTTGCGACGCCAAGAACATACATTTTAAGACTGAAAAAAAAAACACCATGAATTTGTATCTTTTCTCTAAACTATAGTTATATACTGTATGAACGCGTGCATTAAATTCTCTACCATCAATGAATTCAAAATAATTTTCCACAAGCTCCTGTTGCTATACGTTACGCAATGCCCTCTCTATCGAAATACACATTCAATGGTCAGAAGGGCTGCAAGGGCGCCCTGTACAGAATTATCGTTTCGTTTGCTGTTCTGATACAAATAATTATATAGGTTTCCAACCAAGTTAAATTGTTCTGTCTATTTTTTACTTTGGCAAAGAGCCAAGCAAAACCCACACACCCATGGCCTGGAAATGAAAATGGCCCAGGTAATTGTTACCCCCCACGTGGATCGTTTGGCGCCAAAAATAGCCTCTCGCTGTCAATTTGGCGCGTTTTTCCCCCCTAGGTCGATCAGGAATACAGTGACACATTCACATACTTGGTTTGTATAGCGGAGATAGAGAAGCTTCCTCGCGGGCCATGGACCAATCGAAATCGTCGGTAGCATCTTGCCGGTAGCCGCAGAAGTCGCGCTGGAACTTGCAGACTACACTCTCTGCAGGAAAAAGAAAAGAAGCATGGATGAGATCGTTAGAAATATTAATTTGTAAATAAACGAAGTAAGATACAAAGTAGAAAGAGGCGGCTTCGTTTTTACCAACCTTTTTCAGACATGCTGGTCATATATTCAATCGAAATGCAGCTTCAATTAATCATGAGTCACTTTGAAATGAATAATTTTCTAAATGTACAGAGACAAAACGTCAATACACATGAGCTTACAACCTTACACGGAGAAGAGGTACAATTTGACCCGTCTCGCGATTTCAGAACTAAAGTTCGTCCAAAGCCTAGCAAGACACACGGTAATAATGCTTTTATTCAGACGCGGTTCTACGGGAGGGGGGGGGGGGGGGGCTAGGTTTTTCTTTAGCCCCCCCAAAAGACACCTTTTTTTAGCCCCCCTCTAAAAAAATGCAAAAAAAACGGAAGGAAAAAGATAGCAACGTGACGTCACATATTCGCTATGGCCGGCCAGGCGCGGATCAGGAGGGTGGTGGTTTTTGTGTCAACCCCCCCCCCCCCGTTGAAAACTGTTGACATTGTATTGATAATAAAAACGCACGTCCGCATAACCATTAGTGAGAGGGGGGAATTTGTACACTATTAGGTGATACAGTGTGCATGATTGTAATTTTACGAGAGTAAAATAAGCCTTTAATCTCTTCTGACAAGAAGCAATTTAAGAAGCGCCCTAATATAAGCCAGAGTTTCAGGGGCAGCCATTTTGAAACAGCATCGGATATCTTTTGAGGGTTTTCACTACGGCATTGCTCGCTAGTTCGGCAAAGTTAAATTCACTTCTCGTCGGGGCAACAACGCCAAAAGTATCCGAAGTTGTCATCTTGCTGTCAAGCCGCCCTGCTGCAGTTAATCCATCCAACCTCGATCCCGCGTATAAATCCAGGGGACTAATAATGCATCAAGGACTCAATTACAGTTCCGGTTAGACCCAAACCGGTGCGCCATGAACTAAACCAACTCCACCTTGCCAAGGAATTGTACCTCAAACCGAAACGTCCAATCGGGCCATTTCTTTTTAATACCCAAAACGGAGGGTGTTATTTATACAGCTCTCTTCTTTCAAATAAACCAAACATAGTTATGTGCCAAAAGTATATAATGAACTTTGTTGTCTATCCCCAAACGGGCTATTTTTGTTCCAAGATGTTATCGAGCTGGGAATAACCCCCTACTGTTATTTTGACCCACGCTCCCCAGGGACAGAAATCCGATCATCTGGTTAAGAGGAGGACTGGGACAAAGTCTAGTGAATTTGTCAGATTTCCTGTGATTCATGATTAGCGATTAGGGTGCCTTCCGCCATCTAACAGGTACTAGACTCAGTTACGTGGGGGAAAAAGGGGGAAAAGTCAAGAAAACTCCGAAGTGTATAACCGGTAGGGTTGTACATGAATAACACATGTATCACTGATCAGAAGTTTCTTTTTAAGAAAATAGAACATTTCTGTTACAATGTGCCATTTTGATGGAGGCCAAAGATCTTTCAGCGCTCTTTTGTTTTTGAAGTTCACACTTAATGAATATTCATTAGCTGTGATGCCACGAGGCCCTTTATTAGCGTCCTCCTTGATTTGAGGAAACAAGTTCCCAAGGTTGGTTTTCCTGAGGTCAATCCTCTGTTCCTTTAAAAGACAACTCAGCATTTTTAGTGCTTGTTAACGTACAATCAGACATTTTGACCCATTTATTTAAATAAACATGACAGTGGTGAAAAAGAAATGTTGATATCTTGACTGAAAAGGCCCGACTTTTCGATGTAAACCGAAATTTTAACCGATACGCAAATTTGAACTGACGTAACTGGATAATGTGTAAAATTGGCAAACGATTGCATCGGTCCTTGTCCAAAATATTGGAATTTATGCCTAACTCATCTGCTGCCGCCAACGATTCCAAAGTGTGCATCAAGATTCGGGAGACTGTTTTTCTTGAGAGTCAAAGTAGCCGGTAGAACTACCGGACATGTTTTGTACTGTACATACAATCAAAACAGTGACCAGACAAGAATATTCTTGACTCCGTCTTCATCTTAATTTTGCCTAAAAAATACAAATTTTGGGCAACGATTCCCGGCCCCCGGCTTACCCCCATCACCCAGTACCGTGCCTCGTATTTCATCGCCCCCGGCGAGGCCTCCCCTTCAAGTCCAACTCCAAGGTCGCGTCATGAAGAGATCGTTATGCATTGCGCTGCAGGAGATATTACAGTACCACCGGAAGGTATGATTCAACCCTCGCCACAGACCCCCCCACACCCCCCCCCCACACCCCCCCCCCCCCCTCACGGACACGTGTTTCTGATCTCATGTACAGTAGTCCACTATTCAAGGGCTAGACCCTCCTCCCCCCTCATGCATAGGCGTAGCCAGCGGGGGGTAAGGGGAGTATTTAACCCCCCCCCCCCCAATATTTTGTAAAGGCTGCCTTTTTCCATTCAAATGCCCTTTTTTTTAACGGGCTTACCCCCCCCCCCTATAATTTGTAAAGAGTGCCCTTTTTTTACGAAGTGCCTTTTGTCTGAACAAGTGCCCTTTTCCAAAAAGAAGTGGTGCCTTTTTTGTGGCATCTGCCGTTTTGGGTGCCTTTTTCAGAATTTCGCACATGTATCGCCCTGAAATTGATGTTACAGAGGCCAAGTGTCCGGAGAAAAAAACCTGTCTACATTTCACAATGGATGTACAAGTGCCCTTTTCAAAAAAATTTACCCCCAATAAAAACGACCGTGCTACGCCCCTGTCATGGACACGTGTTTCTGATCTCATGCACAGTAGTCCACCATTCAAGGGTTTTAAAATTCAAGATATCGCCGTCATAAGTCTTTGATATTCTCATCTTCAACGAAAATCCTCCCTTACTAATGCGACACGCGAGTACAGGTATGACGCTTTGATTGATGGCGAACACACCTTGGGATGCATTTTTTTTGATACACAGAGAAGTGAGGTGACTAGAGAAGTGGCCCAGAGGAGAACCAGATCCGTTAACTCTTGGATCGACTCTCTGAAAATGATGTCCTTAAAATGTTGTCTAAAATTGTTACTGGAACTCAGAAAATTAACAAGATTGCTCACGAATCGGAGACTACATACCCGGAGGTTGCAAGCTTCGGTTTCGTCGAAACGCATCAAGTGTTTTAAGTTATTAACTTATCCTAGTTTCGATGAAGCTGGTAGGAATCGTTTAATACCCAATTTGTTGGCAATTTTTGGGGACTATCGAACTCATCCCTCAAGGCGTTGATGGCTCCAGGCAAAACATGAACATGTCCGAGATAAGCAGCTGACGAGTCACGATAACATAATTCTGCCAAGAGGACAATCCGTCATGTTTCCGAATCCCACCCACTCAGAGACCGATTACCAACACCCCTGGAGCCGATTGGAAATTAAGGGGACACCCTTTTTTAACCGAAATGGGTTTTTGAAGGTCATACAAAAGTTTTGTCAAAGTAGTATATGACAGTAGTCATCCTAAGAAATTAGGGATTTCTGATTGTGAAGATTAACATCAAAGTCGAGTTGTGCGTATTTCTGTGGGAGCATGTTTTTCGCCCGCAGACGATTTAAAGCCGCCGACAATAATGCCTCTGTTTTGGAAAAAAAGGGAAAAATAATAGCTGTAAGTTCCTATTTTTAAGTTCAGATAGTCTCTTGGGAAAGTCGCAACACAGGATGTGGTCGGGTCCAGTCACAAGTCCATCACAAGTCCAGTCGCAAGTGAAGCGCAAGTCAGGTGAGTTCAACACTTGTGATGAAATTGCAAGGACATGTGATGTACACGACTTTATCCCTGGTCGCAACCCCAAACCAATTCCAGAATGCTGATATGGAAGCTAGTTTTCTGCTAGCAGTGTACACCCATGTACAATGTCTCCGTATTAACGTCAAAGCGTAGGATAACATCAAAGCGTAGAATATTGGAAGTTACGGGGGCGTGGAGAAAGGAGGAGAAAGGGGAGGGTCACCCCGACTCAATCATGGTTTCTTCGGTAAGAGATTACAGCTTCTTCAAAGCGACAGTAAGTCTGGATGATATCATCCTTGTCATGTTTACCACGAGAGCTATATACGGAAATATGAATTACTAGCGCATCACTGACCCCGAACTGACCCGAGGATTAAGACGAGACGCTTGGCTCACTCCGCCGGCCAGACGCGCTCAAGACAGGGGCGAGTTACGCTGTGAAATTAGGCTATGCGTAGCTTCGGGATATTGAAGGCTGTGAGATGAAGAGACCAGATCGACACACGCAAAATTAAGAGCAACAAAATATTAAAAGATTGGATGTTTTCAGCGCTGTCCTTATATCGAAATGCAATCAATTAACGAAGTCCCGTCGAGTCTGCGAACTTATTGGTGGTATATGTGCAGTTATTTCTGGAGTAATTGGCAAGGATCGCTTCGCGATGCGACCGCTAATCCAGGGAGATGGCACTGTAGGAAATGATGGTTTAGATTCCGGGGGGGGGGGGGGGGGGGAATGAGCTGAATCCCGCGCGACTATTACGAGCCACGCAACATTAAAATGTGTCCGGCTTGGCACCCATGACACCGGGAGCAAACGGGCAAAAAGACACACCGTTCCCCAAACCAAACAGCCCCGGAGGAGTATAAAGTGATTCTTACTAAAACTTTAAGTACACAGAGCTTTAGGGGAAAACCTTATGAAAATTGAGGGGCCGGAGAGTTGTGAGGAAGGATACAGGCTTAACAAAACTGAATTTGTGGTTGAACTGTTTATTAGTTCAATCTAAAACTGCGGAATAATAAAGTACAAGATAACACCAACAGTTTAATAGTCTTTGTAAACCGAAACTTTTCTAACAAGGAAACAGAAAACAAGCATGCAGTGAACTAACTATATTTTTCTCTTTCAAATTTGTTAAACAATTCTACTTACTTGTCTCCACGCCCTGGCAATATTGCTGATCCAACGCCCTTAGTACAGCCCAGACGATGAGCCAAACGTGTCTCGAGTCCATGATGAAAACTCAAGCGTATCCGAAAATCACATCGCAGATAGAAGATCAAATTTGTTCGGCAGCTCTGCGAATAGCAATCTCACAGACCAGTTGCCGTAAAGCACCGGCTCGATCAATCAGTCCAACACATGTTTTTACCCTCCGGATTCATGCTTTTATTATCCATATCGTGCAACGCACTCGACCGCTGCTGGACATTATGATCGCTGTGCCGAGTTACACCGTATGAGTGAGTTATACCCTTAGTCTTGGACAAAAAAATATTAGTCACAGCTACTGCACACCCATGTCCCTTTCCCCTTGAAACTATGTTCCAGGTCGCGTATGTGTCACTGCACCGTGCCTGCTAGCAAAATTTCTCTTCTCGTTTTACTTTTTTTTTTGGAATATCGAGTGATCTTGTCTTGGCGACAAAACAATTTCGACTTCGTTTTATTTCGAAAGCGAAGATATATACTTTTTCTTTGGCCGAGAAACTTCAGTCAAGCTTGAATTTCATGATTACAGGATGGATCCAATTTGCCCGCGGCATGCAATACATCCAACTGGCAGATTAAGAGTTTAGTGTAAAAAAAATAATTAATTAATACACCTGTTATTTTGAAAAGTAATGACAGTCAGCTAAATGTCACAAGAGGGCGCTGTGCACGTGACATGCAAAGAGTCGGTAATTCGAAGTAAGTTGGGAATAGTGTTATTAAACGAGATTCCCTGATTATTATTTAAGATTTTTGAGGTCAAGGGTCAATGATCTAAAGCGCAGCCTTGAAAATGCAAGTCGTAACCACATGAGGGCGTTTTTTTTAATATTCAAAGCAAGCTCCTTCCTTGCGCACAGGGAAAGAACAGCTATTTTGCATGCACACGAGCCTTGTTGTCCCTGGACAAAAAAACTACTGTTCAAAATCTTTAGAGGATTTTCCCTTCACAAAAAATGAGCTTTATTCCTTTCATACAAGTTGATACATTATTTCGAATGAAAGAATGGGGCAAGAAATAATACTAAGTTATAGAAGTGGAGGTATGCAAGGACTTCGTTCAGGGGGAAAAAAAGTTAGTTGTCATTCATCAGACGACAAGAGTGGCAGCCATTTTGTCACTCAACCTCTTTCCCGAAGGCCATTTTTTATTGCAATACGGATATGACTCATTCTTCCAAGCCTTTAAAGTTTATTTTTTTTCCCATAGAAGTGCATCTCATTAAAGGTGAATGGAACGGTTCAAAACTAATAACTTTACTCAAAAAAGAACTGTAAGATACGTAGTGAGGAAATTATTTTTTATTATCGTGCAAACCTAAACGTACCGCCTGAAAAAAAAGGCAGAGGGCGCTGTCATTCCCATTTTTCACGATAAAAGTTTTAAATTAAATCACCGTTCTCTTTGATATTTTCTTAAAATAAAGACTGAATGATTCAGGTCATCAAAAAATTGCAAGAATTAGAATAAACACGTTCAATCTTTCTTCTTTACCCGAAAAAAACATTGAAGAGCGCAACAGCGCCCCCAACGTCACCCAGTTTAAATCTTGAAAAAGCCTGTGATATCTACTTTAACATTCTTTAATAGGTTTACACCACGGGAGTGCATTAAGCTGCTATGAGGTCAAACAGTCTGGTTGCAGAGCTTTCTTTGAAGATGAATAAAAGTTTCAGGGTAATTGTTAGTAATCAAGTTGTCTTGACCTGCTTCCTGCCTCTGCCTGAGGGTACAGGTTTCAGAAAAAGAAGAAAAAGAAGACGACATGCACAGCACAGCATCTCAAGACGAGGTTCAAAGTGTCTCCTCCGTGTTTGGAATCCAGGGGGCAGTGCCAGGCAAGATTTGTGAAAGAATAAATCGAGTGTTTCGTGCCTAGGAAAACGCAAATCTTAAATAAGGTTCAAAAATGCAGCTGACAATTTTGTTTTTACATAAAGTTTGAGCCAAAATGATGTTGTCGCAAATGCACATGAACAATCCATAATGTGCATGGTAGCTCTGAGATTAACACTGTCCTACTTTCACAGAAAGAGGGCGCCTTTCACATTGCTAGACAACAAGTTGTGATCACCGACATGCATTTTTTTGGCCAGCAGAGCACGTCAGAGTGATAACAGTATACACGCGACATGATTCACGGAAGCCATTTTGTGTCCGAGCGCCGGGAATCAATTTTCTACGTCTTTGGTCTCCTTCAAAGAAGCCCATCCGTATTTCCTGACTCAAAACCAATGTGGATTTTGGCTTAGAAGCCTGTTGTTCAGCTTACGGCTATAACAGCATGGCAGATCATTATCCGGGATTAGGGACTGAATCCAATAATCCAAAGAAAATCTTATATTGGGAAGTGATGACGGCCAAAGTGTCTGCACTTCAAAATCCTCCCAACTCCTCCCAGAAGCTGATAAAACAATCACCGTCTGCGGAAAGATATGCATCGCTGATGTTCCTCATCACATTCTACTCGGTGTCTTGTGGGAGTTATTGGTAAGACGGGGCTTAGTCAGGGTGGCACTAATGTGGATACCAGACCAGAGATTGACCCAGTTTGCGCACTAGCAAGTGTTCTTGGTTTATTTGGATGATAGTCAGCTAGGCATGAGTTCTGATTCGGTGTAAGCGTCTGATGTGACGCTCTTCAGTCGGGCCTGCCTCAAGCTGACTTGCCTGCGTGCTCGGCTGGAGCCGCAGTGGAGCGTCTCGCGCATCTTGGAGCGGAAATTGTCCGAGAGGAAGGCGTAGAGGAACGGATTGATGGCGCTGTTTAAGAAGTAGGCGAGATAGGTGAAAGCTGTGATTAGGGCGCCCGCTACGGTCTGGTCACTGAAGACGGCAAAAATGCTCCAGACAAACATGAGTTGGAGCGGGAAAAGACAGAGAGCGAAGCAGACCACCATGATGACCAGGAGACGGATGACCTTGCGTCGGGCTTGAATGACGGCTTCGGCGTTCTTCTTGCGCTTACTGGGAGTCTTCTTCATGCATTGGCGGGAGACGGCGTGGGGGTTAGCCCGGGGGTAGCCTGGCGAGCCCTGCGCGCTGACCGCCGCCGGCTCGTACTTCCGATTCACCGGCCGCTTATCCCCTTCAGACTTGCTATTCAGGCGAGACTTGACACCACCGCAAATCCTCCCAGGGTTCAGATACTGAGAAGGCTCTTTGTCGGTATCTGAATTGCCTGAGGCTCCTCTACCGTCGCCGGCGCTTGGGCTATGATCACCACCGTTTGATGTAGTCTGATGAGAGTTCAGCACAGTCTCGGATTTCGAGATTTCCCGATGGGATCCGATTCCGTTGGAGTCGCTACCGGGTTTCTCGGTTTCGATTCTGAGCGCGTCTTCGCGAGTCGGTATCGATTTGTCGCCGCCGGCGCCGGAGCACAGCAGTATGTCGTTGCAGGAGTTCCACAGCACCGTCGTGTTATTCGATTCCTCGGTTTCAGTTTGCAGGATCTCGGTTTCGTCCGGGTAGTCGACAAAGAAGGGGCCAATCTTATCTGGGGCGTCGCTGCTGCTGCTTGAACTCATTGGCTCACTGTTGTTGTTATGACGGAGCAACGTTCTCCGAGGTGTGTCCTCACTGTCACTGTAACCACTGGTGCTGTCCCCAGGGGGTGGGGAGATCTGTCGACCGATGTGTATCCTCAGACCTTCCTCAGGAGGCACGGGGCTTTTGTCTTCCACGCTCGAGACAGCTTTATTCCCTTTGTAGGTCACTTTCAGATAAGCTTTGGTCTTTTTGCTGCCTTGCCCTGGTAGGGCAGTAAGAGGGCCGTTGCCTGTTCGGCTTCGCTGCCACAGACCCTTACCGATTCTCGTATACAGCACCAGCATGATCAGCAATGGCACCAAGTAGCAGACAACCACCATGACAATCCCGTGAGCTTGGGCGCCATTTTCTACAAAGTGGTAGTGGGCCCCGCAGTAGACGTTCTCCTCGTAGGCGGGAACCAGGTCGTAGGATAAGAACATGGGTAGGCTGATGATGATACTCAGCCACCAGATCACCCCCACGACGCCAACCAGACGCTGGACTGTCAGAACCCTCTTGGTCTGAAAGGGGTACAGGATGACGATGTAGCGCTCCATGGAGATGGCAGTCAGCATAAACACCGAAGCTGTGGTCGTCATGGTGATGGTTGCCTTGTGAGCTTTGCAGATGAACGCCCCCAACGTCCAGGAGACTTGAATGAAGTACATCAGGGTGGGGATGATACAACAGAGCGTCACCAGGAGATCGGAGACAGCCAGGTTCAGCAGGAAGAAGTTGGTGACAGTGTGCATACTGCGGTTGCGCACAATGACGTAGATGACCAAGAGGTTACCGGTCAGACTAATGACGAACACGGGGACAAAGGTCGCAATCAGGATGTCCTTGACCGGATGTAAGACATACAGGTCAACCATGGAGCTGGAGTTGTTGGTGTCCATGCTGGCATTCGAAATCTCTGAAAAAGAACAAAGTATTTTTTTTATTTCTCAATTTTACTTTATCTTGGACATGCTTCATCTGGGAGAAAACAATTGTTAAAATCGATCAACAGCGCCGCCAACCGTCCTTCACAAGCTCTCGTCGAGTAGTTACAGCGCCCCCTTTTGTTAGTCGAGGGTGGACATTGCAGCGTTAACTGGAATTAGTAAATCCAATCAATCACATTTCCTGAAATACAAAACACTGAAACATTTCCTAAAAATTATCTTACAATTGGAAATTTTCTGTCGAGTATCGGGACAGATTGAAAAGAGAAACTTCTTCCTTCAACAACTTAGCCGTGGAGTGAACTCGGGTCATGAAAGAGACGAATCATCAGCGACAAGATTAATTACTGAAATTCAAATACTCCCCAAACCACTCAAACATCCATTCGCAAATTTGCAACTTCTCTGATTTCAGAATCCAAAGAAGGTAATCTGAGTTTCAGGATGGAAGGGGCTTTCAGAAAAACAAACTTGCATGCCCGGTCGTGTTTGGTCTCAATAGCAATCTGAATTTTCCAAATCTGTTAAATTAAAAAAGGAACATTTTATCTCTCCCACTCTTTAAATTTGCTGTGCGCTGGTTCAAATATTGTTTTTCTTAATACTAAGTAATCTAAACTAGCATTTAAAAGTAATCCGATGAAAGTGCACACTGTTGGAGACGGGAAAGCCAATACAATCAAATATTATTAAATCAGACGTAAATGTTATTTGCTTGTGGATAGTAGGGAGTCATGCGTTGCGTCGTGAGGATGGGATTTCGGCTGATAGGGAGAATGGTGTTACTTACGAAGGGGTGGATGTTACATCTACAGTCATGGATTGGTGAGTGAACATTAAGGGCCGGGGAGAATTCAAATACGGATCAAAATAAGTCTGGTTCATAAAATAAACAACACGACACCACACGAGCAAGCTTTATAGTCTGTGCAGCCCAACACTTTCATCATATCGATTTCTTAACTGTTCTTTTTTACCCTTTTTTTTTTTTTTTTTTAAAGAAGGGAACACTCTTACCTAAAGATGACCAAGTGTGTTTCGAGAGCTCAAGAGTCAATTTTTAAAAATTATTTTCACGATTGATCTCAACAGTTTTTGTGTCATTTTAGTGGCGGACCAGGGGTGGGGTGGTTAGGGGGTTCAACACCCCCCCCCCCCATTTAGCCGCTGACTTATGTCATGATATGCCAGTAAAATGGGGCCAAAAATAATACATGGAATGCTATAGTTCCTAAATATATTCTCGAATTGCCGTAGAATGCACGAGAAAGCATCCTAGATTTCAAACTTTTCCAGGGGCATGTCCCCGGACCCCAATTGCAAAGCGTGCCTTCAGCACTTCACTCAACCCCCTCTCCCGTTTCCTAGCTGAAAACTAGATCCGCTCCTGTAATTTTAAAATGATTTATCGCGCAGTCAGAACTTGGGGGGAAAAACACAATCTCGTCCCTTTACAAAAAAAAGTAATTGATATACTTTGAATGAAGCGCCATACCAAATCAAACAATGATTGTATGAGTGCTGACCTGTATTACCAGTCACACACAGAAGATCAGAACCTTTCGTTTATTGAGTTCTGCCTCGGGCCGGCACATCAAACAAACTGCAATGATTATTTGTAGCTGTATTTTTTCTCTTTCTCCAACTAAATCAAGATTGAACTATTGGACTTTGTGGTGATTCTCGACGAAATGGAACTGCGGCCCAATATTGACTCTGCGTGCGTACGAATTTTTCGCACTGAATTGTGTCTTCAGTGATATGTTGTTTCGATGTTTTGAGATCCGCGTTGATAGAGAGAGATGTATGGATACTGTGCGTTCGGCACACTTGTTTTCACAATGGTATGTTTGCACAGAGATCCAGGTTATTACTTTTATACGTGAACAATTTTATGTAGCACACCCAACAGTGCGAAAAGCTTCGGAATTACGCTGGCTGCTAATGATTTTGATTCTCATAATAAAAATTAATGGTTTCGTAGGAAAAACGGATCTGTGTATAAAATAGGTTATAGGACTACCATCATTTTACCTACATTACGGACTATATTGAGACATGCGCAGTATTTGCAAGAAGCCTGTTCCCATGTTGACCAAATTTTACCATTATACATCGGCCTAAGGCCATTTTGGGATCTGTGGCTCCAGCTCTGACTGAAAAGCTGCGTCGAGTCTGAGAAACCAGATGGTGAGATTAACATCATGACGCCGGTGCCCGAAGTTGACTTTCAAGCCGAGGTTTGAAAAATGGCACTGGTCTTTGTGAAGAGGGAATCTGGATCACATTCACTTTTGCTGTCCCAATTTATCCTCACTAAAATTCGGACATCTGCCCTAGGCCGATAGCAATTACGTTACGGAAATTAAAAACATGGATGGTTCCCAAAAATGTTTGGGTGACATATTTTTGTGACGCTTCCCTGTCGCACAACCACAAATTCGTTTCCTAAAATTCCAAAAGACGAAGGCTGTCTGCAATGATGTCTCCAATCCTTTCACCAATTTCCGACCCATGATTTTTGCATCATACTTGAGTAAATTTCTCGGCTCCCACGACACTCATTGACACAAGCGAGCCGTGTTTATTCAGAAAACATCGGCGTGAGGGATTCCCGTCCCCAGGGGAAATCAAGAGACACCTCGGCTGGGCGAAGGGTGAAGAAACTAATCTGGGGTCTTTGGGAACGAGGTGCATGCCCAAGGCGCGATGAGTACATACCGACGACTACAAATCAAACATGTGGAGCCATAAAATTGGTGGAATAAAAAAAAAGGTCAGAATAAACTTTGTCGTATACTTTTTAAACACCGAGGCATTTCGAGCTTTCCAAAGCTGAAGGAGGCGGGGCGATTGATTCCGCCTCTTCAGATCTCCGACATACAATAACAAAATTAATTTGATATCAATGCTTAGTACACAGTTTAGTCCCAAAGATAAAAAACCTATTGCAGTCAGGGTAATAAATGACATTACAATCTTTAAGTTTGCGCTTTCTTTTGCGGTGTCGGAGTGAACCTTAACATTACACAATATTTTGTGAAATTTGACATTCGTTGATAAAGTTGATGAAGAAAAAAAATCTCAAAAGTGTATACTAGAAGATTTTGTCTCAAAGAAATCTTGTTGAGGCTACATAGCTCGGCTCGGGTGAAAACGACGTGATGGCTACATCGGAGAAGAGTGGTGGTAAATGTCGGCCTTCGGCGGTTTTAGAGTAAAAAGGGCCAAATACTCAAGAGCTTTGGATGTCCAAGTTTCAAGAATGGACCAGGGGAATGTGCCCCCTTTTCCAGCAATTAAGAAGTCTTAGCAAAGCTGCTACCGAGTAAAGGCGGGAGCGGATAAGAAATAGTGACACAATGGCGAATTTTGGGAAAGGGTGCAAGTCAGAAATTTGCAGGTTGAGTTTGAGACCGCCCACGATAATTGACAAACCAAGGACAAATTACGAATTGTGGGCACAGTGAGAATCTGCCAAGAATCTCGTCTTTGGAAAACGAAAAAGAATGCGAGTTTGAAGGGATTTAATTCAGGCGACGGGCAGCCGTGATGGCTCAATAAGACAATCCAAGACTGTTCTTTATTTACGGAGAGCAACCCACTTCAGATTTGTAAGAAACGGACTCCGTCACTCCGTGAAAATACGGACCGCAAACAGAGTGGCAATCAAGACACTTGAGGCTTTAAAAAGCTAGGGAGCATAATTCATTCTATACATGCTGCCGGGTGTTTTGTTTCGGAGGAGCAGAAACATCTATGGGCAAATCCCATACAAGCATTGCACAGTTGTGAAATAACTTGTAAATACACGTTTTGAAGGACGTTGAAAGGGTGGTGTACGAAACTGATTGGGTTGTGGGAATTTGAAGAAGCAGCTTGAAACTGAGAAAATAATAATAATAATAATAATAATAATAACATCAGAGTCTTATATAGCGCACGTATCTACCAACAATTAGGTACTCAAGGCGCTTGAAATTATGTCTATTGATAAAGAAAGGTAAATAAAGTTTATGAGAAATATGATACCCATTATGGAGCACATTATAGGGGTTATTACTGCCAGAAACACCGGGGCAAACCCCTTCTCTTAGCGATAAGTGTCACTGGGTTCTTTAACGTGCATTATAAACACACGGGACCCACGGCTTTACGTCCCATCCGAAGGATGGGACAATAATGGTAAAGTGCCTTGCTCAAGAGCACAAGTACCATGTTCCCACGGTCAGGATTCGAACACATGTACCACGGCACACGAGTCGAACACCGTAACCATTGGACCACAAAAGCCACCACAGTGCTTGGTCAGTCTATAAAGTTTCCGTTTATTCTTTTCGCATATTATCAAGATTCAAGTTACAGTACGTATTATTCCATGATTTCATCTACATACCCTCTCTGTTGATCTCGATGTCCATTTTCCGTCTTCAAAACTTGACGAATTCTCTATTAAATCGTTAATATTCACAATCACCAAGTACCGAATACTCCAGACGGAATGTTCTGGTCGTGACAAATCAGCGAGTCTTCTCATAAAGTGGAGGATAGCAGGGGAAGTTGGTGAGTATGACGCAGCATCTTTAAGAGCAACCTTTCAGATGTCTGTCTGTTCGCTGAATGACGACCACACACAAGCAGCGAGCTACTAGCACTGCGCACACAGAGCGCTTACATGCAATGTACGATGTGCCGTGCTTCTTTTGCTGTACGTTCCTGCACGTACGTGCTGCGTGCGCGTGGTTGGTGACGAAGATGCCGATGAACGATTCTGAGTGCAACAGAAAAAAAAATAACCACAAGGTGAAGACGAAAAAAATATTCAAGATGTTGGGAAAGCACGGATGCGTGAAACGACAACCGAAGTGGACCGGCTGAGACGGTGCAGAAGTTAAAGGGGGGAAGGGGGGGGGGGGGTTGAAGAAGGCGTGTTTACCGCGATCTATATTGATCTAGGACATCGATTGTCGGGGAGTTTACAAGGCCCATGCACGAAACAAGAGGTTTAGTCTTAGGGTATTTAGAGCGAGCCCCTCGGGTTGCGGAAACCGCGCAAGTGCCGCTGAATCGCCTTAAATCGCTTGACGTGATGCGGGATGACCTGGGCCGTAATCCACTGCTTAACTACTAGCCCTTCTTATCATTCTGGTTTACCCCGGGAAAAACAGCGAAGAAGCAGAGGAAAGATGCACACAAAGAAAAAAAAACGGAACCAAAGCAGAACAGATGATAAAAAACACAGGAAATACTTAACGGTTAGAGCCTTTCCTGCTGTAGCTGTAGCGATTGTGACCGATTTCTGTTTTTCAAATCTCGGCTCTGTCCTCGGAACCGGCTCTAAAGTGCACCATTCTCAGTTCTGATATGCCAACTCAAGCTCAGTTTTCTATCTAAAAACCATGAAATTATGATAAAATGACGGCAAATTGTACAGCATGTCGTGGTTCCAGCACTAAAGGCTCTTAAATCTTCTAAAGTCGGAGAGATAAAACCAAGGTTTTGTAAAAACGGCCCTCAGGCGTCCAGTCTTTTCACTCCGGCTTTCTGTTTTGCCAGGGAACCAGGCTGGTTCGTTGAACTAAATCAACAAAACCCGACGCCAATACTCGGGTGTACTGCCCGCTTACACAAAAAAATAGCATGACAAAACGAGTGTCAACAGTCAGAACGGGTAAACTACTCTCTTCGAATGAGGTGAAGAATACAAAACGAATCAGAGTGTGCATGTGTCGGCACGACCAAAATGTCAAGTGACGGGAACACTTTACAGTTTATTAGCAGTGAAAGTTCAGGCCGCTTCGACTACTCAGAAATTCACACCTCCTTGCACCGAAAGGTTAACATAACAGAATGTTTACCTGAACGGAAGCTTGGCGATGAAGCCCCGAATGAAAGATGACAACATGTCATCCATCTTGACAGCAGTTCGAAACTATCTTTCTGATGATCTGCACATTATTGCAACCAACAAAATGGTAACTTAACATCGTGACATCAAATTAAAAGTCCATTTTAAAAACAAAAGAATGGCTTCCGGTTTTGTAACTAGAGTCCTCAGTTATTATTGTACACTACATGAATACTGTTCAAAAAGGTCTTCATTAATTTATGAGCATAATATTCTATGAACTCAAAGAAACAACAGCAAAGCTCAAGCTTTTTCACACGCAAGAAAAACAACATGATCTTTTCCTGAATTTTGAACTTTCCTCCGTAATGAGTAAGTATAGTAATGGTCGCACAGAAACCTTGTTTTAACGTAAAAGCTGTATATTTGGTTTAACACCCACCCAATGTTGTTACATGTATTGCCTCCCATCCATACATGTCAATAAAAATCCACAAAGTGGTGTACATCTTTTAGGCCATCAAATAAGCGGCTATTAATTTCTTTGAAGTGCGCATAATAAAATCGATTCCAATTTGAGTCGGACAGGCGAAGTCTGAGTGCGGCCTTTAGAAGTTTCTTTCTGGGTGTCGGGGGTCGAATCGATGGGAATCAATACACGAAAAGCGCAAGAAGGAACCACACATGCTTCACTGGGCTAATTGATTTCAACTCTTCCTTGGAATATAATGCACGGCGTCCAACACAAATCATCTGAAACAGACCATGTAAACATCCAAGGTTCCTAAACGGGCTGCCAAATCAACATTATAAATCGCTCCCTTTTTCGACTGCGGGTGAGACACCTTAAAAATGACGATTGGTACAACGGTGGGACGCCACAAAGGCAGTAATTGTCAACGCGATTAGTTCTTTCATAAGTGTCCTCTCGAAATACCGTACAGCAAATGAAGCTTGTGCGGCCGTACAATGCCCTATAATCCCTGAGGGACAGGAACTGGCATAGGCGCAATCTCGTCCGGAGTTTGAATTTTACTCCCTTTCAGACGGAATACCGTGACTTTCAAAATAATTTTGCCTTAAATTCTCCAATAGGCCCTGTCCCTATAAGGGTCTGGTTCAAAGACAAAGTAAAACAAGTATACTTTTACGCAATCGATCACAGTCATCATGGTTGTATAAGGTGAGGACTGAGGACACGGCAATTTTGCTGTGTCATTGTGGCTTTTGGTCAATTGAAGCTGTCATAGTGTTACGGACAAAAACTACATAGATCACGTGGTAGAATTTGTTTAAGCCTAGATTCGGACCATTAGAGGGCGCACGGAATAATAGATAATCCGCATGCGCAGTCAGTGTAACGTGCATACAACTGTCCAATTAGCATCTCATAAATTGAACGTCAGGTATCCTGACGTGAATATCAGTGTTGTTGCACGTTTGTATCTAACTTCAGGGATGCAACCCTGTAGTAAAATTTCCATAGACACCAGTGCTAAATGCCCATACTTCAAAATTCTTTTAAAAATACTCAGAACTCTCACAGCAATTTAAGCTGCACAGAAAAATGATGATCAACATGACATGTCATCTTTCAATTTCTTTTCATTTTTTGGTGGGTTGATCGACCATTGACTTATCGAGATAATCTCATCCAAAGATGACGACCCCTATTTTCCCCAAAGCGGAAAAGCAGCCATCTTGAAAAACGATCCCTTCACAACATGGCAAAATAGCGCCACTTTCGAGCCCAACTGCATCCAAAATGCTCAGCATTAGAGCCCCAAGTCCGGGGCCAGAGGTTCATTGCCGTACATCTTCAATTCTCCAATTTTATGGCTCTCAGAACTCTCTTAGGCCTAGATAGAATATTTTGAAGGTATAACTTTTATTCATGAGCTCGGCGAATGGATTTAGGCCTATTTACTTACCGTTGTTCACCCTCTGGGGTCATCATGTTTCTGACTATTGCAAATCTAAGAGAGGATCTTCGATATCCCTTTAAATTGCAAATAAGAGATTTTTCTATTAAAGCACTGACCTTAGTGTCAATATGGACCGTATTATTTTTTGGAAGGGACATCCAATGTAATGCAACACCTCAATGTTTGAGTTAGCTCCGTACAGATCGGCTTGGGTCATGCCGGTTAGGACAAAAAAAGTAGGCTCGGTTCACACACTACACGCTGCTTTTCAAGCGAGACATGGGTAAGAAATTCTGATTGCATAATTGTTGTACCCACAAATGCGAATTGTATTCAATTCGGTCACTGCATCTCAGATTTAATTTCCTGCTTTAAAGTTCACCGAAGAGCATCTTGTCTTTTAAATCTCGTACGAGTGAACGCGCAAACAAAATGATATATCGTAACTGAAAAAAACTAACTTTCCTCCTAGCAAGCTGAGAAACGACGGGTTCTCATACGAAGTGCGTTTATTAAGGGTGTAAATCGTGTACAAAATCAATGAGAGCTGTTGCAAAAAGAGTATAAACAAAGGAAAAGGGAAGAGGAACAAGAAATTCCTCGATTTACACCATAAACAAAAGTGGGTGCGCGTGCGTATGTATTCCTTTCCCAGAACCCATACGATACAGGAAGGACAAGTGTAAGAACCCAACGGGTATTGTGAGATACGACCCTGCACTGTCAGAGTGATTAATCGCTTTGGGTAAATGAAGATTAGAAATGACAACCCATTCCGCCGACGTGCCAGAAAGTTGAATGAACGGCTCAACGAAAAACGTATCGGTCTTCCGGATAGATTCACCAAGCACATGCCGACTGTAACCGGGGGAAAAAGAGGCGCCAGCCCCGTTGAATGACGTGGGACAAATAGGGGTAAATGGGGCAGTCGTAAAATAAGATTGATCGAGTGTAATAGGACGTATCCCCTGCCGGTATGGAATCCACTTTATGCAATAGTGTGATCTATGATTTCATATTAATTGGAGCCAGTTGAGACCGAAGACAGGCCTCAACCAAAAGCCATTTTGACGGATGCGTTTTCCGAGGTTGAAAGACAGAAATCATGCATCATTCTTTTGTCGTCACGTCATTGGATTCCTCTGCGTAGGCAAACATGCCATTACAACGGGATAGAAGCATAGCTCTATGATAGAAGTAAACAAACTTTGGAATAAAAGAGATCTTTATTAAATTAAAAAATGACGAGATCCTAACTGAATTAGACCTCAGTTTGACAGAGCGCGTCGCATTCATTACAAATCGACTGCCTGAGAAAGGTCCATGACAGAGAAGAATTCGGAAAACAATTTGCTTGATAAGGCAACAGGCAACTTATTCTTCGTTTAGATAGAGCGAGGACTATTGCCGCAGGAAATTTAGTGACACTGTAAAGATACAAGCTGAAGCTAGTACCAGATTAGGTAATTTTGCTCAAACCAATTTAGAGATACTTGTAGTAGAAAAGTGCAAACGGGCAGTGATCCTGGTCAGCCTGTCCGAGCCCTGGAGGTGTTTCTGAGGTCAAACCAGACCGCTGTACCGAGTCAGTACGCGGTGTCATAATCGCTAATCTCACGTTATGCATCGTATGCATCGCATTAAAACAGGATATAATGCAAATTTTATCGGAAGGAGGGCGCCCTCCAGTGGCCATACAACCTCTTTAAAGTAACAGTTAAAGCAGTGTTCTTGTCGGTATGAACGACAACGCAAAATAGACAAAACAAGACACCAACAAAATTTAGACCGAGACTTCTCATTTAAATTCAACATTCAACATGACGCATAACACATATTTCCATCTGCACAATTCCTAAACTGTACTCTACAACCGACGATGTGACGATGCCGCTCTTTGAAATTGTCAAAAAAAACCAAAAAACAAAAAAACGGTGACGGTGCAAAATAGAAAGAACGAGACACCCAAACCTTGAGTGAGACTTATACCCTGTTCAACAATCGACAGGACACATTTTGCATTTTGTTTTCCACTGGACAATTCCAGGGCTGTAATCCACATCTTTTTTTCCCATCTGGAGAACCCATGGACCGTAATCCACTA